TGTGTGTGTGTGTGTATGTGTGTGTGTGTGTGTGTGTGATGCGATGTGCGACAAAGTAAAACCAAAGCTATAAATATTAATGTTATAGAAAGTTTCGTGCACTAAAGATATATCTTGAGAAAAGCTTAATAATTTCCACAGAATAACAAACATTCATTTCATTGTCCCTTTTTCATTTTCGTAAATAATATTCCGGAAGTGGAATACGGAACATTTTATTTCACAATCATGAGAAAATCTATTTGCTTGGATTACTCTGTTTTCCTTATGAATTTACTCTCATAGAGATTATTTAAAAGTGAACTCGGTGGAATTTAAATGAATAAAACGGCAGAGAAGGATATTTTAACAAAGAAGGGATAAGTTTAAAGGATTGCAAAGCTTTTATAAATCTTTCAAATGGAGATTATCGTATATTCTCACAATTCGGCAATAGAAAGCTTCCTATGCGTGATAACGCAACGGATTGAAATAACTTTATGAAACTTTTTGAAAGTAGTTTTTCGATGAATATTTCAGATTAACAAAATGCAATTAAACCTGAAAGTTCTTAGCTCCTGAAAGCTCTTAGTATTTGGATTTAGATTAAATTCAGATTATTGAGTTTTGTTTTTCAATTTGCCAGCAAATGATGATATTTAGGAATTTTAATACATTCAATTGAATATTTCATTCTTGGAAACATTTTTTTATCATCTCATTATAAGAAGAAATTTATTAACGATTCAATCAACTCATTACGCATTTTACTGTAATATACTAATTGCTTAGCTTTTTCTAACTTGCGGAAAATTGATTTATTTTCTTCAGAACTGACTGTTCTTAAAATTTAGCCATCATTTCCATAATTTTTAATTATTTATTGGTGTTTGAGGAAGTTAAATTTTAGATGCTTATTGTTGGCAATTGATAAAACATATTCTACCATTATTTCAAGCACCCGAAGCATCCGAAGATATTTATTACTGTCAAATTGTGCCCTCGAGATTCAGTAATCTGTTGCTATTATTGAAGATTATTGCGATGATTCACTAGATTAAAGCTGAAATTATTTAAAAGTCGAAGCCTACTTCTATATGGGTCAGTGTTATCATGTGATACGGATATGGGCCTCAGGTTTACAAGCAAATCCCAGCATACCTAATTTCAAAACTTAAAATCCCAGAAATCCAATTCGAATACCTGTCTGGCATAACATATATGGGACATTCAGGACGAACATCAATCTGCCACCAAATACCGATTTGCCATTCACGCAGGACATGGAAAGGGCTTTAAGGGGTTTTCTTGAGTTTGCTTCTCGAGTTTCGAATTTTGTTACATTTTATCCCCGTCTTCTACAAAATATTAAGGAAATGATAGTTACATAGTAACACTGAAATGATGGTCGCTTCCTAGGAATTGAGAACCAGACGAATATTCTGATTAAAATTAAAACATTTCTCTTAATCAATCAATTTCCGTTATTTAATAGCTTCAAGAAAGTTTATTAATGGCATTAGCGTGCTCTTGTATATTTATGATATCGTTCCTTTGTGAGTTCATTTTAGCATTTTAGCATATTAACATTATTCGCATGAACTTCGCTACATTATCTCTGTTAGACGGAAGATATTAAGATGGGTATGGAGGATACGCAACGGTATATCTGTAAGTTGTATATATTTTCACACTCTGTTAAACGTACATATTTAGAATGATTCATACCAGAATTAAAAACCAATTTCACTTCCAATATTTGGTCAGTCATTCACATTTTACAAAAATTTTCTTTTACTTTCTGTCATTCATACTGCTTGTAATGGGATATTTTATTTTTATGAAGTTAAAAATTTTTTTTAATAAATCAAATTTGTTAATAAAGAACAAGTCATAAATTACTAATTGCAGCATTGCTAACGATGTGTGATGAAGATGACGATGAGGTCATGGTGTTTGAATGCGGTGCTTCACTAGCTGCTAATGCATTTCTGAACTTTGAGGAAATTCGTCGTGCGGGAAAACTTTGCGATGTGGTACTTGTTGTTGATAATGTCAGGTTTGTGGAAAAATTTTTTTCATCAAGTTTTGCATATTTTCTGCTCTGTGGTAGAAGTTTTTCATATAGAATTTTGTTGATTTCAGATTTAGCGCTCATCGTATTGTTCTAGCTGCAACAATTCCCTATTTCCGGGCAATGTTTACAGCTGATATGGCTGAAAGTCAACAAGAAGAGATTCATTTGAAAGGTTGACTTTTGTTTTATGAAAGTGATTACTGCATTCAAGCATCCAGAAAGATCTCGATTGCAGAGTCAACTGTTTAGTCAATCGTTTAGCCACTTCGTTTAATCAATCAGTTAGTTATTTTTTAGACAATATTGTAGGGCAAAGAGCTCTCGAAAAGAGCAGATTACGTAAGAATGGGTTTCTCTCGTCGCTAAATGTTCTGAAACAAGGTTTGGAAACTCAGTGTTTGGATCTAGGTTCAGGATTTTGAAGTCATAGAAAGACATTGTTCTGACTAGCATGTAGGGGAAATTATTAGGTAAAACATACAAAGAAGAAACACAGGGTATCAACAGATATTCTGGTCTGAGGTGCATAAATTAAAATGTCATAGTTAATAAGAATATGTTTACTATGGTGTCTAATTAATTATCATAATGTAATTCAAATTTGACATGTTGGACTTCATTGTTTTTTTGTTGTTTCATGAAGATTTCGAACCGGATACATTGGAGCAATTGATTGCTTTCTCATATACGGGAAGCATAAGGATAACCGCTGCAAACGTGCAGAGCATGATGCATGCGGCAAATTTCTTGCAGTTGAATGGAATCGTGGATGAATGTTCCAAGTTTTTAAAATGCAGGTTACATGCACAAAATGTTCTCGGTATACGATCTTTTGCTATGGCTCTTGGATGTGTATCACTCGTCCTTTCGGCAGGTAGCTACTAACTGTATGTATCCTTTCCTTTTTTATTTACTCCTCTTCAGTTCGAAATTGCAAAACAGCTTAATAGTCTTCTCTAGAATCATATAGTCATATTTCAGAACATAGAACATACATTAATTTGTATCAGTGGATAAGATATCCGCAAGATCTTTGGAAAATAGTGCTAGATATATTTTTTTAATGAGTGTGTTGGCTCATTAGTTTTGTAAAACCTACAAAAATCTCTATAAAAGAGTAAATGATGAGATTATTCGAGACAAGAGAGACGTGAATTGCTGTATGTCAGAATTTATTATACTATAAGATGACGAAACAAAGAAATGGAAAAATGAATATATCTTGCTTGGTAATCTATTTTTCTTTATTTGTTTTAAAAGTTGTAATTTAATGTTCTGGTTCTATTCCTAGAAATTAATCATTTAGATTGTTTTCTGCACAAACATTTTCTATCAGTATCGCAAGGTGAAGAGTATTTGGCTTTATCAGTAGATGATTTGGCAACAATATTAAACAGAGATGAATTATTTGTTGAAAGCGAAGAGCAAATATTTGATGCCTGCATGCGATGGGTCCAACATAATCCTGAAAGAAAGCAATACTTACCGAGGTAATACTTTCTAGTTGATACTAGATATTGTTATAGAAATGGACATTAAATTTGGTGTTTTTCAATTGCTTCATTCAAAAATTTTTTGTTTTATTAAAGAAACATAAATTTTAGGGTACTTACATGCGTGAGAATGCCATTACTGAAACCTCATTTCATTACCGATCACGTGGCATCTCATCCATTTATTCGTGAATGCCTTGACTGTCGTGATTTAATTGATGAAGCAAAAGATTACCATCTTATGCCAGAACGAAGAAAATTCCTAAAAAAATTCAGGTACAATCAAGTCTTCTGTTACAGAAGTATTAATAAAGCAGTCATCCAAAGTATGGTTAGGAAAATTTTAAAAATTTTAACCATATAATTTTTGTTAATTTTTTGCCTTATAAATTTCCGGATTCTGTTCATTTAATGCAGTGAAAATTACCTTTCTTTTATAAACAGTAGGATTCGAATTTCTTAAAAAAGAAAATTTAATTTTTTCTAGGACAAAGCAGAGATGTTGCTTTGATGTTCCTGGATTGATCTTCGCGGTTGGTGGTTTGACGAATGCCGGTGATTCTCTGTCAACTGTTGAGATGTATGACCCAATGATTGGTAAATGTTTTTCACTACCTTCATTTATTATGGGGTCCAATCTTGAATGAGTTGTTATTACGAAGCGCTCACTTGCTTGCAGGTAAATGGACATCGGCGCAGCCAATGAATTCAATTCGATCACGAGTGGGTGTTGCTGTAATGAATCGTATGCTGTATGCCATTGGCGGTTTCAATGGCCATGACCGTCTACGCACCGTCGAAGTCTTTGATCCGGATCAGAATAAATGGGCTGAGGTTAAATTTGAGAAAATGAATAAAAACATGTACCCTTTATTTCTATTTCTAGTAAAAAATCTGGGATTACGAGGATGCGAAAATAGGAAAGAAAACAATTCAGACAAAGAGCCAGATGACATTAAAAAAACTTATTTGTTTGCAAGGTAAAGTAAAGATCCTGTTTGTGAAAACTGATGTTTAACTGTGTTCAACATGTATTCATTCTATTACAAAATTGTAGTATTGAAGATGAGTGTATTGTCGCTACCCTTCTCCCCCCCAATATATTATTTTTTCTTTTACAGGTAAGTTCATTGATTAATAAACGTTCTGCTCTTGGAGCAGCTGTAGTCAATGATCGCTTATATGTATGCGGTGGTTATGATGGAATTAGTTCACTTGCATCTGTTGAAGTTTTTAATCCTTGTACAAATCGATGGACTCTGACTACTGCAATGAATAAGCAAAGATCTGCTGCTGGTATAGCTGTTATCGACAATTACATTTATGGTGAGAATTTGCAGTCTTAAGCCTGGTCTTCTAGAAGTGTTTCACATGTGCACGTGTAAAATTGTCATTGAAAAGTTGAAAGTGATGTAAGTGAAGGTCCAAAGGATGTGTTGCAGTGATAGGTGGACACGATGGAATGTCAATATTCAACTCTGTTGAACGTTTTAATGTCGATAGTGGTGAATGGCAAGTAGTAAAATCAATGAATACGAAGCGGTGTCGTCTGGGAGCCGCAGCTGTTCGAGGAAAAATTTACGTTTGTGGCGGGTAAACATTGTACTTTATATCATGTGCATACCTTTCACATTTGCAAGTACAATAAAAATTCTCTCTGAATCATTAATGCCAGTTTTGCATAAATCTAGCATCTCCGGAGTAACAGCAAGGTCATCGACAGATTGATTTTTTTGCAGCTATGATGGATGTCAATTTCTGAAAAGCGTTGAAGTGTATGAACCAGAGAAGGACGAGTGGAGCCCACTATCACCAATGCATTTAAAAAGAAGTCGAGTGTCACTGATTTCCAATGCCGGTGTTCTTTATGCTATCGCTGGGTTTGTTTATTTTTTTTAATTTGTCATTTCATTCACTTTGACAGATGGGATGGATTAAATGAATTGCTTGATGTCTGACTTTGTTACCCTTTTGTGGGATAGGAACGAAACTGTCAAGCTTATAGGTACCTACCCATTGTCAAAATAATTGCAACATTAAATAATATGATACTTCGAATAAATGTCTCGAAAATTGAAGCGCTGTATGAAGAAAATGTCTAATTAATGTGTAGATCATAACTGCTTCATCAAAAACTAATCTGAGATTTTGTCATATCTCATTTCGTATTTCTTTTTGTTTTTTTCAGTATATTTTCCTAATGCCGCGAAATTTCTTTTGTTGTTACTTTAATTTTTCATTACACAATAATTTTTATACAGATCATTTCAGTTATGACGGCATTTCGAATTTAAGTTCCATGGAGACCTATAACATTGAAGAGGACAGGTGGACATTGGCAACAAGTATGGTAGCTCACGAAGGTGGTGTTGGTATCGGCGTAATACCATTCCAGCCTAATAAAATATCATAGCTCGTGATTTCTTTTTTTCATTTCTTACGGCCAGCTTTGAATTGTGAATCGTTTTGTCTTTTCTTCCGTTTCTAGATTCTTTTTTTTTATCTATATTAAATGAAAGATAATAAAAGGTTCATCACTGCTTCCATTATTTTTTTCATCTTCTTTTTCATTGTCATCTTTCTAATTTTTAATAAATAATTGGACTGTATCTTTTTATGTTTCAGTGCTGCATTCCTTGAGTTTGCTAGTGCTATACTATTTATTTATTAGTTATTAACATTGAAGTTTTTACTATGGAGAAAAATTTAATTTAAATTTTTTTTGAAGGGCTCGAAACTAAAGGAAAATAAAGCAAGACCAAAAATCAAACCTGGTTGTTGGCTTACCGATATCATAAATGATATCATGAAAAAAGAAATAGATTTGTGATATTTTTATCTAGTATCTCGAGCATTCTTTTCGATGCATGCTATTAGGATTCATTAGTTATTTTATGTTTCTGTATGCGAAACACATGCACAAGAAACATTACGATTCGACCGGTAAGCTATTCATTCTTTCCATTGATTTGTTTATAAGGCATTCTATTTTATTTTTCAAAATTTGAAAAAAACATGACTGGTTAAGTAAGTATACTAAGCTAAATTGTTTGGTTAATTGCCTCCCTAAAAAGAGACGAAATAGGAGTAGTGAAGGAAAGGTAGAGGGGAAGAAAAAATGACTGTTAAGGAAAGAGATCGTGTTAGTCGTAAAAGTTTTATCTCAGAGTTCATCCTTTCTGCTTACTTGTTCCTTATCTTTACTTTTCAACTGCTTTTTCCCGTTACTGGTTTTTTCCTTCTTGCTCCTTTTCTCATGTTTTTCCGTACTGTTTTCTTCGTTCTTTTTCAAATTTGTTGTAATAAATTCAGAGAAATTATTTGTCGTTCGTTCATCTTCCGTGTGGTAAATAGGCTAAAAGGAAGAAAAATAGAAAAGCTAATACTAACTTTTTTTTCATAGGTTATTTTTTGCCAAGATTTTTAATGAAAGAATTCGAGAACTTCAATGACCTTTTTTTCTTCAACTCTTATTACTACCGTCCCTATTAAACTATATTTAGATTCCACTGTGTCATGGATATCTCGGTATAGATTTTCAGGAAACAAAAAGAAAAATATTAAAAGGTACAAACCTTTTTCGATCCTTTGATAAATAGCGCTATAGTAGGTACGTCAAGTATCGGTATTCCGAACACTTCGTTATTCATTGAGTTCATTTTGGCGATTACCAAATTTTTCTTGTTTTTGTATAGTTCGCCAAGTTTCTCTAATTCTGGCATCGCTTTTTGGCATGCTTCACACCATGGTGCATCTGTAAGAATCATAGTAGTTGAATTTTTTAATAAATCCCAAAACTGTTAGATCAATTACTTTCAAATTCATTAAATTTTTTGAAATAAGTTCGCGTTTCAAATATTGTTGCAGTTACAAGTGATCGGCAGCACATATCACATATCGCTTGTAATATAATGAGAAGGGAAATTAACTTTTCAGTTGGTTTTTGAAGTGGCATTGTGGCCAATTGGAAACTAAGAACAAGATCATTTTAAGAGGGGACAGAAATAGTCCTGATACGTTAATATTTGGTTTACTCTATACTAATTTATGTTATAATTTATTTTTTATCATTGGATTTGAAAGAAAAGTTTATGCAGTGGAGATCGAATATTTCAGAAATTTTAACCAGAGCTTTTTTTTTAACCCTTGCAGTCATAAAATGTTAAATGCTTTCTCAAAAATTTATTATATTCCAATTATGTAAATATGCTACGGATTAATCTGGAAATTTATTCTAGTCCTTAAGATTTATATTGTTTGTAATGAAATATAAAAACTAGCACTTCTAGAACTTTTACTATTCAGTAAGTAGTGTTAAACGTTATGACGAATTTATTTTGAGGGAAACAAGTTTTTAAATAATTTTTAATATTATTTCTCCTGTACTGCTTTTTTTCTACGTACTTTCTACAGCCTTTTTTTCGCTCTCTGTCTTTGTAAGTAATGTTTTACTAAGCAAAGGAATGAAGAAAGCTTACAGAAAAATACAAAGGTCGTTTTCTCCGAATCGAATACTTGCTCTTCGAAGTTTTTCCCTACTAATTCAACCACAGGTTTTTTATTCCAGTCGTCAGGAATTTCTTCACTTTTCAAGAAGGGTATTGCATTACCGTCCAAACATGATTGTACGAATGAGATTATTTCTGCTTTTGCTATCTATAAATTCACTTATGTTAGTGAAGACAACATTAAATTTTTTTAGAGGAATACCTTTGTACTCATAAGAAATGCGGAATGCCTCATCAAGGTATTGATTGAATTTGAAGGTATTGATTGTATGGTACTAAGTTCCATCTTCCTTTTGCTGATAACATACTCTATTAATCCTTCATAGAATAAAAAGTAACAGAGACAAAATTGTTGGTAGTCATCTATCCTCTGTAAAGAGATTAAATTTTTGAAACTCATTTAGAAATGGGGTTGTGAATTTTTCAGATAAAAAGTTTAAAAATCAGTAATTTAGAGGAGAAACACTTCTAAAAATTTGGAAAAGAATGCTTACTTCTTTAATTTCCGCTTTATACTTCTTGAAGTGCTTCTCAAGGTCAACAAATAACACACACGGCACATCTTCCGCTATTAAACCAAGAAATTCTATTAATTGCCAGTTTTCTTCTATATCTGAGTTGATATATACAAATCGAACCTAAACACCTAGGTAATTCCTCATTGAATAATCTTTCTAAATTTCTTTATGGTATTTATAACATTTTTCACTTCCAGAAATAGGAACGATTCGGAATTCAAGTGTTCGCGATTAGTTTTTTGTAAGTTTTATGAAATCAAAATTTTTTGAAATAATAAGAAATCTGGTTTTAAGCTGATGAAATGGAGATCTATCTTTATTGATGTGGAAGGGAACATTGTAGATGATTTCATATCTGCTATGGTGTATCGAAAACAGCTGAACTTAAAAATATGCTATTAATTGATATTCATGCTTTTTAATAAATTGGATATTTTTTGAAGCCTATACATAGGATTGCTACTGCTTGTATAATGCTTAATGTAAAAATGCACAAACCATGTCTTCGAATTTCTCTGCAGTTTTCTGGAATTCGTCCAAGTGATCATCATAATCTTCGGATTCTTTTGATTCGATTAATATTGCAAATTTTATATTCTCTTTGCCATCAAAAATGGATGATCCCGATTCTTTCACAAATTCGGTTACCAGATTTTCCTTCTGTAATATATTAATATTAATAAAATGCTGCTATGCATTATGTCAGTAAAAATATCAATATTGTTTGAAAATTAATTACATCATCTAGTTGTGATGTAATTAATTACATACCAAACACGGCGGAGTATTCAACCTACTACCTTCTTCCCCTTTTCTTTCCCATTCTTTCTCATCTTCCATCAATGAAGATTGGCTCTTTTAATCAAACTACTTTATTTCTTGAACTATTTACCCCAATTTGTCTTCTTCCTCTTTCCTCTCCCTTCCCTTTCTTCTGAACTTCCTTGTTATGTGATTGGTGATTTAAATCATTTGTTCTTAGTAATTAACATAGTTAATATCTAACCTTTGTTTCAGCTATTGTTCCAAGCAATGAAAGAAGTAAAAGTGGACAAATATGAACTTCTCGCCACATTTCGTCTTTCCTTTCGAGCGGATAATGGCTGGTGTGTGGTAGATAATATAGTGGTGGTGGCGGTAGTGATGGTGCTGCTGATGACACCTTCGACGGCGTTGTTCCGTTCGGGCAGTCGAAAGATGTAGTATGCGTTCTTTACCATTTCTCGCCCCCGTTTGACATCTCCACTTCTCCTTCCTCTAATTACATAACGTGTTTTACAAGGATCGAGCGAGCATTGTTTTTTGTATATAAACAAAATTGATTATCATTAGAATTCCACTAAATTATTATATTTGAAGATGAATGTATTGTACTGCGAATGACTGAATGCATATGCATAATAGGAAATATGTCGATATTGTATCTACCTGGTAATAATTCATATATGTGTCTTTATTCGGTTGTCCGAATCATTCAATACTGAAGTAAGACATATGTTTACTTGAAAAATGGAACAGTGTACAAATTCGGATTTTTGGTCTTGAAGAGATGACTATTATAACTTAGACATTGTTGAATTTTTATTTAAAACTCGGCATATCAGATAACTAGAAGATATAAGTGACAAAGCTTATTACAATGTGTGCTATATATGTATTGTATTTAAATTTTTTATTATTTCAATTCGAGCATGATGCGTTCGGCGAATAGACAATTATGCAGCAAGCAAAGTGTTATATTTGTGATACGGAACTGCTCCCACAACTGAATGAAAGCGTTCAATTCATTCCGACAGCGATACATTCTTTCCTTTCCCGTCCAGTGCTTCTTGAAAGATTGGAAATATTTCAACCATTTTCTTTTGTCCCTAACCAATTCAACCCTTTTGGCATCATTTCCCATTTAAACAATTCATATCGCAAAATGAGAACTTTCAGAAGACTAGTTAGCAATTGAAAATTAGCTTTACAAATTTTTTTTGTGGTGGGAAAAGCTTATTTAATGAATTTTCCTTGCAGTTTGGCATATTCATGGCATTATCGTGTATTAGAGCTTAACATTTTTTTTTGATTCTTAGAACCAAGTAAATTTTAAGAATTTTAATTATTTTAGAGGCAAAGGCATGAATATCCTTATACCCGAATTTTGGTTTTTATCATCTTCCAGAAACTTTTTTTTTTCTTTTCTTGCAGAAAGCTTTTCTTTTTTTGTTTTTTGTCTTGCAAAGTTTTTTTCTTTTACTTTACGAAAAATTCCCTCCCACATAACTCTGAAATGTCTGTTCACTTTTGATGTATATTTGCACGCTTTTCAAGTTGTTTATAGATATCGTCCATCAAAATTTGATAGTATGATACTAATCTTGCGTTGCAAAATTAAGAAACATTACCGTATATTGTCAATTTCGTTTACTTCAGAAATTTGATTATCTAAGTGCCAAAAGGACGATCATAGCAATGAACAATCCTGAAAGTAAGTTTCATCCTCTATTTGTTTGATTGCCATACAAGGAAGAATTAATTGAATTTTAATTTCTTCGATTTCTTTGTATTTTGTCTTTATTCATAGCTTCATATGACATGTGAATGTTTCTCGTTATTTTTATGTTTTTCAGAAAATCGGAAGTTAGGTGAAAATGTGCGTTGCTTACGTGAACAAGGATTAACTTTTTCTCAAATTTCTCAAGAACTCAAGGTGTTTTTTACTCATATATTAACTAGATGTGAAAAACAGAAGGTGATAAGGATATTTAAATGATTTTTAACATAGTGGAATTAAAGCATCAAATTGCAAATTTTTCTGATCTAGAGAACTAAGGTAAGAAGATAAAAGAGCGAGTGATAGAGGAGTACCCATTTTTCTGTTTTTTTGTTCCAACTTTAGTGAAATGTTCTACAAGTCCTCGACGCCAATTTGAGTCTAACTATTAGTCTACATTTGTTATTTACTTTATTTTTTTTTGAGCGCCGTAGATTCCAACCACAGGACTTTAATTTGCCCTTATATTCTCGAGTTTAGATATTCAAGTCTAGATGATAAGGCACATAGAAGATATTTCAAAAAACTTAAGGATGAACTATTGAATAGTTATGACCATTTAATTGTATAGTGGACTTTTGTTGAAAGGTTTTGGTAGAAATCTCTTGTTATATCATTCAAAGTGTTTGTATACTTCAGCAACCGCTGTCAACGTGTTATTCAGCCATGAGATCGCTTAAATTATCGAAGGACTATACAGAAAGTCTAAAGATGATTGTTAAGAGAAGGAAACGTGACTATACTGGATCTCTGCAATCGGTAAAAAATATTCATAGTTTTTCATCATCATTTTTTAAAGGTTTTGCTTAAATTCAGCTAATATTTTAACAAGCAGAAAGGTTGGAGATCCTAATTTTAAAGTTGTCTCGAAGTCGTCATTTGTCTCAAAATACATAATGAATCGACTACAAACCAGCTTTTGCATGCAGTGAACAAATCAGTCGAATAGACTTCACGGCATCAGCAGCTTAGTTCTAATATGGTATTGATTCATTATGTATTCTGAGCGATTTACGTACGTAGAGCCGTCATTTGATAAAATAATTAAAAAATGAGGTAAATATTTAAAAAGATAGACAAATGGACAATGAATGTTAAGTAAGGTTTTAAGAAGACATTGTAGGGTGGGAGCTGCTGTTCAAGTTCAGAATCAGATCAGTTGGTCGACGAATCTCCTCTTCAAGTTTCATCATCTTTCACTCTTCCATCACCTACCTATGCAACCTATGGCTTAACATCGACTACAAACCAACTTTTGCATGCAGTGAATAAATCAATCGAATCAGCTCCATGGCATCAGCAGCTTGGTTCTAATATGGTATTGATTAATTATGTATTTTGAGCGATTTTCTTCACTGAGGAATATTAAAGCTAAGGAAATTTGAAAATTTTCATTCCAGAAAAATGAAGGAGAAAGTGGAGAACGTCGTATGGCAACTGATCATTCATCGACGACATTCTCAGTTGCTACTCCTTCTTTTACCGATACTGAAACCATTTCATCCTTCGTACCATATCGAGAAATAAATCCAGGAACTACTTGTTTTCTGGAAGAGGCTAAACGTATTGCCTCATCAGCACCATTTAAGGTGAATTATAAGAAATCAGATCAATTCACAAAATAAGGAGCGATAAACGATCTTTTAATGGTCTTTATAATAATATATTCCCAATTCAGTTTTAATACTAAATATTTAATTTCCTTGGCTATTTTGATTAGTGCAGGTGTGCTATCGAAGTTACACAATAGGCTTAATGATTTATTGTTTACTGACAACCGCTTTTTATTGATCAGAGTCCTTTCGAGGCATTCTGTTCTATACTTTTTCCTGAAATTGTATGCATATTTCAGGATAAAGATAGCACGAAAGTAACTGTTTTGGAGGAGAATGCTGAAAATGCTATAACGCAAAAGCTAATATGGGCTTTGAAACAGTTGGAAAATTCTAAGAAACCTGATGAAATTGTACAGTTGATGAATGTGGTCGCCAGTGCTTTAAACATATTGAACAATTTGAAAGTCAAAGATAATTCTGCACCATTAACCTAAAGACATATTTTAATACCTCCTCTTCATTAGAACTCTTAACGAACTGATTATATTTCTAGTTTAACTTTTAATAAATCATATTTTTATCTTTTCATTGTAACTTTGAAATCAGTGGTTTAAAGAAGACTATTATGGGATTAAAATAGTAATACGTATGGAAATTGAAGTTCAGTTATTATCTAATGTTGTCATGACAGTAAAACCCCAAACCTTAGGTTTGGACTTTAAAACAGCGAAAATTTATGAAAATGTGTTCTGGCAAATAATTTTATACGTTTGATAGGTAGTTCCATGATTCGGATAGTTGGAATTTTACTTTATAATAAATACAGTTGTCATTTTTTAGCTACGACTTTGAATTCTAAAAGCTCACCATATAATATCTTATGTAACTGTATTCTTGTCAATATCATTTGACAGTTACTGTCCTATTCAACATATGAGCAGGTGATGAATCAATACTATGAGTGATTTGACCGCCTAATGTCCTTGCCTGGTCCTCTTTCCAGTTTAGTTTCATGGAGACTATTTCCTAGCATAGCGAATATCTCTGACAACGGAAGATCAATGCTAACATATCCTCTCCAATCAATTTTTATAAGAGGGTTGAAAATGAAGTATCAGCTAACATTAATATTCTCGTTTATTATCATTCTATATCATTCATCATTTCTCGATCAAATTCAAGATATATTATGTACTTTAGTGTTATTAAAAATTTAGGAGCAAATTGATGTCCTTCTCACTAAGTAATTAAAAAGAAAATTGGATCTATCTTACAATTCCTTCAGATTTCTGTATATGGATCGTTTCTCACCATTTTTTATTTATGTAGAATAAATTTATCATTTTATGTAACTTTTTCCATATAATATTTTATCATAATCTTTATTAGGCCAAATAACTCAAGATTTCACCATCTTTATCGCAAATTTGTTTTCTTCGGCAACTTTCCTCTATTTCTTCGATGAAATTCAAATGACTTCAGTTGTTAAAACGAACAGGAAATGTAGCTCAAGTGTTCTGCAGTTAAGAAATAGAAATTTTGTATAAAGTACGGACATACTGCCACAATGATCGTCATCCATAAGATTCCACATTTTAGACATCGCATAATATTCGTTTTCCGTTACTAATCATTCTAAATGCCTAACGGATCCTCACGCATCTTATTATTCTAATATCTGAGATTTTTCGCAGTTCCTTGCCTTCAGCATTCTCCCGTTGTTTAATGAGCTCAGAAGACGTGAGAAGTGCAACGTAGAAGAGGAAGAATTGTCAAATGCTGAACAATCATCAGTTGGACTGTCACAAACAACTTACATATATATGCCATTGATTTATTACACTGCATGCGTTATCTCCCATTATCAATCTTATGCTAAGAGCTCACGGAATACCATACTGAATAAACGGAATTTTTTTTTTTGTTTCATATAACTTATATTCCCAGACACTTTTAATATGAGGACAATTTTCTTTTGAATATTGCAATTTACGGATAAATATTGTCCAATGTAATGGAACTATGAGCCATGTACGGCCAGTCATCCAGAAGAGATTAATGATACGAGCCAATCATCTGGTTAGTATGCTGCTGATGGTTTGAACTAATTGGCTTTATTTATTCCTAGCCATCAGCAATCAAGCATTATTTTTTGGGTTTGCTTGAAGTACTCTGATCGTTTCCGTCTACTTCATCATCATCACGATGAAGTGCATTTTTGCATTACCATCTGATCAATCAAGTTTTAGAGTGAATTACGGATGTTTACAAAAGTAATATAATTCATTTCTGACATCACATGTCAGTAGTTTCAGACAGTTGAAGTTGTATGTTAAACGTCCTTTCACAAACTTCCACTGCTTTAAAGAAATATTTCATATGCCATTTAAAATAGCAAGCATTCCCTTGCAAATAAGTTTTGCAATCGAATAATACGTTTCCTTGTAAGGATTGATAAAAATGGAAGTGATGGAAATAAAATCTAATACACTGTGGCACTATCTTGGTTGTCCAAAATACAGTGATTGATCGTTGTGACCCGATATTATGCTCGGCTCGAGTACGGCTGTGATCTGACCTTCAGTAACAAAGATATGTCTGCTAAAACGATATTTATAAATGGAGATGTATTACTGTTATACATATTATCGATATTAGATCTATATGATATTCTCGATTTTAAGATACGCTAATGCAACCCGGAGAAAAATCGCTCGTCTAAGTTGATCTTTCCCTGACTTCACATACTGCGCTGCATCGAAAGCCGAAATAAGACGGTAAAAATGTCCAAAGAGCATAATTACCACCTACATTGTATGATTTACCCGTGTTTATCGACATAATGATCAATAGTGATATCACTTATCAGTGGTCAATATTCGCAGTATTGTCAGATTTCGCGTGTGTATTCACGATCTCGAGAGAGAGAGAGAGAGAGAGAAGCACTGAGAGATCAGAACAATTGGCAAACCTTCGGTGAACGAAAAACAAACGACAGAAACTATTCTTACAATACAGTGTACTACCATTCGTAAACTGCGCAGTATGCTACACTGATATCCGCTCCAGACCATGCAATATATCATATTGATAGAAGATGTGGACCGTGAAACTTTGTCAGTGTGGTTTTGCAGGGACACCGTGGAGAGATTGCTTTATTCTGTGATTGTATTTATTTTCGTGCGAGTCTTCAGTTTTTCTTGTTTGGATTAAAAAAAATTTGAAATCACGCTTATTTGATTGAGTTCACTGCACCTTCACTACATTCTCACTTCAAAATTTCTCAGATTAAAAGTAGTCATTAAATGGTGAAGCCTTTTCCTCTCATTTTTCTGTATTGTTTTATTTTTTCCAACGAAATTTTGATTAAGAACAGAAAACAAAGGTAATGGGGGGAGATAGAGTAGTGCTTGATTACATGATCTAAGATTATCATAAAAACTTCAAATCCAAGTAATAAGCATCGTGAGCTTTGTTTGAAACATCAACACAAGCGTCAATTAACGCGGGTGACCAGTTAATTGGTCATAAAGCGAAGATTTTTACAAAATGGTTATATGAAAATAAATAAATAAGCTGTCAAGGCGTATCATTTGATTCTTAGCGATTATTTCATTATTAATTACTTTCATTAGCATTTGCAATAATAATCTTGATATCATTGACGCTTCGTTACTTTTTACTGTGATACTTCGTTCTTGCTCAAAACATCGATTTTTTTGTTAATTGATATATAACCAGGATTAATTAATTTTTTTTTTCGGTAACTGAAGAAAGGGTTGGTTATTGTCTGGTGGTGCAGTGGGTTTATCTAGTGGAGGAGCATGGGTGAACTACAGTCGGCACTTCTTCTGAGAAAACAACTTGCAGGTAAGAATTTCCTCAAATATTCTAAAATTGTTTGTTACTTATTTGTAACAACTCGAATTCCTTTAAACTTATATTTTTGATATTTGCCACGGATTGTCATGTGTGAGCTCCGGTAGAAATAAGTCACAACGATTTACTTGAAGCCGAGTTTGGTGCTACAAGCATCCAAGTTCTTTTTTAGAAAGAACGTTTCGGCAAGATATCTCTTTTGATTAATTTTTGTTCATCTAACCTTACGTTTAGTTCTCGGTGAAAAAGAGAAGTAATAGGAGAATGAAATATCTAGGACGATTAGTTTCGTCATTTATTATCATATCCTTTGAGAATGAATGTTCTCCTGAAGATTTCCGGATGACACCAGGGAACATGCTAAGGCTTGCTAAATGGATGATTGTAAAAAATGTAATTAATCTTGTTACAGAATTGAAACGAGTTCCTGTTGATGGATTTTCAGCAGGTCTTCAAGGTGATGATATTTATAAATGGGAAGTGCTTGTTATTGGACCGCCTGATACTCTTTAGTTAGTTTGTTTCAAACAATTTTTCCATGTCAGCTATATCGAAGTACTTCACTTTTCAAAATACTGTAGACGAAAGGTATTAGATAGTCCGGAGCACAGACAATCACACAGTTGAACAGATTCATTGAGAATTACTGAAACCCGTTATAATACAAAGTAGCGGGATGAGACTCGCCTGCAGTGCGACATATATGATAAAGTAAAGTTCTCGTTGAATGAAAACAAATGTACGGTTTTGAAATAATAGTTATTTCAGCGAAGGAGGGTTCTTCAAGGCGCTTCTGGAATTTCCTAAGGAATACCCACTGTTACCGCCAAAAATGAAGTTCATTTCGGAAATCTGGCATCCGAACAGTACGTGTACTTTTTCATTATCTTAGAAATAACTTATGCTTTTTTAAGTGAGTATAAAAAAGGAATCATTGCAAGAAATTCCCTCCTTGCATTCTATCCCACAAAATGACATGGTCATTCTTACTATGTAATATTGAACATGATACAAAATACAGTCGAATTTATAATGAAAGAGTTTGCCGCGATTAGGATAAAGCGATTCAAACCACAAAATGCTTAACTAGGGGGTGGGTCGAAGTAAAAAGGCTTATATGATTTTTCATGAACTCCTTTAAAAGACTGATGTTCGATTGCTGACATATGTTGCTCAGTCAGCGGGAGACCACGTTATGAATGTCCGAGGAGCCGTAGTATGCTAAAATAATTCTATATTATATCCATTACTCTCTAGTATTTTGATCTCTAGTTTCATGCATTGGAAATTCTTCAATTTATCGTTTTTTATTTTAGTCGACAAGGAGGGTAATGTGTGTATATCGATATTGCATGAACCAGGAGATGATCGATGGGGTTACGAGAAGCCAGAGGAGAGGTGGTTACCTGTACATACCGTAGAAACAATTCTTCTTTCTGTTATATCGATGCTGGCAGATCCAAATCACGATTCGCCTGCAAACGTTGATGCTGCGGTAAGGTTTATTGATTGTCACACGATAATTATGATGAATTCGTATTTCGAACCATAGAAATCTGTCAACATGGAGATTCCAAGTTTGTTGTTGCACTTTGAGGGTGACGATAGCTGATGAATGTCAAAACAAGGCTTGACATGTGTTTCATAACCTTCAAAAGAGCCTAGAAAACATAGTGCAGTATGTTAGTGAGATATCAACGTTAATCCAAGCATGAAATGGAATAGCTTGATAGTTGGTACTGTATCTCTTGTTTTAGTCCATTCATAGTCAAACTACATTGTAGTTGTTCTAAGCTTTAATTTGACACAAAGATGAATTTGTCATTTTCTCATTTGCATAAACTAAAAATTTACATTTTCTTGTAGAAGATGCAGCGCGAGAATTTTCCTGAATTCAAGAAACGTGTAGCAGCCTGCGTTCGAAAGAGTCAAGAAGAGGGTTGTTGATTAGAAAAGTGGATTACTGTCCACTCTTTTTAGCTTCTCTGACGATGATCGTTAGGGCTGTGAGTTATAATTTTCGTTATTATCAAAATTTGTTTTTCCCCTCATTTCATTTCATGTTACATCATTTTACAGGTCTTATAATAAAGATGTGCAAGATGTGATCCTTTCTTATCATCAGTGATGACACGTTATGTTTACTGCTCTGTTTTCTTTTTTTGTGTGGTTTTTGGTTTACTTTGAAATATAAATGTGCTTGAAAGATTGATGTTTTTAACGTTTGAAAAAGTAACTGAAAGCTGGCATAACGTGAGTTCAAGTCATATCATGAAACGTTCATGTGAAATGATGAGAATTGGTTACCATACGCAGTATCTGAAGTATATCTAAAGTACATTGAATATTACAGGACTTTTGATACATATTGGAGGTGAAAAAAAACTGCTAATTGTTAGTTTTGTAGCTTTTTTAATTCCTGGCTTTAAAAGTAACTTTTTTAATCTCTGTCGGAAATCGTAGTTTCTTCCGTTTGCAGATATTTAATTAAACTCAGAGCATGGAAGGATGAATAGATCTATCATTGTCCCAAAATACAAAGAAAAATACAAAATAATGGCACATCTTTAAATGTATTACAACTTCTGAGATTGTGTTTTACACGAAGTGTAGGACACCTCCCACATGATGGCGCAGTGATTTAATGCTGTCAAGTCGATTCATTAATATCTAGAAGAGTTCGAATAACATCTGCTGGATGTGTAGATAGTTTGAACTCATCGGCCATCGAGACATGTTCACAATACAGCAATATGAAATCCGTATAACTTATGATACGTTCGTCTCGATTTGATAAATGCGGGTAAAAGATGGAGCAGTGACGTGATAGCCAATATCGGTAAGTACTATCCAAGCTAGAAGCAAAACTTAACTCCCCATTTTTCCGACCTGTAATATAGTCTACAATAAAAAAAAAAATCTTTTCATAATATTACTAAAGTTTCTCTATTCGGTGCAATATTTATTATAAGTTATCAAAAGCATGCACACACATGCTATTCCACTTCATTAGAAAATTAGCCATCAGTCTTAATTGAAAAAAAAAATTAATTTGTGAATACTACTTCTGTTTACATTCATTTTATCCTTAATATGAACTTAAATTTTATTAAGAAACCTTTATCAGATCTTAACACACATTACGAATGATACCTAATTTGCAGAGAGCGTAACAGATTATTAGCCGCATTTCTTCACTGTCTAAATTGCTCATGTAATTGTCTCTTCTTCCTGATTGTATCACTTCATTTAACTGAAGATATTATGAGAATCAAGAATCAATTTATACGAATGAGAATCGATTTTTCGATAAGTTTTCATTTTGAGAAAAAATAAAAATAAATCTGGATGACTTCAAAAATTTCACCGACTGCAAAATTAGTCATCTCACTTTTTGATCATTAAATGCAATACGTATTTCAGTGTTATATATTATTTAGCGTCAACGATACGAAAGATAATCATTTGGCTTTTCTGACTGATTAATCTGCTTATATTAAGATCTTTAACATTTGCAAGCATTGATTGAGAATTTTTTCTTGACCTTTAGATCACGAAGAGGTGGTAGCTCTACAGCCATAGTGCAGTGAAGTATGAAGAATACTGGCCAGTACTGAGATAGAATTACAAATCGGTCTCGCGGCGAAACAAAACTCATTAAAATCATATTAAGTGGACGTTGAAGTGCTTCTGTCAACATTTGTTCTTCTAAAATTGTCACTTTTATTTAAATTTAACCGTTTAGCAATGGCTTATAAAATCATGATTAAGGTTATGAACTTAACCTTTAGTATATTCTAAGATGATGTAACAGAGCTAATCAGAAAAAATATACAGAGGCCTAAGTTATTGCATTATCTGTACTATCTAATCATTCAGTACATCCAAACACGTCAGTCGTCTGATCATCCGAAACATACTAATTACGCTAATAATCAAACCGTTTTGTTTAATTTACAATAGCATAAATGCTTTCGTAAAGAAGACATTAGCCTGATATTCGGATAATTTTTCTTCAATTTTTGAAAACATGGTCTATTTTTATATCTGTCAGGTATTTCGAGACTGTAAGAAATGAAATGTAATCCGTATGTTAATGAAAATGATTTCTTCGAGAACACATTTGATAACATGATGATTAGAGCAATGGACACGGGGAGATTTGTTATGAACGTTACTTCCCATGTACGTGAATATCTCAGTAATGCATTGAAGAGCCAGGAACTGTATTATAGGTAAAATAATTCACTTTTGAAAGTTACTGATGAAAAATATTGTGAATTCTCCTTTTTATTCTGAAAGAATAATATCGCTAAATCGATTCTAGTACCCAAATTCATCAAACTTACTTTTTTCAATGATTGAATACTTTGTGAATAATTTCGATCGTTTATCTCCACGTGGACCACGTTCTTTCTGCACTGCTATAATTGTTTTCTGTTGTTATTTAAAATTTGCTGTAAATTTTGCACATCGATTTATAATGCATACTCTCAAAGCTATTCCCGAAATATATAATTAAAACAGAGGAGAAATACTGAACAGTATAATTGTTCTTTAGATTCATACTATATTGTTATTATTGGGTTGAGGTCCAATTTAAATCAAGGCCAAACTAAATTGTAACTATTTCTGGAATTCGGTAATAACGTAGGCAAATATATTATTACTACTACTTAATTATGGCAATTGATTCCATGCAACCTGATTATCTGATTTTTTTCTGAAAAAATTTATATTTTTATTTGTAGGTACGTTACGCAACTATACGTTAATCATACGTGATTTTGCTCATCTAATCATAGAGCTATAGAAACAAACTTTTTCGGGACATTTCTTCAGCCTTTTCAATGACATTGAGTTATTTACTCAAAAATGTTTGGAGAGTGAATTTCAAAAAAAGAAAAAAAATTTTGAACGATTAATAGCACGAAAATACAGAAGATATTTCGAGAATTTTATACAAATCAAATAGGCACTAATGGTAAGTCTGAAACATTAATATTTTTAGCTTTAAAAAAATCAAAATAAAAATTAAATTTAGCAAGGGAAATTAAAGATTTTGTCTATGTAGATGAATTAGTATTAGCAGTGAGGTTAGAAAGAAGAAGTAAAATTTTCCTTTTAAAGTTTTTTCAAAAAAAAATTTTCACATAATTTATTGAACAAGACAGTCATTTTTTGATTGGCCAATAATTATAAAATATTTCGAACCTACCATTTTTGTTCATTTGCATTTGAAAACACTTCCGTAATCGGCATGAGGGACACCAATTCCGGCGTGTTTTATCAACCGGACAGTTATTACCACCAGCTACAATATCACACTTTGTAACCTATGTTATATTGCGTAAAAATTATTGCAAAAGTTAGCAATAAAGTACTTCATATTTAGCAATTTAGAAAAATAGCATTTGATTTTCGAAATTTAAACTCTTAGATTTAAATTAAAGTAATTTTTTTTACACAGTATAACGTAGGTTACATTAATTAATTCTTAAAGTTTTCATTATATTTCATGCAACACTTTTCGCAAATGATGTAAATGATAATCTCTGTCGGAACAATATGAGACAACCACGTGATGGTTATGCACTGAAATGTATTTGCATCCTGTTTCACGTACGTCATGCCATGATACTTTATTACAATTCGTACAGTGTTATGAAAAAATGAAACAAAATCAATTGTTCACGGACGTGACGACAAAAATAATTCTCTTTCATTACTACCATATATCACGAAACAAAAGCAATAATACATAAATTATAATAAAAACTCACAAACGCAAGTATAGCTAATGTTGCGTCTAATGCTGTAAAAAAAAAAAGACTTTTAAAGATTATTTATAAATTCCGTTACGAATCCACAATCACATACAGCGGTCAGGTCAATCTCAATCATTTCTCAATCAAAGTTTTGAAATTTTATCTTCAAGTACAACTAATCCTTATTATGACAGTGCTTTCATCTCATTAGTTTTCAATTTTTTATTATTGGAATTGAAGGTTAGTTGTAAAGAAATTGTCATTTAGCGCTTTGTATTGCAAAAAAATAGGGAAGTAAGGTGGGATAAAAGTTAATGCTAAAGCACGGCTAGCATAGAGAAGTGAGAAAGACTTCATGATATGTTAGTGAATCAACTGCGGTTTATTCGGTTGATGAATTGCTCGAAAAAGATTGGTAGTACGAAATTTTGAACCATTTCCAGTAATTTAATTCAAGGTTGAATTTTTTTTAGATAAAATTTCACAATCCAATATTTCTCACAGTTTTCAAAATTTTCTGCAATTTTCAAAATTTTCTTTCATACAATTTAAAAAAAAAAATACCTTCGTTTGAAAAAGCAGCTGCATCCATCACATGTCCATAGACCATAATGTCGTCCAGAACTTCTGTCGCCACATACTTGACAAGTTATTCGTATAAACTCATTATGTCCTAAAACGGATAATGAAGATCTAAGAAGCTTCTTTTCCCCTGTGAGTGTTGAATTAAATTTCAATTGCAAGATTTTTGATTTGTTTAGCTTTTAAAAATTTATTCATAAGGGATACATATCTGAAAAACTTTTGAAAAATTGCCCTTTGAAATAAAATAATTTGCAATTGTTTACAAAATGGATATATAATGGTAGGTAAAATAAAAATGGTCTTTTACTCATCCTTTTGCAAATGATTGTTCACTTTAGAGTTCGAAAAATGAATATGCTCTGAAATATTTTATGAATTAGTTATCTTTAAAGTTAGAATAAAGAAAAAATGCAATTTGCTAAGATGAATATCACGTGTTAGCAAAAGATTATCGGTGTTTCGATTAAATAAAATTTAAAGTTCATCAAAATTTATAATTCTTGGCACTTATCCTGTTTACTCGAGATTTCCTCTATATTGCTTATGTATCTTTCAGGAATATTTTCAGTTTTGTTCTTGAATTACAAATAATTTAGAGAAAAGTTTGCAATAATGTTGCAAAAAAATTAAGCTATTTAAGAAATTACCAAGCAAACATTGGTACTTATCATTTGCCATTGTGAAATCAGTGATGTGAAATTTTATTAATTTTGTCTTTCAATCTTAATTAATTGCAAGAATTCCGATGATTTCATTGATATTGGCATCAAGTCTATCTGATCAAACAATAATTCCAAAATGCAAATATATCTTTTTTTTCAGAAACTAATTGTAATCTTTTCGAAATCATCCAATTTCAAAAATATCATCTCTCTACGTTGTCTTACTATCAAAAAAAGCACTCGTCACAAACTAACACACATATATGTTTATGCATCACAAAAAGATTACTCAGCGCAATAATATAAATGATAACCGCATAATTTGACCACTTCGATCGACTATCGATCACTACCCTCGAACTACTCGTTCACTTATAATTACTCTCGGATCCCACTACAGTTTGGATCTTCTCTTCTATGTAGTTATTATTAAAAAACATAATTTTGAATTTTAATTTTACCGATTCATTGGGTGCGAAATTTCCGTACTCATCCATTTGTCTTTTCCTTTTTTCAATGATATTTTTCTCCCTACCAAATAATTCTAATATCGTAATTGAAATGCTAACGAATCATTATGAATACGGTTAGCAATGAAATGTAAGATTTCCTTTTTTATTCTAAACCAGACAATACTAAATGTCTATTTTTTGGGAGATGGATATGAAGAAGTATAATGAATAGAGTTAGCATCACACCAACCGCTGTTTTACTTTCCTCATGAAGAAAGGTATCTTTTTAGCTTTACTTTATTAACCCTTTAGTTTTAGAAATGACAGCCACACCTCATAGCTATGGCACTCGAATGTATTAATGATAATTACAAGAGCACTGGGAATGTCAAACGGCAACGACTCAGTAATTTTCAAGATAGGGTAAATTGAAAAGGCATTTGCCTATTGAATCTGAGAAATGAAAGTGCCTACCTTCCCTTGATTTTCCCATGCTTTTCCATTTGTTTGCTTACTTTTGCAAGCCAATTAGAAATTGAAATAAAATGATATGCCAGTATATTTGTATTACTTCTCACCCCCTCTATCCAACTGCATATCATATTTCAATTAAATAACAATAACTAAAATCACACCGTGATATTATTATGTACTCTTTATAGTCACATATTTGTAAATCTCTCACTTAAAACGAACAAATTAACAATACATTTTCATATCTAAATCTGAAATTATTGTTTAATTTTATCATATCCTCTTTCTTCCAAAAACTTATGCTCTATATCATACTATATTTTATTCAATTATATTCTATACCAGTTTATCAGTAATAATTATATTTTCAGACTTAAATCTAAAATTATTTTATTTTTTCCTTCCCGGATTGTCTATTCTGAATGTACATCCGATAAAGTGTCATTCACCACATTTGCATACCATTGCCATTTTTGCTCTTCACAGTTTGTCACAAAAACTGTGATAATTTACATAGGAATTACACGTGCATGTATAAGAATGATATAACAATAATGTACATTTGGACATTCCTTTGTCGCTACGCTTTTTTTTGATTTGTTTTTTCGGATTTCGAATTTGTTCCACTCTTTTTATTGACGTCTTTATTCTGCATATCCGCTTTATCTTCATTAGAATCCTGTTTGTCTCCTTTAGGTTTCGATTTATCTTCCTTAGATTCCGGTTCATCGGCTTTAAATTTCGGTATGTCTCCTTCCGGTTTGTCTGATTTGGATTTCCTATGTTTCTTCACTTTCTTCTCTTTCATCATTTTTTTATTCATTAGATTTTTGTATAAATCTTCAAGAACACTCGGAATTTTCGTCTTTTGATTCTTGCTTTGCACAGCTGCTACCATTCTAAAAAGATCTGGTAAATTAGCTTTTCTTTTTTTCCACGAAAATTTAAACTAATGCTAAAGAATTGTACTAAATTAATCTAATCATCACAGATCCATCTAATTTATAATAATACGACCACACATTTATATTGGTCAATACCAATCGATTTACAAATTTTAAAGAAAATAACGATATCAACAATGGATAGGAATATCGTCCTCGATTTCACCTGGGTATATCATCGTTAATGAATTGATCCAAATTATGCATTAATTCCTCGTCCACCTTATTCCATCCTTTGATGTATGACAAATGGGCCTTTTCCAGAAATGGCTACAAAATAAAATACTGCAAAAGGTAAGAAGGATGCATGCAAGAGCGCAAACATGTCACGCGATATTACAATACGATAAGCATTTCCAATATTTATTGATGCGTATGATTGACGTGTTTGCATTCGGTATTTATGAAAAGAAGTGACAAAAATTACAATAGCAGAATGCAGAATGCAAATTTTTTCCGCACTCTTTTCTCATATTTTAGCCGAAATTTTCACGGATGAGAAAGCAGAAGTGAAAACACTGAGCATACCAATATGTCGGGTAAATCGCTTTCTGCAACACGCAAACGATGCTTAAAATCTTCTAAAATTCGAAGCATATTACGTTGTGTTGCAACACGCTTTAGTTCACCATTTGACCTACACCACATCTAAAATGAATGGAAGGTTGCAACATAAGTAACCTTTTACACCATAACTACCCGAATATATTTACTGCTAATGCATTGATCATGCTGCTACATTGCTATCCTTAGGGTTGCTTCTAAAAGATACTCACTCATACTACAAATAGCTAAATCATTCTTTTCGTCTATTCTAATTACATATCTACTCGTTAGACTATCTATAGTCGAAACTTTATCAACAAAAAAAAATTGGTATAATTTATTAAAATTTGCAAGCAGTGCATGAAAGTTATTCTTGCAAATTGATATTTTAATAGTAAAATCACATTTAATAGTGAACTGGTTTAATGATAAATCCGTCTTAAAAGATGCATGAAATGATCATACATGGCATGCAGTCGTGTCAATCATAGAAAGATACGTTGCAATACGGAAAATGATCAGTTTGTAGGATTGCAAAGAAATTTGATGTTTGCATACCTTCTTAAGAAGACACTCCATAACGAGTGCATGAATTTTCAATTTTTTAGCACGTTTGATCACATCGTTTAGCTTACGTACATTACAACCCGATGGAAGTAATTTTAATTCATCGAAGAAATCAATATATTCTTGTGTAAAAATTTCATGCACTTCAGAGCTCTAAATTGGCAAACTTTTTTTTTGTTCATTTGAATTTTACAAGTACTGAGAAGTTTGATAAAAATTGAATTCTCATTTTCGTTGATTTAAATATACAGAAAAAAAACAACAAAACAGCAAGAATACGAACAATTGTATCTCTGGAATCGTCAGTACAAAAAGAACCAATGAAAACTTTGGGGACTTCAGGTGATTCAAGAATTCGGCTCAAACTCCACATCAGCGCACCTCTCACTCGTATAAGTTCTGCTGCTCCCACCTGATCTGCTTTATTAAGCACTATTTTAATCTGAATATCGTACTTCACATTTCCTACGAATGAGAAAAAAATTAATTTTTAAAAATTGGAATATTGTTATTTCACTTTTTGTGTTGTTTTCCTAGATAGGACAACAACACAAAAAGTAAATAAAAAAATTAAATGATAAAAATTAAATCAAGCAATACTTTTTCTTCGTTTCCTTTGAGACATTGTATCACTTGTTTGTATTCATCGCTGATATCCAATTTTGAAGTATCAAACAAAAGTACAATCATGTCAACCTGTTATGGTCATTAACTCTAACCTTATTAAAACATTCATTATCAGTAAGGAAAATGCATGATTATGATAATATTAGCAGGAATTGGAACGAAGAAAAATTTTATCAACACCCTCACTTTCCCAGCAATGTAATTTACGACCGATGCAAAATCGTAGCCACGAGATGACCGCTGCTTTTGACCTGATAATATTCCAGGTGTGTCCATGAAAGTGATATGTTCAAGTAATTTAGCCGGAAGTGTTGCACCACGCATTCGTGTCAGGAATGCCGAACCGAACATATTCAATGACTACAATGCAATACTATCATTTACTTTAAGCGCATTCTTATTTTTCATGCTCGTTTCTGTGTGTATCAGAATGACATTATTCCATGAAACGTGATGCCTTTGATTGACGTGATTTCATGTCGATGCATTAGTTTTCCAAATGAGATTTGCAGTGGCAAATCTAATTGATGGAAGCACTTTTTATAGTTCACTTTATATTTTTGAAGGTTATGAATATAAATAATTTTTAGCATTGAAATAATCATCCGAAAACTTTAACGCTTAAAATCCTCTAAAAGCAGTTCAAATCAAAAGAATGAACCTGAAATGGTAATGTGTTATCAGATGCAAGAGATGTTCCCATAACAGTGCTTGTATTAGCAGAATGATAAATGACTGTGAAACAATCTGTAGTTGGTTCCGGTCCAATCATACTACCTGGATATTCCATTCCGTTCAGCAAAAATTTGATCATTGATGTTTTACCCACCGAATACTTGAATAAATTGTATACATTCAACTTTATCATAATAGCAAAACTATACATACATTAGCTTGCAATATCAGATATTCAATAAATATCAGTTCAACTAATTCAACAATGAAGAATATTGACAATTTGAACTATATTGAACCAAAAAGAAAAAAGCTAACCTGGCCAAGGAAAAGAACCATTGGTTTGGCCTCAAATTCGGCACGATATAAAGCTGGCGTATAAAATTGATCATAGATATGCCGCTTTTCCATTGGTAACATCTTTAATTTTTGCTTTTTTACATTGCCATAGAAAAAGCGTAAACATTAATCAGATGACAAATTCTTGAAACAAAAAAAAAAGAAAATTTCCCCTTTCTCTTTGCCAAATTAAATGATGCTGCTAACACATGAAAATTTTTATTTTATCCTCTAACATTAATTGCTAAGCCTTCATCCTATCATTAAAGCAACTCATTTTGAAAATGCAATTGGCTTACAGCTTTCAACTAGCAAAATATTCTTTCTTTTACCCTTTTTGAACAAAAAAAGTGAAGGAATCCGACAGGAAGGCTATGCACCTTTTGTTCATAGTTCAAATAGAGTACTTCGGCGATGTTTTCTCTGGTTGGTGACGGTATCGGTGCCTAAATAACCTACCTAATTTAGACATAAAGCAAGGAATTATACTGAAATTTTCAAACCTTCAAAAACTTCAAAATTTCACAATTGTAAAATAAAAAATTGCAATTAAATTCATTCAATTTTGAAAAATTCCACTGACTGACCAATGGAACCAATCTCTTTCGAAATAATCCCATTCTCTTAAACAACCGCTATATTTTAACAAAACCGCTTGATTGTCGTGAAATGAATAAAATAGTCATTTGATGAAATTTCACTGCATTTATGAATCCGTTTTAATAAACAAATATCGAAAAATTCACATACTAAACGAAAATTCATAATTTTTTGAAGAAATCATTTCATCCATACACGAGAACACAACACTCTTCAAATCTCACGATCAATCGCTTCACGTATTATTTTGAGCAGAAATTATTTTCTCAAATAAAACTCCCGAAAAAAATGCGTTAAATTTAACAAAATCTCTCCCTCTTTATCTTTCTCCTTTGTGCTTCGATCACTTTCCGACATAGAAATCAGAAATGAAAGAGCGGAAATTCACGTGACAGTACATCCGATCATTGTTTAGCTTCACTTCTGGAGGTGCATTTTCATTTGTTTACATTTGAAGAGGAACGGGAAATGTGCGCTTACACATAGCTTTTCACCCATTCTGGTACTCCTCACGGCTTGACTTATTTCTATCATTCCGATGATAGCGAGCGAATGGAGAGATGCTGATGAATAAATGTAGCCGATACTGTATGTGATTGTGACACCCGACACCTCTGATGGGGTGGGCTAATGCCAGTCATATATATAGAGAGAGGAAGAGGTACCAACGAGGTCAATAGGTGGGATTGATGGTTGTTTCCGTTTCTGTTGAGAGTGATTTGCAGGATGCTTAAAGCTAAAACAGCCAGCTGGCAGCAGCTTCAGCTTGCTGGTGTTGTGTTTTGTGCTTGCTGTACATGGAGCAATGTACCACTACATTCGTATCAAGCCCAGCAATCTCCGTACCATCTCTTCCTCCTCCTCCATATCATTCCACCGCTATTCCCACGCAACTAAACGAACCTCTCAACCAACGGTTCCCTTCTTGCAATATTAATATGAAATTAATTGATTCATTACCTTTAGTATTTTTCCATTCTATACACGTTAAGTATGGTACTGTGGTACCATGGGCACGCCATGCGTACGTCTTTCACCTGTTCAGCTATCGGTGGGAATTCATATTTTTGTCCGAGCTGCCCCTTGAAAGACTAACGCCACGATGCCCCTCTTCTTTCTTCCATCCTCTCCCTCTCTTTCTCTCTCTCCCTCTTCCTCTCTCTCTCCCTCTCTTTCGCCTCTTTCCAGTTATTGCACAGAGATTTTTTGAAAAGAATTTTCCTTCATAATTTTTGATTAATTCGATGGATTTATGACTTTCCTCATCTCTCATTTATTCTCGCAATTGTACAATCCATTTAGCTTACAGCTCCAAAATGTCCTGACGGTACAGTATGTTAGGAAGGTGATGCAATGGTACTGTACAGGATGGAATACATGGAAGGGAAGTGAACTTTACTATTTACTTAATTTCTCTTTACAAATAATTCATGTATAATTTAATTATTTATTTTAAGAAGCAGATAGGAATATGACGAACGGGTAAAGAGATGTTATGTTATGGGCACAAGCTGAATGTGCTTTGAGTCTTAGCTGAGACTAAATTTACAAGACAAATGAGCATTGTGTGTGTGTGGGTGTGTGGGGGGGGGGGGCAGTTCAGATGTTCGAATTTATTAAAACAAAAAAAAAATGGAAGAGCGCCGCGAAGAAAGGATGGACTCTCGATGTTTATCCTCCAGTAATATCCTGGAAGAGGGGAAGAAGTCGGCAACAACAGCGGTGGCAGTAACAGCAACGGCTTAAAGAAATCTTTTATCTTCAATCTCAGTACTGAATATGGCTACCATTCGTCCACCTCTTTGGTGCATTTCAAAAATACCAATTCTCAAATGGCTTCAATTGGTCAACCGTTTACTTACTTAAAAATACCCTTTCATACTTTTAAATTCAGTTGAAACCACTTGAACTTTACTTTGGTGTGATAAAGAAATAAAAATCTATTATCATTTCTAATAGATAATGCACTATCAGAAGATGTGTTGCAAAATTTCATTTCTGAAAGCATTAATTTTATTATTCTCCTCCTCTTGTTGGTTGGTTACAGCTACCATTTCGTTTGTTTATAGCATTTTTTACTTTGACTTTAGAAAGATTTATCTTTGAAATTTCAAGTATTTAAGATTTTTTTTAAACAGTTATTTAGCACCGGTGAAAGATTAGTCATAACAGTGATAATAGCAAGATCAGTTGGTGCCCACTCATTTCCCTTTTTATTGAAGTTTCTAGCATACTTCGAGCATCTATCCTAGCTCGTTATATTCATTACGTAATACAAATACTTTCTTATCAGTCACCACTGTACTGTATTGTACTGTAACAGATAAATGATCCTTTCAGGTATGCTCCTTCATTGTTGCTATATTTCTCAGCGATGGAAGGTACCAATGGTTTGTGTACACGGTGATCTTCTTCATTTCCATCTTTCTCATTGTGTGCACATTCCTGACATTGGTGGTACTATGCATGGGTATGAAGAACATTTACAATATTGTTAGTTTCGGTATTACAAATACAAACTGTTCCATTTGTGTGAAACTCGTTTAACGGTACCTGGTCAGTGGTTTTGTTATCGATGATGCAAGCCGTTTATCAGTTAGATAGCACTCCTTGATTAAGTAATTTTGCTGATTTGTATAACAAACAATTCATGGATATTTATCGAAATGAAATGAATAATGTTTCGGATTATATGATGATTGCACATTTACAGGAAGTGATATTCAATTTAGTTGCATTTTCGCTATGCTTAATGGCTGGTTCAGTATTAACTTATGATCTGATAAAAATGATTTCTGGTAGTTTTGCTCATCATCAATATCTTCCGCCAACACATATTGGTAGAGACAGCTGGATGAATCGGATCGCCGTCTGTACGGTACAGTATTCTTAACTTTCCTATTCTTTGTCCATATGATTAATTCAGTTTTAAGTTTTAATATACACTGATCGTTAACTGATAAATCGTCCCAACGGTGCAATTTTCACAGAAAGACAATTGCATGTATCACTTTTGGTCACTACGGTATTTGCCATTCCCTAAGACAATAGCCTTTTACCTAAATTTAAAATCAGTTTTCAGGTATTCCTGCTTCTGAAGACGCTCTTTTATCAGGCATCGTTTGTGCTAACCAAACATATGGGAAGAGATGTGGACCAGTAAAAATATTTCACGAGATTTCCATTCCATCTTGTGTTCTATTTTTATTTTAAAAGGTATAACAATGAAAAGCTTACTGAAATTAAAAGTCTAAGTCACATGAATCAATCGATGGTCTGTTTTGAAGTATTACTTACCTTCGAATCCATTGTAGCATTATGAATTATTAATCTTATCAATGAAAGAATACCTATAAGTTTTTTTTTTGATAGTTATTATATTAGCTAGTTAGGATAATCAGTACTGGAATTTTCGATAATATTCATTTTTACTTTTTATCATTTCTAACTGCATCACTGAATGTTAATTTCTGCTACATTTGCTATATCATCGTACGCGATAAATTTTTGTATTTTTTGTTGTAAAAAATTTTACGTAAACTATGCATTCATTAATTATACATTTGCATTTCATGCAATAACTTTAATCCTTATTGGCTTTCTTTGCTCTCATCGTCGTACTATTTCACGAAAAATTAATATTATATAAAATCGCTGTTATTCATTGCATTTTATTGTTACCAATTTTGCAAAGTTGTAAAGAGTGGTCTGAATTGTTCGTTGAAGCATTTTCTCCTCTTCACGAACATTTCTGTAGTTCGAGACTTATGAAATCGATGATCAATGGAGACAGTTTGTGATGCATCGTTGTTTTGGTGCGTTTTGCTATTGATAAGATAATGAGATAAATGAATACGAGAGGAAGACGGATTTGTGAACCGCTGAAGACAAAAATTGCTAAATTATAGTTGGTTCTGAACTTCATGTAATAGTTAGAGATGATAACAAATCAATATCACAGATCATTATTATTATGTGAGGCAATGAAGTATTTTCATGATTTATCTTTCTAGAAATGCTTTAAAAAAGAGAAAAATATTTTAAATGATCTAATTTCAACATTAACGATTTTTATTTTAGAAGATCAAGAAAGTCTCTATTCAATTTTATATCAAAGCAAAAAATAAATTTTTTTTAGGATTTATAATATTCATTTTATGGAAAAAAAGGATAATGTGTGGAAGGAATTTCCTTCAGATTACATACTCAGATTCTTACCTTTTCCGCAGTTTCTTGTTTCAGTGTGCAAATAACTTTTGTATTTGTGGTGAGTACAGTGTTGCTGTGGTGGGGATGTTGCAACCGGACAGTCAGTAACGATAAAAGACGGCACAATCATCCTTCAGCTACTTCGGAAGAAACCGGTGCTGCTATAACACCGATAAATGGTGTAACACGAACTACAAAAATAGCTGGCGAGGATGCATTATCGAAATCACAATCAGTTCCTCGTACATCGGTGATTAATTTTGATTATACTTATGGTATTTTAATTTTGCATGCTCTGACATGCATATGTTCACACAAACAAGATCATCTGCTGCGACAAATGCGCTTCCAAAAAAAAAAAAAACTTGTAGATTTAAACATTAAGTTATATCAAATTGAAGTGCTTGAATGATAAGATCACATACATTATTTAATAAATGATGGTAAGAAATAAATGGAATGAAAGCGTCATCGAAAAGTGGAAAATGGAAGCATCTGACGCAAAAAGGAATTATTTCAAAGAAGCTTTCTGAATTGAAGGCGCAATTATCATAGCATTCAGTGCAGAGGGAATTATTGAAATCCTAAAATTATGCATCACTAAAGATGAGTAAATTGACTTCATTTGCTTAACTGATAAGTGGTAGTGCAGACATTTCACTAGAAAACTTTTTAGTCCGAAAAATCGATAGAAGCAACACAGCCAGAAACCATGAAAGTGATTCCTCAAGTAAGCAAACCATTTTGTAGAGATAGTTAGCTTCATATCATTGTTTAAATCATCATACTATCATGCTGTCTTCCAATGAATTTTTAATTTTAAACAATATTAAATTAAAATAAGACTGAATGGAATGGAATAGAATGGTATATGATCGAAAGTGCTTTGCAAATTTATATCAAAACCGACTAAGATTTGTATGTAAAATTTGTAAAAAGAAAAAGTAATGCAAAATTTGCAGTCACGTTCGAAATCAAAATCATTAAAATTAGAAAATTTGGATCAATCACAACCTGAAGATGTTATTGTTGCAGTAGAGTTTTTTAATCTTTTCTTTTTTTTGTAAACTGAAGCGAGAAAATATTTTAGTAAGTTATAACAGTTCACAAGGAATGACATAATATTTCATGCTTATCTCAAATAATCAAACGATATTAATTACAGAGTGAAAGAGAGAGGAGAAAGAAAGAGACTGAAAAATAAGTAAAATAAGTAAAAAAGCATTGGCCTCGATCGAAGTAGATGATTCTAAATCATAGAATGCCTAATTTATAAAAATTGAATGTGCAAAATGACTTATATTCCGAGTTCATCTCTAAATCACTATGTACCTATACTGTAATAATTAGAAGATTTTTGACATTGAATATTTAGAAGTTTGAAACTTTTATCGGAACTGATTCGCATGCTGAAATTACCAGTATTTAAATGGATGTATATTACAGTGTAAGGAAGAGCAAGATTCATTTGCTACGCATATTCCCAAGAAAAGAGTTGCTAGAAGAAGCATAGAGGTTTTCATCACCTTTTATTATTTCATAAAATTCATAACTTTGAAATTGTTAAAATTTAAGTTTGAATAAAAAAACTACTTAATAATTATTACAGATTAAATCAAGGCCACCGGTACGTTGTGATCGCGATGACTACAAGACAATTCCGACACATATGTTGCCTCCTTCAACTGATGACCTTTAGAAAAAAGAAAAACAAATTACAGAGATAATTTTATTATTGCGCAAGCATGTATAGCCTCAACTCTCAATTGTAATAAATTTTTTTTTTTAATCGAAAACGATGAAATTTCATGTCAATTTCTCTATGAGAGATTTACATTTTTCATACGATAATATTCATCTATGAAAATGTTTATAATCAAACAAATAAACACCCAAGCATATCTAATTTATTCTTTTTCGTATTAAGAGTTAATCCTCTATCTGAGCATATAAGTGATATTACCATTGAAATTTGTCAAGCTTATCGAACCGTCCACCACCACCACTACCACTCATCTCACATAGATGATATCATATGGTCAGTTTAGCCGTGTGATACCATCTGTGAGACAATTCTCCCCACCATATAGTGAAGGTATTGTCAAAGTTTCAACAATCGGTCGCATTTCGTTATGTACCGAAAATCCTCCTCAAATTATAAATTTAAAAAGAGAAATATTGGTGTGTGTGTGTGTGTATGTATGTGTTTACTTTTAAGCTAATTCAGAAAAAGAGGAGAGAGGAGAGTTTTTGGTGAAGAGGAAGACGAAGAGAACAACCAATGCGTATTTATTCCTCGATAGAACGGATTTACAAATCAGAGCGCTTAGGCTTGTAGCTTTTTCAAGCCTTATTTTGATTATTAAAATGACGACTATTAGTTATCCTAGCAAAACGTGAATAAAACCCAATGGTAAATCTATTACAACTAACTAGGTCTTTTACTTTAGCTCTAGCTTGGCTCATTTCTCCCTGCTTCTCATTCCATTCACTGTCCCATTCTTTCCTAGTAGCCCATCCTTACATATATGTCTACTTTTTAAATGAACTCAGTTTGGTTAGTTAAACCAATCGATCATAATTTCATCTTTATGTCATTTTACGACAGACGCACATCACATGACATAACATGGTATGCATGCAGTTGTAACCTGCATAGATTATAGCTTATAAAGCCAAATTTTTTTCTATAAAAAAATGGGCTCAAATAAAGAAAAAATGCATATTTTTCTCCAATCAAACGAAGTAGCAGCTGCTGCAGTAGTAGTAGTAGTACAGCCATGTAACACCGCTGCGGTAGTAATAGTAGTAGTAGTAGTAGTAGTAGTAGTAGTAGTAGTAGTAGTAGTAGTAGTAGTAGTAGTAGTAATAGTAATAATAGTAGCATTAGCAGTTGAAGCAGCAAATGAGTTGCGCAGAAAATCTCCCGATCCTTTTTTTTTCTACCCATTCTCAGTCCGGACAGTTATTACCAATTCATCCATTCCACCTGCTTTTTCATTTCTGCTTGCGTGGGCGGCTACTTTTTCATAAAGCTGCTTTATTTTCTAATCTTTTCAATTACTTCTCAGTCTAAAAAAGCGTCACTTCTATTTTGCAAAACTTTTCCCTTCCATCAAATTCATATCTCATTGATGAATTTGCATTGAAATGACAGTCAACGTTCATACATTTAAATGATATAATCCCTCTGTACTCAACTTCCGTTCTCACTTACTTACTTACCTATTTTCCTTTGCCACCTATCATTTAACTATTTCAACATTCATATTTATCACATTTTTATTATCTTTCTCATGTCATTTCCTCCACATTTATTAGCCATCGAACATGCAATCCAATAGAATTTCGCGCGAAATTGTTTTCCATTCAATCTTTTTGCTTTTGTTTTTTTTTTTGTTCCTTTTTGGCATTCGAAAATATAGGAATTTTAAAGCTAACATATTGATAGATGGTAACCTAAAGAATTAAATGGTTAATTTCCCTGAGATAGCAGTGTTCACTCATAATAATTGTACTTTCATTATCGTCTATTGCAGGAAAACGTTTGATTAGACGTACAGTTGTTGTGTTCGAATTTCATTCCAAACTGTTGATATTCAATAAACCATCTGCTTTTCTAACCGTTTCATGATTTTTTATGAGTAATAACGGGTTTCACATAACTTCCTTTAATTATACTTGTAGAATATTTTAATTTTATTCATCCTTTGCAATTTCATTAAGTTACAAGCCATGTTTGTTCAGTTGAAATGCAGTGAACATCATTATCTTTAGAATTATTACTGATGGTTTTTTTGCTAAAGTTAATTAGGATAAGTGATTAATATACGAATAAATCACATATTAAACAACCACATGTGTCACTTGCAGATTCGGTTAAGTATTGTCAGTGATAAGTACCAACCTAACTGAATTCACTGTTATGAAGTGTACTTAAAACACCTGCAACAAATGTCATAAATATTATACAAACCTAAAGGATATTACCATAAATTTGATACTCTTTTAATTCACATATTTCATTTTTGCCTTAAATTCCATTCTTCTTCTTATCATTTCTGTTAGACATATGAAAAGTTTTATTTTTGCATAGATTCTACTTTCATACTTTTTAAAAAAGCAATTCTCGTTTGCTTCTTACCGATAATTCTAGAAAATCATTTATTATAAAAACGCTTTTATGGCTTTCAGGCGAATAGCAAAAGAAAAAAGGAAAAAGCAAGCATGTAATTTGCTTGCTAACAATCTTTCCTTTCCCTTCCCTCTTCTCTCCTCTCTTTACCGATAGAGAAGACAATCCCATTTGTTCAATCAATTTTCTGAAAGATAAATTGCAATCGTTGCAGCAATTTTGACAGTTTGTTGATGATACTCCGAGAATAATCTCGCAAACCTCAACATTTCCCCTATAAATAGCGTATTCCTCCAATCAATTGTTTGAAAGATTAATTGCAGCCGAGAAGCAGCAATTCATGACAGTTTAGCTGATACTTTAACAAGATAACCCAACAATTTCAACATTTTTATACAAATAGCTTAGTGCATTGAAACTTTGTTTAATTCCATTTTTTTTTCTCTAAATTTTTGAACTTTTCATTTCGTGAAGAGAGAGAGAGAGATATTAGCTGATGATTAGAAAAATTTCAACTCATTTAACTGTTTAGTTATTTCTATAACGGTCAGATAAAAGATATATTTGTGACATGGCCATAATAGAAAGAAATGGAAACGATATGAAATTACAGATTTCTTGTATTACTTTATAGAAATAGTAAAGGTAAATAGGAGAGAATGATGAGAAAGGGGGAGAAAGAGAGAGAATCAATTCCTTAAAAGTATAGGAAAAAAATGGAACGCATGAAGGAAACAACTTTTTTGACATTTTACCAATATACTTCAATAATAATCTGCACTAGCTATATCACTTTGTGCTATCACAAAGAGAAAGAGGAAGAGGAAAGGGAGAGAGGGAGAGAGAGTTTAATGGAATCTTCAAGCCAGAATGATATGGTGTCCTAGGTGTTCCCATTATCCTCTCAGTTGTCATCATCACCATCATCATCACCACAAATTAGTTAATCTTCCGGATATAATCGAATCCTTTCCGCATGCACGCAAGATAGCTTCCGGATAAATAATACTGGCAACACTGAAAAGATAAGCTATTTGGGAGCAACAATATACAACCACATATTAGCCAACTGTATATGTAGCTGCTCCTACTAATGCTAAGCTCTCTTGGACCGACTTCAACTATTCCTCTTCCTACCAACCACATCACTAATCGATCATCACAAAAGCGCCCGAACTAATCATCTTTGTATGTCCATGTATGTGTGTGTATGTGTGTGTGTGTGTGTGTGTGTGTGTGTGTGTGTGTGTGTGTGTGTGTGTATGTATGCCCAATTTGTGCTGTGTATCACTTACTCGGTTACTGCTTCATAGTGGCTTACATTGATTTCATTTGATTGTTTTGTTTAATAATAACAGAATTTCCCTCGAATACATTACACTGGACGGTTTAGACCATGAAGGAATGCTTTTCCTATTTTATTCAATAAGAAAGGTTTCTTTTATCGTTTACAAACCAAACCTTAGCTATCATTCTGCATATCTATCAATGGATATATGTCTGTATTTCCATTTTCTTTGTCTCAAAGTTTGAGAAATATCTTACGGCTTAACAAATACTTCTTATGCTTTTATGCTCTCTCATTGCCCTCTCTCCTTCTCTCTCTTCCTACTCTTCTTAACAGATCAATTCAATATCTTATTTAACTTACCTGATTTCCACTTCATAATTTTTCTCTCTGTATGCCAAAATGATTTCCATTTATCAATAACAAATACCGTATCTTCTATTACCGTAACTTTTCTATGCTATGATTTTATCACTTTTCATTGTGATAATTGACTGTATGATTATTCATCCTGTTATTTTGCCAAATTGCCTTGCCAAACCGTAATCCTAGGATTTCATTTTTCCATGGTTCGCATAGCATTTGATAATTAAAGAATTGAAATAGTATTCTCGACGGGGCTCACGTTCACGTTTTTGTTGTTTTTTAGCATGTGAAATGAGTGATACTTTTCATCTGTGCAGGCCTTTCTACTCTATAACAGTAAAACCAATATTAACAAATAATAAATAATAGATAATAATAAATAATAAATAATAAATAATAAATAATAATTAATAATGATATTTAACAATTTATGTTGCCGCTTCATCACTCATTATTAAAATATATATTAATAGATTAACCGATCAATTCATTTTAATTAATTCATTATTTCATTTTTTGATCTTTTACATATCATAATCTCCGACTTGCAGTGCAAAATACTTTCGAAAAATAACTTTCTTGTTGCTGTAGCAGTTTGTTCATAATAAAAATAATAATCCTTGAAAAAGTGTGTTTTGTTTCATTCGTTTTTTTCTAACAAGTTATAACTTCGAAAATGAAAATTTTTAAATTCCTAAAATAAAATTTAAGGATAATAAATGGAAGAGAAAGCAAAGTTGGGAGTGATGGAGTTGGCCTGATGGAAAGCGGAAGGAGGAGACGTTCAACATGGGATTGGGTCAATTGTTGCTTTTACCTGCTTGCACCAATTTTTATCTTTTTTGTCATCATTGCTATCGTAATAACACTTGCTTTATTGGCATAACCATGGATGAACATTTGATGAATATCTCTTTCTCCTTCTCCCTCTCCCTCTCTCTCCTCCTCCCTCTTCCTCTCTCTCTCTCTCCTTCTCCCTCTTCCTGTATCGGTCAGCAAAAAACGATAAAAAGCAATTTGCTCATTTCGATTGTTTTCGATGTTTCATTTTTTCCAACAAATACTGTTCTTAATCCGTAATTAAAAATTGTAAAATTACAATTTAAAGAATTTGTTTTGTTTCGCTAACAAATAATAAAATTTGTAGCTTTTAATTATGATATAGAAGTAAAGTTATAATTGATTAGATCATTTGTTGATCCAATTTATGGATTTAATGAATTCAAAAGTTATCTGAGGGTAAGAATAATATTTAAAAATTTAAAGTTACCTAACGATACGATCGATATATGCGTAACATTAGTGAATGTAAAAGTGTGAAATTTTTGGGAATAAAACTTTGCAATTTCTCAATTAATCATTAATGATTTTTAACAGAAATAAACAATTCAAATGTTATTATCGAATTTCAATGATCATTTGTGTGTCACTAACAGCTTTATAACCCAACGATAAAAGCTCAGCTATCATTTTTTTCTTTTGTACAATAAATTTATTTTCGATGTCAGTTTCTTATCGTTTTCGCATAAATAATATTTCTATTACCACATCATTGTTATTATTTCCTTTTTTCATAATTTTTGTTTATATGATAAGATGATTTTATCATTACTGTATTAATTCATTCCTCTAAACTGTAAATATCATTTTTGCAAGAGGAATAAACAAACAAAATGTCCATTAATTAATGTGTTGAATTTTCAATTTCATGTAAAAAAATAAAATTTGATAAATTATACGGGATTTTTTGAAATTGGTAGAAAATGCAGAAGGATGTAAGTAAACAAGACAAGTTTATTCTCACATATTGAAAAACAGCGCAGTCAAAAACGATTCAAACTAGGCAATGCAAAGATGACGAAAGATCACCCAAGGATGATATCTGAGGTCAGGCGGGAATTTTTCAAAGATCGGTCAAATGAGTGGTTGGGTCAGTGAGGGACTATCACAGTTATGCAATAAGCAAAAACCAACCCTCCCAGAAGTGTCGTCGATTTTTTTTTGCGCAGGTGATTTGTTTGATATGCTATACAGTCATCAATTTTTGTGATGTATTTTTCTTGTATTTCACTAATTTTGTTTCTTCCTTACCTGTCTATTAGATATTACCCTCCGGCCTACCTGTCGTGTCTAAATTCTGGAATTATTTCTGAGAGCTTTTTCTTTTACAGCCTTTTAAATTACTCCTTCCTTTTCATTATTTCTTTCTCTCAGAATGAAATTCTTATTGCTATTAAAATTAAAAACGTTACAATGAGCTTATTAATTTTGAAAAATTTTGGATACATATTAATCTTATTAGCTGAAAATTCATTATCACTTCTCAATAAGATAAATTCAGACAATGCAAAATTGAATTATCGATATGCCAAATAGTTAACAAAATCATTTAACAATTAACGAAATTCATTTATTTAAATCTGCTTGGTAAAAAAAAAATTTGTCCCTTCACTAATTTATTTAACACATTATCAGTTTGATACACGTAATAATGACAGTTCAATCTATCCTCGACTATTATACTTAAAATATTTTAGAGAGTGAAATAATGGTGCAACGGTATTTGAATGGTTGAAATTAAATTAACAAGCCAAATATCACAAACTTGCTATCAAGCGCTTAAAATTTATATACAATCAGTGCTCCTTCATTTGTTACTCCACAAATTTCTCTATTTCCGATCTTAAATAGTTGACAATGAAAACAGAATAACAATATCTGTTTACTTTAACGGGTGTATAATTCAAAATTTGAATTATGAATTCTTTAGCATGCTTCTTAACAGATTTTATTTTTCATCTTGGTAATACTAATTCGAATTACAGATAATACCTATTCTTATTTTTCTAAAAAGTGATATCAAAAGTGTTACCTTTCGTACTGTTTCATCGTTTATCGATGAAACAACTTTATCAAGTTTTTTTTATTCAGTTTTTGAATAAAATTTAAGCCTTTCAGGTTATGCCTATTAATTAATAGACCCTCAAAAAATATTTATTGGAAAAATTAATCTTGCAGAAACGAGACTTAATTTAGTTTGTTCACATTAATTAGCTAATCGATACCTTGTAGGGAAGTGAAAAAAGCAACTTTGCAAATCTAATTTTTGCTTGTTATTGTACTATTGTAATGCTATTTGAATATAATATGGGTTTGTTAATTATATTTATAAAATTCCCATACTCATCAAAACGTTCAATTGAACTTGCAAACTATTATACTTTTTGTTGGTAGCTCATTTTTTCCATCAATTTTCAACTTTACATTTTCCTTCCTCAACCATCGAAAAACAGTAATGCTAGCAAGATAATTTATTAAACAAACAAGTACATCTTCTTCTTTTCTTTAACAGTACTCTTTTCTTTATTTTTTGTAATTTTTTTTGTGAAAAAAAATTTCCATCCTATCAAACAAATACCATGTAAAAATTTGTTACATATGTAAATCGAGTCAAACTTCAAATTAAAGTTGTCGTTTGCAGTAATAAAGCAAACATCGTTGAATCTTTCCTTTCCTTTTCTATCCAAAAAAAGCTCTCCTAAAAAATTTTTTATAGCACTATTTATTCTTTGTTCAATACCCTTACCATAAAATATTGATTGCGTATCATTTTTTTTTTTTTTTGAAAAGAAATATATCACATACATATGTATACATAAAATGTGTATTATATATTTTAAATGTATAATGTACATATTACTCGTTTAATATGTGTATAAGCTAATATACAATGTTCGCAGTTGGCACATAACTTCATTAAATATTTAGGTGAGTTATTCGATTTAATTAATTTTTATCTACCGTTCTAAAATGTTTAATAATTCATTTTTTTAATTCATCCATTAATTTATCGTATCACTTGATCACTGTCCTCAATAAAAATTAGCATCGCCAAGCTTTCTCGAGTAAAATGAACACTTTTTGAATGATATAAATTTTTCTTCGTTCTATTCATAAACTTACAACATTATAATTGAAGAAAAAAATAAGATATTTAAAAAGGTTAAGTTATACTTTGCAGCAACTGCTCCCTCTTAAAAGTTATTGTTAGAAAGTTAATTGATTTTAGTTACAATATCCCAAATTAGTCAAAAATATTGTAATTGTAATAAATTGCCGTAATCTTTTTTTCCTCTTCATCTCAAATTTTTTGATCAATTTGAAGGAAAAGTGGAAAGAAATAAAAATGCGTCTTTTCATTTTTTTTCATACAGTGCATTAATGCATTTTATTCTCGTGAAAAATATTTAATACAAAATTAACAAAGAATAACTGTAAAATCTCTAATCGGATTTTACAGTACAACAATACATTGATTGCACTGTGGAACTAACAGACTTGTTTTATACAACGAAAACAATCAATGGCTGCAGTTGCACCGAAGGTAAAAATTTATTTAAATTTTTTTTAACTTGCATAGTTATGAAGAATTTGAAATAATGACACATAACATTTGTCTATGAAATTTGGCTTGACTGCTTATATTTTAAACTATAAAATCATATTTACTAATTTTATCCTACATTTCATCAGACCTATTGAAAAAAAAAACTAAAGATTTTAAAATTTCTTAATCTACTAGATGGAATGAAAAATAAATGTTCCAGCGTGGAAATCTTCCTCATTGGATTTCAAAATTAAATTAATACCATATGTAAAAATGTTAATTATCATTGAGACATTTGTTACTAAAATGATGTGAAAGTTCCGGTTGAGCTGAACAAGAATAATAACTAGCATTTTTACTAACCACAACTAATTTCGCTTAATTTGGCAGCAAAAAAATTTGTGTTTCGAGATTCGATGAACTCAAAAAATGCATTTTTTGCATTCTGCCGATTGTGGAAAAATTTCCTTTGCAAAAAGTAATCGAAGTGATTGAAATAACAGTTATGAGATCTGAAGAATATGATGGATAATGAGACAAGGATTTTAATTCAATCATTTTAATACCTGAAGCCTTGATGGTACAAAAAAGACATGACTAATCTCTGATAATCTAATGCTAAACGGATTTCTGAATTCCCACACTGTAACATTTGGGAATTGAGCTTGATAATCGTTATAGGATTCAATCCAATTTTCGCTTGCATGTCATAATCTCATTCCAAAGTCGTTGTCGCATGTAAAAGAAAATGAACGAAACTTTTCAAACTCTCATTTTTTTAACCCAAATTTATTTCACAGACGTAATTTTAATTAACGTCAATTTCCTCAATAATTTATCACTTACTTTTGAAAAAAAAAAATCTTTTCCAATGATTTCTTTCAATTGGTCGTAATCATTTTCGACAGTTTATCACGATTGAATTTACAATTGCATTCGATATCCATAATTTTTGACCAAATAAACATTAATAATGCACAATAAAAAATATTATTCGAAATTTGCATTTTGTTTAACATTGAACAAATTCATTAGCAAGAAAAAAATGAAAAGCAAGACAAAATTAGCATTAAAATACAATGTAGCCGCTATATTGATGATGTCAATTTAGGTTGAAAAACTAATGGAATTTTTTAGAATCATTTAAATTTTGCTGCTTTTATATTGCCATGCATGTGAATAATGTGGCAAAAAATTAGCGTTAAAATGATATATAGTATAACTTTATCATTTACATGTATGGAAATGTAAAACATCAAACTTTAAAAAAAATATAAAATAACAAATTTTATGATACAAGAAAGCGTATTAATTTTTTTAAAACTAATACAATATTATCATCATTATTATATTGTTACTAAACTATACTACCTAAGTAATACTTTCAGAGAAGGAGTACAAATGCTGCAGTTTATGAATTTAAGGAAGATATCTCAATAAATACGGCAGAAAGGAATTTAATACTACGAAAATCCACATTATTCGCATGGGGAATCATTATACCACTTCTCATTGTTGCTGTCATCATATTTGGTAGTTTGTATGTGATGGCGAGAATAAAGCTTCAGGAACAAAATAACGCTGCTCAATCTTTTGATCAATCTGATTTCGGTGTATGCAAAAAGAAGTAATTTTATTGTAACAGCAAATTAACACTAAATGATTATCACTTCTTGCGATATTCTCTTCTGATAATATTCGAAGCATTCAATCAAAGAGATATTTAATGGAATAATATAAATTTCATCGATAATAACATTTATTGCTAATATATTCATTTATGTAGATTCGATATACCTCCGTTACTCATCATTAGTTCTGATGGTTTCCGGAATAGTTATTTGGATAAAAATATCACACCAACAATTCAGCGTTTAATAAAATATGGTACTCATAGCAAATATATGTTACCAACATTTCCTTCAAAAACTTTCCCCAACCATTATACAATGGCAACAGGACTTTATCCTCCTTGGCATGGAATCGTCGATAATCATTTTTACGATGCACAATTCAAGGTAATATCTTTTATTCGATATTTCAATAAATTAGTATTTCATGTTTTAAAAAGACAGAAATCTAAATATTCACATGGATTGGACTATTTTAGATGAGCATAGAGAAGATATAATTTGTTAAAAATAGATTTTTTGATTTTGTTTTATATTGTAGTTGCAAATAATCGAGTCCTCCCTATGAAAATACTGTTGCATGCGATTTTGTTGATTTGAACAGTTTCACTAATTATCAATTGCATATTATTTTCCCACATATTGACCTTTAATTATTGTTTCAGGATTTTTTCAGGAAAAGTGCCTCTGAACCTGGTTGGTATCTAGGAGAACCGGTAAATGTCTTTTTTGGTTCCTTCTTTACAAATTTTTGAAATTTACCAACATTTTTCTAGGATTTTTTATATGGCTTGCTTTCCATGGAATTTCATTATCAGCGACAATACATTGATTCATAAATTGAACTTTCACTTAAATTTAACAAAATATTTTAATTGCAATAATGAAGCATCATGATAAATCTATTTTTCCATCTTCTTCCCATCTTTATGAATCACACGCAACTTTGCTTTTTTAAATCAAATTAAAAAATTCAGATATGGAAAACGGTACAAAAAACAGGTCTCAAATCAGCCGTATTTTTCTGGCCTGGAAGTGAAGGAATAGGTAAGTAAGAAATGTATTTCATCCTATCATTTCAACTATAAATGGATGGAATACAAAGAAAAGATGAAAATTCATCACAGTCACGATTTGTTTAAATATAAAACACAAAATTTTATGATAAATAATGCGGTTGCATATTTTAAAATTCGAGTCCCTTCGATATTTAGCTTATTTATGCTTTTAGTGATAAAGCAAAAAACTTCGTTTACATTCTCAAATCATACATTTTTGATTTATCCATTAACTGAACATATATTCTACTAAGCAATTAATTGATGCTAATTGTCGACTTATTGATATCATTTTTTTTCCTAAATTTTACAAAAAAAGGAACTGTTTTAGGAAAATTACCCAATTATTGGATGAAATACAACAGATCTATAGCACTCACACAACGAATTGATACAGTAAGTAATTATTGATAGATTTAAGTGACACTCATTTTCCTTCTCTTTCCAACTTTTCTTCGACCATTTTAACAAACAGTTAATATCACTTATTCATTTCCTAGCCATCATAATCACTATAATTTTCTTTATCAACTCATTTGATGCTGAATAGGATTTCTTTAAACATGAATTATTTGTAAGCAGAAAAACTGTTATCCTAAAAATTTTTTTTAATTAATAAGATAAAAAAGGCTGCTATAAAGAAAAATAAACGAATAATGAATTTTACCGAATAGTAGATTTTCTTAATCTTTTGATATATAGATCAATAATTTGTAACTCATGTGGAATAGAAAGGAAAATAGTGAAATTTCAGCTAATCGAATGGTTGACGCTTCCCGATGATGAACGACCATCACTTATCCAAGCATATTTCGAGGAGCCGGATCAGGCTGGTCATGAGGGTGGACCGGATTCTCATATGGTAACTTTTACTATACATGCTATTTACCAGCGATTTAATTAAATTTGTTTTTCATATTAAGGTTCGCACGGCGATGATCTTAATGGATGGAATGATTAATTATTTGATAAATCGATTAACTGAAAAAGGTCTTATGGGTTGCATCAATTTTATTTTGCTTTCCGATCATGGTTTGTTGGTTCATATTCCCTTAAAATTCGAAGTTTGTGATAATGTTAAGATGTTGTTTTCTGAAGAGAGAAGTATTAAATTAATAATTTGCTTTTTCTAATTTGTCCTATTGATTTGATACTTATTATAAGAAACCTCGGGACAGCATAAAAAAGATAAATTTTATCAAATTTTTTTTTCTTTTAAGGAATCATCGGCAGTATTTTCAATTTTAAAATTTCTTGCAGCAAGGTAGTTATGTGGCATGTCTGGTTTTACTGGACGATATAAATATGTACTACTAAATAATTTAATACTATTCAATGTTTTAACTTTCTTAGGTATGCAACAAATGGATAAGACAAAATCTGTGGTTGCTCAGAATTATTTAAAACCACATTTCAATGACTTGGTTTTTTCTGGCGTGGTGGCTCAAATAAAAATCAACGAAACCGCTCATTCATCTCAAAATGGTAATTGTACTTTTATTTTATATTAATTAATTCTTAATCATCTCTACGATTACATCAATATTTTTCTAATAAATATATTCTTATTTCTATGATTTTTCAGATTCAGATAATGTGATTAACGATATAATTTCGAGGATGCAATGTCAGCATGGAAATAATTATTTAGTATACAGAAAAGATTTGGTTCCGATAAGGTTTCACTATGGTGCTTCTTCGTCAAGAATAGGCGACATTATCATTAAGGGACTTCCAGGAGTATGCATTTTTCAGTATGTGCTTTTTTGATGACATCTTTTCAAAGTTGTCGAAATAACGAACATTAATTGGCTATTTAATGGATCGCATATCCTTTTTTGTCATCAGCAAACATTAAATAATACTTGGTTTTTACGTTGGTTTTTTTAGAGCGCCTACAATACTAATAATTCTGCCTAATTTCTTATTTCCGAACTGTCTACCATCAATTTTTGGTGGTAGAGTTTTTCAAAATCTATATTCCAGAATATCAATTAAAAATGTTCAAAGCACATTGTTAAAAAGTGTATGAAAGTTTTTTATGTTTAGGACAGATGAGGAAAGAGAATCATACAAACTTTTTGGCGACCACGGATATGATAACAGGATTGAAAGCATGAGGACTATCTTTATTGCTGTCGGTCCTGATATTGCGCAAAATCGGGAGATCAGTAAATTCCAAAACATTGAGCTTTATAATCTATTCGCATGTAAGTTTTCATTTCTAAAAGGCAAAAATGAATCTTTCAAATCACGAACATCAGAATCATTACGTAGTAGAAGATCGAAGAAACTGTTTGTTATTTTGACGTGGGATTCTGGAGTTGTGGGGAAATTTTGACTCGTAGTATTCCTTTAAATTATAGCAAATAAGCCTTTCATAATCATTCATTCATAAAGATTTGTTACGAACTGATGCGGCACCAAATAACGGAACCAATGGTACTTTATTCACTGTGCTCCGCAATCCACCACCTTATCCGATAACGATTACCGATCGTCCATCAGAGCAATGCACTGATAAGATAAATATGAAAATTTTTTTCTCACGCAACTGCACGGTAATTTTTGTCTCAATTAATTTGAATTTCATTTAGAAACCTTGAATCCAGCAAAAAAAATAGTAATAGATTCATTGTTCGAGACTGAACTGAAATCATTCATCTCTCATGATCTTTTCTGCTATTTATGAAAAACGTATAATGCATCATGAATAAAGGTGAGAAATATTATCTGTTCTCTCTCAATAATTCAATTTTCGTAATAATTTTCTAACATTTTCATACCATTCAGCTAATGGATGATATGTACCAAAATTGTCCAATGACATTACGCAGTTCCGTCAATGCTAACTATGATTTCTCAGGCGAACTCTGCAGCTTGCAATTGTGTGATGCAATTATATATTTCGATAAAAAGTTACAAAAAACAATCATGGTGGAAGGTATCTTTCGGCATGATCTTTGGATGGAAGAGATAAAGTGAGGTTTTACACCATGAAAAATTTATCATAACGAAAGAATCCGTCAGCTTACTCCAATTGGTGGAAGAATGTACTTATTAGCATTCTTCAGCGTTTTCTTTCAAAATAACATTTGTTTCAGCGGAAATTGTGTAACTTATGTTGACAATATCACGCGAACTAATTCGTATGAAACTTCAAGAAATGAAAGCTATTCGCTAATTTCACTATTTGGAAATCTTGGTAACTCATCTTTCTATATCTTATAAAATAATTTATTACTGATGATTGACTAATATAAAATATCCTAGAAGACTTTAAGCAGGCCAATTAAAGGCACTCAATTGGAATCGTCGATGATTTAATCGGAATGCGTTTATAATTTTAAATACCTTTTAGAAAACTTATAACTCTCTGAAACTTCATAAATGGTCAAACGGTTTTGTTCGTTTATATAACTTTCATCTTTACTTGTTTATTCACGCTTGAAATGTTTCTGTATATCATAGATATTGTTTCAGATCGCTATTATACGCTTGATTTGGCTCAGGTGATGGTACCAAAAGCTTTTGCTGATGGTAAGTTATGCAAAATTAGATATAATTTAGAGTTGTTTATCATCTGTCGATGTCTTTTTGATGGAATGCTGATTAAAAATGTGTAACAAATTATGCTAAGTTGAAAATTAAAAAAGCTTTCAGGAATATGGCAGTATGTTTTAAATGAAACAGCTGAATATTTGGTTAAGTACGGTAACTTACGGTTCTTTTCTGGTGCAATATATGATCAAGATGGGGATGGGATACGCGACACTGACGATATAATCAGGTTTCCAACCTGTCTTCTGATAATTGCAGTCATTTATGATTTTCTCTGCTCAAACTTAGCTTATAGACAAATTATATATATTGCCAGTAATCTGAATATTTGATATATTCTATTATTTTTCTTTTTAACAATTTTTTTAGAGTTACTTATCATTTGACAATATATTTCAGGAAAAGTGACCCGTCACATTTATTCTTTGTCCTTATGTGGTGCGAAAATAACGCACTAATCAGTTATACTTCATGCAAGGACACCGTTTTCGTCCCTTACATATTACCTTTTAACAGCAACAATTTGAATTGCTTGGTAAGATAGTTTACGCATCTAATTTTGCATCAAAAAAAATTACACAATTTAAGTTAGAATATTTGATATCTTCAGCTAAGGTAACACTCACTTCAGAGTTATTTAATTTGAAATTTAAAAGATAAGAAGATGGACCAATTTCCTTCATTCTTATCTTCTGAATGAAAATTGTCATTATAAGTTTTGCTATCAACAATTAAATGTACAACTGCTATTGAAAGTTCCAAGTTTTCAAGGGACTGCAAGCATATAGATCATTAACATAGAAATTGATGTTCAACTTTTTATTACTTTAGAAAATGGAAGATAATGCTTCTTTTAAAGAAATAAAATTTTTAAATGTACACAGCTGTTGTGGCATTCCATTAAGCTTATTGCCGCAGATATGTCTTTCTACCTTGCATTCAGTAATTAATTATCTTTTTTCCAGAAACCTTCGGAATATCTTTATGACAATACAGCTCGCATGCGGGATATCGAACTGTTAACCGGAATGGAATTTTTCACTGATCGAAACATTTGGTCAGATGTAGAAGCAATCCAATTACGAACTTTGTTACCGGACAGAAAACGATCATCATCATAATGGCAGCATAATATTCAGCGTTAATCATTAGTACTTCGTTCTAATTTCTTGCAAATTTAATTTTATTTATTGGAAGTTAGCAACTATTGAAGACTTCTTGGAAATAAAATGATACATTCAAGCATGTAATTCCATTCATTTAACGAATTTTTTTATTTTTATCATATTATGCCTTAATGATACACCAACAGAAACGAATTTTGATTGCTATAAGACAGCATTTATTCAGAAATTTTGAATAACATAATTCCAAACTTTTGCGTGTCTTAAGTAAATTTGGTAATGTTATCATCTTTTGAAAGATTTTAAGTACCAATTTTTCATCACATAAAAAGTAGCTTGAAAAAAGTGACAAAAAGTAACTTTTCATGATTCTGAATTTCTACTACGCTCCATCTCTTTAATCCGAATAGAAACTATAAAAGGTGAACTTACATTTTCGTATAAATAAATTAAAGATAAAATCACGAGAAAAAAAGCATGCTTCGAATTCAATACTTTCCAAGTATTACCAATCGTGTCGAAAGACTTCGGCCAGTGGTCGAAATACTCTCTCTACAAGTTGTCCAGTTGTATTTCATTGAACAACACACTACGAAGGTTTATTTGACTAACAGAGTAATGGAGGTTTTCCTCAAATATTTTCATTTGAAATTAATATTTAAATCATTCATTGCAATCAGAACTTATTGCACTCGCAATTTTGACAATTTGAATGGTCGAAAATTTTTTATTGTTAATTTATCAAATGCTTATTCACTGTTGACTTCCAAATTTTTTTCCTTTTAATTTAACATAAATAAAGCAAATCTTTGGGATCGTTTGTGCAAGTAAACAATTTATGCAAATATTCATCCCTCTTTTTATATTCTTTGTTTTCAAAAAATTAAAGTGATATTACAAACTGAAAGGTATGGAAGGATCAAATTTGCACAGGTGAGATATGTGCGAAGCAATAATGAAATTCATAGCACTCTTCGGAATGCAATAATTTTTTTTGGCTTTTATTTGCGGTAAAATACCCAGAGAAATCGAAGCGAGAATATGTGAAACTGTAATTTTAATGAAAACAATTTTCTGTCAAAATAATATTATGTAAACACTATATTTCATAATAAATTAGTATGATAAAAAATGCTCAGAAAAGTAGGAACAAAGAACTAATAATTAAATTTCTATCAAAATAATATTACGTAAACACGTATTGTAAGCCATTAGCAGCAACAAGAATATTTAAAATATCCTTATAACCATATCAATCTAATTTGAACACAATAATTCTTAGTTAAGTTACGACGACATGAACTAAATCTCAAATGATTCAACATATGGCAAAGAAGGAAGATAATTGAGGCAAGCACAAAATAATTTGGTCCGATTAACCAATAAAAAAATAATAATAATATGGAAACTTCAAAAGTATAGCATTCAGAAACAACCAAAATTTCCGTTTTTCATTTTATTATGAATACAATAGAAATACAGTTAAAGAAATTAAATTTAACGAGTAAATATAGCAAATTACTGAACATAAAAAATCTTGAGTATGTGCGATTAAGAATAGCTATTAATATAAAAAAATCTATAAAAATAATCATTAAAAGTTAAAAACTTTAACAATAGAGAAAGTTGCTACGTTAGCATGGTCAATGAAAATAGTGAACAATCCAATGGATAATAAAAATAGCACAAAATATAATTAGCAATAAATTTTAACGATGCGTTATCATGACTCATCATGATAAAGTAACTGATTCACCATGTTTCATATTTTGTCCGGAAGTAACTTTCCAATATGCTTTGAAGAATGTGAAACGGTTCTCTTTCATTTCAAACTCATCAAACATTTGCATAAATCTCTTTTCCACTCACTGCGAATCGGACTATTTTCTGTAAAATGCCTCGGATTGATTCAAGTGAAGAAATGTCCATTCCATTTTATTTTCTTCTTCACCACTTTGATAAGCGGTCGTTGGCATATCAGTAAGAATTTGCGATATCCATCCGTCCTATATTTAATCAGATAGATTGATCAGTATGCATATCATTCAAATTTAGCATCAATTAGAACGGAAGACAGGAAAATTGAGTGAATCACTTAAATTTGCACCTATCCTTATATCATTCCAAAAACTTGATCCATATCGAATTTCTCTCAGATTGAGATGCACAGTAATGATTATCCATCTTTCTTTACATCAAATGAGCAACTTATCGATCCTTTCAAGTCCTATAATTAGGTCAACTCGAGTAGTAAAAAGCAAATTCACTCGAATTTTCACAATTTAAATTCCTCTCTAACAACAGACCACTGCTCTCAGTGGGCATTTCAAATTCAAATCTACCGTCTTTCACATCACGCAAGTGGGTGGACCCAACATGTAGCGAAATGGCAGCACGTTGACGTTTTTGGGCTGAAAAAGATGAAAGAGTTCGGTGGGGATGAGTAGCCATTGGTTGCTGAGTGTCCCACGGATGGATGTGAAGGACGCGAAGGAGAAAGAGACGTTTCCTGGTCAGGTGAGTCCATCTTCGACGTGCAGTGCATTGGTACCTGAGTGAAACCCTGAGCAGGACAGATATGGTTTTGCTTTAGGTTAGCAATCCTGAGGGAATGAGAGCAGATACGGTGGCTACCGAAGTGGTGCGCCTATTCGATGTCGCCGTAGACTGCCTCAGGATATGTCTGTCTTTGTTATCGGCTAGCGATTTGGATAATGTAAGTATGCACTCAGTTTCAGATATCTTCATGAGACACTAACAAAGTTAATAAATTAACCGCTTGATGTAGCAGTATGTCTTTAACAGTCATGTTTCTTGTGGCTGAACAACTATTCATTTTTCATATCTTAAGGTGAATGATCTGAAAGAGAAACTTGAAAACTTGCAAACTGATGACAAAACGGACAAACCATCTTCGTCGAAATTCAACAAAATGCCGGAAAAACTAGAACAGCCTGGTAATAGGCAAGACAATAGATCTAGAGAAGAAATAAGAATGGAACGTAGAGCTAAAGCTGCGGAAGCGAAGAAAAGAAAAGGTAGATCTTCTCTCTCTTAGTTTGTTTCATTTGCTGACACTATTGATTAGAACAGGAAATTAGATTTTCGGAAATACACATTTCATCATTTGTTTGCAGTCTTAGAATGTAAAATTTCAACCATGGTTTTGTGGTTTAGTTGTGTAAATGGTTTTGTATTTTAGTTGCTGCGGCAAAGGCAAAAGAAACACTCAAACAGAGCAGTACACTTGCAAGTGGAGAAAAAGTGTCAGGAAAAATAATGAACCAGGAAAGAGAATGTTCAACATCAGATGGTAGTGGGCAACAACGTATCAATAATCCATTCAGGCTTGTGAAAGATTCTGGACTTCTAAGTGGTTTCCGATCATCACAGCCTTTTAGGACTGTTCACTTTGGTATAGATATGCCAGTTTTTTTCTCAACTGTAAACTTAGTTTTTTCAGATGTTTTAAACAGAGTGTTTAAATCTGCACTTTATTTAGAACATTTATAACAGTCTTGCTAGTGAAAAGTTTTTGTGAATAAAAGCTTGTGACAAAAAAGTGCAGTCAGACCATGTTCAATATATGGCCCATCACCTAGAGCAAAGCGCTGGATTGACAGACTTAACAGTAATTAGTACTGACTATGTATGGAATGTTTCCATTAATTTTTATTATGTGAATAACTGATAATTTTATTTAGATTTGACAGCAAAGGATGATGAGAACGAAGAAGGCTCATCGAAACAGCCATCTTTCTGTGAAATCATAATACCAGATATACATCCTTCGTTTCTAGAGTTCGCGAGCAGGTCCTCGTTTTAATATTTAATAATTTTATTAAAAAAAATTTTTTTGTATTTGTAAACTAAAAAATGAAATATTAATGAATAACATATCATTAGTTGTTCCGTCTTTGTCCATAATATTGCTAGAAGTATTGGAATATTAGTGCAAGATATTGAGCAACGGAACACCGATAATCAAACATCTAGTTTTTTTGATCGGAGTTAATAATGTTGATTCGTTTAACGGTAAAAATTTCATTGATACACTGGTATGTTTTAGATGTGAGGCGAAACGCATTGTTGGTGTTGATGCTGTTTGCGTGGCATTTGTGCAGAGTTTCAAAAATGTAATTTTTATTACGAAATTTTTTTAATCTTAATTTCTTTGCAGCAATTTAAGAAATCGTAACTTTCGTAAGAGTAAATAGTTGACTTCTAATATTGCGGAGATTTTTCTGCAATAACGGTTATGGAAAAAAATTAGGTCTACTTTTAGTATAAAAGAGTTCATGCGTTTTGTCCAGTTTTTTAATCTTCATCTATATTTCTCTATTCTGATCCTGAGGTGCAGTATCTAGACAATAATAGAGTATTTCCTATATGATTCGTTTTATTTTTTGTCAAAATAAAGGAAAGTATTTTCAGTGAAAAAAAGGTTTGATATTTTGTTTTTCAGTTCCTATCGGATTATGTTATTTCACCGAATCAAATCATGTCCCGTGATCTCGAACAGGCTATCCGACAACAGTTAAAGTAAATGATTGTCCTCAATTTTATTTTTAAAAATACGGGCGGTTTTTTTATTCAGTTTACCAGAACTTTTATTTTATTTCCTAAGCTGGTATTTTTGACTTTTACAGTTGTTTGACGGAGCATGGAAAGCATTCATTTCCTCTGGCATTGGGTAATCTGATAAAGCAGTTGAAGAAAGAAATTACTCAGCTGCCGGATTCCGTTTCTGAACAAGAAGTACATTTTTTTTAATGCGAATCACAGGGAGTCAAATATAGCAGTTTTTCAATGTCTTTATTGTACATGAATAGTAAATAAACTCTGGTTTGGTTGACAATTTCCCTAAAATAGCGGTATCAAAATCTTCTTAAAATGCTCACAGTTTTTTACAACTATCATGAAAGTTTCTTGGTCTACCTTAAAGTTTCCTGAAAAGATACGGCAACTCAAATAATTTACCGTTTCACATCCTATTCAAGAAATGGGAAGTTAAAAATTTAGGAAGGCAGTTAAGTACATCTATCTACTTGTAGTGAAGTAGATTATTTAGCATTGAGCATCAGACACATTAAAGTTGTTATGACTGCGTTTGTGTACATTTCGATGACTCTCAGTTTTTAGATTACATTTATTTAATATTTTACACTGTCTATTTATATATATTTTTCAGGGCAAAGAGCGTCTTTATTGTTGGTTAGATGATTTTGTGCAACAGAATTTCGAGCTTGCACTGCAGGCTATATCTTCATTTTGCATTAAAAAGATGAAAAATACGGTCTTTGTGCTCACATATTCATGGTTTGTATTCAGAACGTTTTGAATTCAAAGATGGATGTTTATGAATTTAAAGACACAGAAATCTCAGAATGTCCAAAAAAAGGAACAACATCGAATCTTTCGTAGAAACATCGTCACACGTAATTCAAAGCGCATTTTCGAAATTCCACATGTAGAATTTTTATTCCTTCACATATGTTGCAAGCTTTTTGAATTGAATCATGCTGCGTTGGGGAATATTTTCTTTTTTTTTATTGAATACTGTTCATGTTGGAACACTATTTAAATATTAAGTTCCAGGTGTCCAGTGGTAGAACGAATCATTTTAGATGCTCATAGCGACAAATTGGTTTTTCATGTATATGTTTTGGATTCACCTGTAGAACATAAAGGTTTCTTCAATATATTTTTTAGTTTGTATCATTTTATTGCGAATCACATTTTTTCATCTAAGGAAATATTTTTTACATCCATATTTGTTTTGAGGAAGACAACTGGTGAAAACATTATGTGCGCGGAAGATTCAATGCAGTTATGGTATGATTTCTTCGGTTGGCTATTTGATGAAAAAGGTCAGCGGTTTCTCAGTAAAGTTATATTTATAAATATGTTAAATGTTTCTGAAGTAAAAATTATTTTAATACAGGTTTAGTAAGATCATAGTCATTTGATAGTAGTATTGTAATTGAATATCTCATCCAAGAAAGAAATATCAGTATTTCATCTTTTAAATAAGTTCATTTAAAATATAAGATTAATATTACATTCATCTTTGTTGTCGTAGTGTGATATGGTGCTCTTGGGTTGTTCAGCGATTTTATCAAACGGATTTGTGGTGGCAGAACGTGGCACTAGTCAAATAGCATTAGTGGCTTCCGCTTCGAATATTCCAGTTCTGATTGCTGCGCAAACATGCAAATTTGTTGATCGGGCAAGTTCCATTTCTGTTCGACAATTTCTGCTTTTTGTGGTTCGAAATGTTATAACGAGATTTATACGAGAATATTATTCAAGAATATTATTCTATTTTGTAAACGGAAGTATCATATTTATTTGCAGGTGCAATCATTTTCTCATGGTATTCATGAAGTAAGTGCTTTAATAGGAGAAAGGAATGAAGTTGTAGCTGCGGATTTGATAACTGCTTTGGTTACGGAATTACGCATATTGCCGCCGAGTTCTGCTCCTGCTGTGTTAAAAGCTAAACAATTAGCTGTTGATTCATGAATTATTATGATTTAATATCATGCCTTTCATATTTTTTTGCAGGTGCAATCATTTTCTCATGGTATTCATGAAGTAAGTGCTTTAATAGGAGAAAGGAATGAAGTTGTAGCTGCTGATTTGATAACTTACTTACTTACTTACTGGATTTTGATTCATGGTTCTTTTTAGCAGATATCAGTTTTTCGCGAGTATTGAAGTTGGCTGATCTGACAGTTCGGATTATGCAAAAAGTTTTTTGAATTGCATTAAAAAACTTCCAAGTGTCATGATTTCTGCTTATCTGAGCTTTTACTCTGCTATCAAGTAATTCCATTTATTCGATAATTAGACAGGTATTTGAATATAGACGCTTAATCAATGTTGTTTTTAAATGTTTATGATTGTTTTATGCTTTTATTGTTGTAATAAAAATTGGAAGTATTTTTTTCTACTCTTGTTCGTTGCTGTTGGCATAACAGTATGTTTATTTTTGAACTTATAGTGAGTAATTATTTCGGTTGGGTTGATAGAACAAGATTGAAATGAATCAAGTTATTGGAAAATAAGTGATTCTGTTTTCCAAGCCATATTCATGTTAAATGAAATTAGTGAATTAGAAGTAAATTGAAACACGAGATCGAAAGCTTTAAAATAGATTGACGAAGACTGAAGGAATTCATTGGTCTCCGTTAAGTAGTTTATTTTTAGGTTTTTATTGTAGGGTTTAATAGCTGCATTTAGCAATACTGGATAATATTCGTACTTGTATTTATGAGCTGTTAACAAAAAAGATTAAAGCAACATCGGCATTGTTCGTCATGATAATTCATTGTTTATTTTGCAGGAAAAAGGCTATTCGAGATGACACTGTATCTTTTAAATCAGTGGAAGAATCAACCGGGTGGAGCTCAAAACGCAAGTGTGTTATAGTCCACATTTTGTATTTTTCGAGTTGGGAATTTAATTTAGATTACACTACTACCTGATTCATTAACGATACTCCAATTTCTTTGTAGTAGGATAGTAGAAATTTTAATGCAGTTGGTGTGCAGTCCTTGCACTATTTTAAATCATGTATTCGCCGAAAAAGGCAACACACTTCTCAATGAATAGGATATGAGAACAAATTCGCACTTAATTTGTTATCGACCATTTGTCGATAACAGTTGGCGATGTATCAGGTTTTCAATGAATCGACAAGGATGCGTCTTGTGAAAGCAGCATAAACTACAAATAATACTATCATATAGGCTGGAACTGTAAATAAGAAAATTGAACAACCTGGTACTTCATCGTGAAATTAACTTCAAGGAAAGTTTTCATTTCAGGTGCATTTTTGCTTGCTTTAAAAAGTGAGCATTCGTCTATGCGCGAAAAAGAATTGATTATTGAGGTATTAGATGACTGGGATGTTTTGACACCAACCTGGTTTGAAGTAGCCGACTATCTGAGCGTCATCGAAGGACTCCATGAGGATGAACATTTTAGACAGCGTTATCTTGCCGCTCTCCTAGCTTCCAAGGTTATCTTTCATTTTTTTCTATTTATCTTGACTAAAAGCAACATTTTCATTCTTTTCCGAAACATCTATGATTCATTTCAGGTTGCTTTTTGTTTGGGCGACTATAATGGCGCCTTGCAACTTGCTTTAGCTGCTGAAGATAAGTTCCAGCTTACGCCACGGTCACCTTCGATTCTTGTTGGCTCACAAGATGAACAGGTGTGAAATTCTTTGGTTCTCTTTTCTCTTTCAACGGTTTGCAATGTTTAGCTAAAAATCTTTTAAATGACATTTCACTGAAATACAAGGTGAATGCCTAACATTAACTGGTAACAAAATGTGACGGAGAATGGAAGTTCCTGATGGTTCAAGTATATACGTGGAGTATCTTCTTTTGGTGAAATTTCAGTATGTAAATAAAATGATCGAGCATGCTCTGGACACATATAAACAAGCTAAACGTAATGAAGATGAAATAGATCCTCGCTTGGAAAAGCTCATTAACCGACTTTTTGAGAGAAACATGAAAAAACGAGAATTGAGATATGTGATTGGGCTTGCGCTGGATACGCGTAGAACGGATATGATTTTAGTCGCTATCAAGGTTCAATTATGTTGGAAAAAATTAGAATTCCAGAAATTTTCTTTTTCCCCATAATGTCTTGAATATCTTATAAATAAATGAAAAAATAAAAATATAAGTCATTTTGTATATATTTTGATTTATTATTACGGATTCATTATAGCATTAAAACGTTGCCGGATAAATGTATATGCTAATATCTTTGTCATCGGTGCATTTTTGAATACTAAGTGATTCTATTGTGGCATTGGTTAAATTTAGGCTACTGACGATCAAGCAGCTTTGCTAACCGAAACTGTAGCGAAAGTATTGGAATCACAAATGGATCGAGCTTTCCGAAGTATAGTGTTGGATTTGCTATTTCATTTGTTTGCCGAGTTGGAGGAGCCTGATTTTGTTTCTATGTGTCAGTGCTTGATTAAACTTGAAAAACCAGATGATGTTGCGGATATCCTACAACGATTGGTTTCTAATAAGGTCTTTTTGAAATTTGAATCGTTGTTGCAAATTCAGCGACCTTAGGCGAGATATTTTAAAATTTACCTAAAATTCTGGTAAACTGTCAGTTGCAAACTTGAAAAACACTATAATCTAATTAAATCGCGTATTTTTTACTGCAAAATTAATATTTGAATGTGTCAAAATATGAAAGCATAATTGTCTTACTCTACTTTATTATGAATTGGATAATGTTTGCTTTTGGTTCTTTCCGCTTAGCTTCAGAAATGACAATAATCTGTCATATGATAACATCAGTCTGTTAATTTTGTTTTAATTCTTTTTCATATTTTATGAAGTCTTTTCATTGAAGGGTGACAGCGGTGTATTATTAGCATATCAAATTGCTTTTGATTTGTACGAAAATGCTTCACAGCAGTTTATCAGTAAAATAGAGCAAGCCCTCATAGACAGCACTCCAATAGATGCGCCAACAACGAGCGGTGCAGCGACACAGCCCATGGAAATTATAACTGAAGGAGAAACGTTGGTTTCCTAAAACTTTTTATAAATAACAAAGTTTTCGTTACATGTTGAAGTTTGCCTTTTCGTTTATATTCTTTCTGATGTTTTGCGTAATAAACAGAGAGTCCAGTAAAAACACTGCCATAATTGCTTCACAAGCATCGTCTACCGAAACTACTATTGCTAATGAAGAGGCAGAAGAAGGGAAGAGCGATGAGCATTCGAAGGATACGTCGTCATCTGAATCAATGGAGGAAAAAGAGTAAATTTTTTTCCATCGTGCTTTAAATTTAATAGTCTTTGGGAAATATAAGTATCACTTTTGGGGGAAATAATTTTGAGCAAATATTGGGAATATAAAAAAGAGGTTGCTTGATCATTAGTTAGCTGGTGGGAAGTAGCCGCGGTAAAATTGAAGGTTGAATTTGACAAATTTTAGAAAGCAGAAGAAAAATAATTCCGAAATAACCAAGTCTTCTGATGGTACCATTATTGATGGGGTATCGGAAACTTCTAATTCTACCAGTACAGCGGCTAATACGGCAAAAAGGATGACAAAGGAGGAAGCATCATGTGCTGAAAGATCAAAAATAAAGGTATCAGCTTTGCGATTACATCAAATTTAGACTGAATAGTTCCAAAAAGCAAGTAAGACGTGTACATGTGATTCTCGCACTCGAAACTAATACTTTAAAAATAATTTTTGTTCCATCTTCATTGCAACTATTTAGATTTTTCTCAGAACAATACATATTTTCATTTATGTTTAAAATTTCTCATCTAACATTTAATTTGAATTATTTCAGGATAAAGTTGTCTGTGAGCGTTTGCGATCAATTTTGCGTGGAGAGCAAACCATCAAACATCATATGCAGTTTCTTATCAAAAACAATCACACAGATATGTTGATTTTGAAACAAATAAAAGAAAGTGTACGAACAGCATCAGCACATAATGCTACTGTCATTGCAAATGGTTTGATGCATCTAGGAACAACAACTGATGATTTTCTGAGGTATGTCGTATATATATATTGAAATTAGAATTCTTCTGTGACGTTTTTTTTTATATTGTTGTACTAAGTGAAATAACTATCAATAACTTAACTTGCGCTTTGATTACTAAGTGAAATAATTATCAATAACTTAACCTGCGCTTTGATTTAACAACGTTATTCAATGATTTAATTTTTTTAACCATGTCATACTACATTTTTTTGCCAGTAATTATTTCACTGATGTTGTGTTCTGTAACACTATGAGCAATCATATTTATAGAGATAATTTGGAATGGATAAGCAAAGCAACGAACTGGAATAAATTTAATGCTGTGGCATCACTTGGACTTATTCATAAGGTTTTTTAATGATTCAAAAAATTTACTAGTTTATATTGTATATTATGCGTTACTGTTATTTTTGAAGGGTCATGAAGCAAATGCGTTGAAGTTGTTAGATCCATATTTGCCAAAGGGCGAAGCTGATCAGTTTGGATTTAAGGAAGGTGGCTCTTTATATGCTTACGGTATGTCTTCACATATTAGCAATAAATTTTTTTTTTCGAATCTGAGAAATATTAATGTGAAATCCTAATTATAAATCCAAAAATATTGTTTTCCTGTATGTTTTGACAAAAAAAGTCTCAGTGTGTAGAAATAGTTACTGTTCTTTCAAATTACAAATATTGATTCCAGGATTGATTCACGCAAATCACGGTAGTGCTGAAGTAATTGCTTATCTTAGGGATCAGTTATTGAAAGCAACAACATCAGCAGCACGTCATGGCGCCTGTCTCGGTCTTGGTTTGGCTGCAATGGGAACTCATGATGAACAAGCTAGTTTATTAATTTATTATTATATGTGCTCATTCCGCAATCTTTTCACTCTGCTAAAATGTTATTTATTTCTAATTGAATTTGCAAAACTATATGAAAATCTCTTTTTAAAGATTTTTTCAAAAGTTTAAGCATCATATTGTTAGTAACTTTCAGGTATTCGTACAGCTGCGTGATTGCTTATATCAAGATGATGCAGTAACAGGTGAAGCCGCTGGCCTAGCAATGGGTCTTATAATGGTTGGAGGAATGCAAACAGAAGCGTATCAGGAAATGGTACAATATGTTTGTGATACACAACACGATAAAATTCAACGTGGTTTGCGTGCAGGCATCGCTCTTCTTGCTTATGGTGAATTTTGCAGTTTCGTTGATCTTTCTAATAGCTTTAAATTTTGCATTACACTTTATATTCATTTATTACTTTGTTATTTTTGTTATATCAAAAACTTCATTATTTAATGACGAAGAGTAAGAAATCCTGGTTCTTTCCATTTTATTTAATGTATTTTTTTTAAACTTACAGCAGTGGGTGAAATATTCAACATTATGGCGTTATAAAAAAATGGAATCTGTTCAGTTGGTTAAATGCATTCATTGGTTGTTAAATTTTGTTTTATTTTCAGGACAACAAGAAGAGGCAGAAAAACTGATAGCCCCTTTGTTAGAACATAAATCGAACGCAGTATTGCGCTCAACTGCAGTTTGCATGCTTGCGATGGCATACGCGGGATCAGGTAAAGCAGATGTAGTTCGGCGGTTGCTGGCTAAAGTTGCCGCTGATCCAAATCAAGATGTAAAACGTTTTGCTGTCATCGCTATCGGTTTTGTTCTTAGCAAGTTAGTTTATTTTTAATAAAATGATTTTAAAGCAATTATTGTAAAACAAGAAAGTCGAAATTGAAAAATGAATGCCAATCTTATAACAAATTTTAATTATATTGCATTAGATTAAGAAAACTCTTTTGAAATTCCGATATCTTGTTCTTGTTTACTTACAAACTTTTTAAATTCCTACCAGTTTATTTTATTAAGGAATTAGGTATCTGAGTTATTACTGAAATATCTTTCTATCGCACATCGCTGCATAATTGGAAGCATTTGTATCTGAATTCATAGTAAGTACGTATAACTTCGCTTTCTATTTTTCTTTAGAAGCCTCTGAACAAAAAACAATTTATTTGTTTCGATTTCGGCCTAACCATCTCCTGATGGTCTAAGAATTTCTTCTTGTGTAAACTAAACTCTAGGAGCGAAAGAAGGCTTTGAGAAAGTTTTTCTTTCTAGTTTTATACTCAAAGTTCTTGAAAGTCATGAAAATCATCAATTCATATTTTTTGGATACAATTTATCATTCGAGTAACGTAATCACCCACTGTTGATCTCTTTCTATAGATTCTGGATCCTAGATTTATCTTCTCTAGTTTATTCAGTATAGCTCACACGTAAAATTTGACGCTTCTCTGCAGCGAATGTCTTTAAAATGAAAAAGACATAGAATGACAAGAAAATAGTATTATATAGAGCCCAGTCAGTGTTCAACGAAATGGGAAAGATTCATAAGAATACTTTGACTGGATTTTTAGATAGGTAATTCATACAGTTCCATCCGCGTGGCGGTTGTTTTTACTGTAAAAGGATTGCAATATCAGATATTGAAAACAATTTCTTCAATAATTTTGTTACCAGAATAGGTTTCTATTGTCCATTTGGAATCTGAAATGCATACTTATGGAAATTTTAATAAATAAATCATAAAATTATAACTCAAAAAAAAAAACAGTCAAAATATGTCGGTTTGGAAAAAAAAGCTAAATTTCTTTGTTAATTTTCATTCGCATAAGAACTGAATGGTGAAACGAACTTTATTTGTCTAGGAAGGTGCTTCTCTTAAAGGCTTAAAGCATATAAACAGGATCGCTTGAGCTAATCCTTGTTCACTTATAGAAAATTTTAAAACGTTTACATTACCATGATTATGGAAAAACTTAAGATTTTTTGAATCCTTATTATGTTTCGATAATTTACCACCTTCTGAACTCGCTATCATGCAAATATCTGATAGCGTATTTTGTGATTGATCATTCATTATAGCTTCCTTGTTCACCATTGTAGCTTGTTCAGTTTTTTCAAGCAGGTCAATTTTTCTGTTTGGTGATGAGGTGTCTGAGTGTATTGACTGAACACAGTGTTCTTGTCGTGAAGGTTTCCGCTCATGTAGATTTGTGTTATAGCTTAGGGCAGTGCAGCGGTCTTGTTCCCACTGTGAATCGGGTCTATCAACTGTGGTCCTGAAACTTATAGGAATTACTTTAAGTTTATTTGTTTCAACCGTAACTTTAAAGAAAAACATTCTTTTCTTTTAATGTTTCTCAAAAAAGAAAAAATCAAATTGCAAGAGTTTGAATTTAGAAAAAATGGAAGAAAAAATTTACTGTGCGATCTTACTTTTGAATTCATGAATAACGGATATTTGTAGCTTATTAAATTTTCAAATTCTCAAAATAATTTCTCGAACTCAATTTCTCGAAAGCAATACTTTATAATTCGTATTTCCTAATTTGTTGTAAAATTTTCATTCCCTTCCGTAAAATTTAGCATTAGGTCATGAAACTTATTTTTCTGAAAAAGCGGAGCTCATTCATATCAATTATGAGTGGCAGCAGGGAATAGAGTTGGATAATTAAACTGGATTTAAAAGAAAAAAATTAAATTTGATTTTTGTAATTCAGAATAGGATAAGCAACTGAGTTTTATGAAAAAAATCTCTTTCGAAATTATTTTAATCTAAAGGCGTAGTATTCATAAGGAACATTGTGCAAAAAAGAACGTAAGAATCATTATGATTTTAATTTTTATAAGTGTGCAGCTGGAAAATCATAGCATGTTGTGTCTTAGGCTAAGAAAACTAACATCAAAATACACTGCTGTCTCTCTCTTAAGCATTTGCTGTGTCTGGCTATGAGAAATTGAAAAACAGTAGTAGCACTACTAAGAGCAATAACATAGCTTTGAAAGAATTTACGATTGTATCGTGGATGAGTTCGAATTTCTCCATTTTTATTTAACAAAACTGTACCTTGTTAGCTTTTATAAATAAAATCCTGCAAGCGAATTACTTGTTCAGGAAATTATTTCCAAAAAATCTACTTTGAAATTTTAATTTGACTGACGTAAAAAAGTTGAGATTTGAATCATCAAAATCTAAGTAAATAATTTAGTTTAGTAATATAAATGGAATGGAATGAATACTATTCCATCTATATTACTAAACCGGATATAAATGGGATGAATAATATTACAACTGTAGTGTTTCACAGATGACTTTTTAACTAATAAATTCAATTATTTAGATGAATTGAAGGGGCCAGTTAATTATAAATAACATTCGTCAAGATGTAGGTCCTAAGTATGATCTTTATCCTAAGTATACTCAGAGGAGCTACACAATCATAATATATACCAGTCATCATTGTACTTTCTTCTCGAGTAGAAATTGCCAACGTAAGTATTTCGAATCAAATTGGTACATTGACAGCAGATAATTCGGAGGAATGTTCGTCGAAATTGTCTAAAAATTAAATTTTATTAGATAATTCCGATCACATCGAAGATGGAAAATTTCCTTGTCATTCTCGATTTAGTTATATATGGAAGTTAACAGGAAAAATATAAGGACTTCTTGCGCTAATTTTTCTCTTCCAAAAGTAGAGATTTATTAATATTATAATCATATTTTTACTAATTTTCCTTTGAATGTGAATGTCACTTAGAAGGCAAGCAAATGCTCGGGCCTAATCGTCACCTACTTTACAAAGAGTAAGTCAGAACTTTCTAAAACTGATTCATCATATTGTAGTCGATAGTATTACAATTATTTATATATAATTTTCCGCACTTATTTAACCAACCTGTTAAAAATGGTGTAAATAAGAGGATTGATGATGCTCGAGAAATATCCTAACCACAGGAAAAAAAACTCCATCGTCGGCGGTAAGGCACATGGTTCGCCGCAAAAGCCAAATGCAAGATTGGCACAAAAAAATGGTGCCCAACAAATAAAAAAACATGCGAATACAATAGCTAGTACGCATGTTGCCTGAAATGAAACCGCTGATCCATTCGGATGCTTTTGCTGGATAATATGAAAGTTATGTTATAAATATTCAAATTTTTGAACAGGAAGTTTCTGAAATCGAAAAAGGATAGAAATGAAATTCGATTTATAAATTTTCCAACCTTATGTTCATTGGTGAGTTCTGTGTTGCGCTTTGGAATTACTTCTTTTCTGGATATTTTATCACCTATGGCTATGATTACCATTTCTGCACGTCTTCGAAAGTTTAAGCGATTTTTTTCAAGCTGGAATGATTTTTTTTTCAAAAACTGACGTGTAATGTACGAAATATTTTCAAATATACTAATCAACTAAAAAAGTGAATACCAGATGTTTGTGTAATAGTGTAATTTATGAAACGTGACTAGCAACATGACTAATAGTGCAGTTTGAAAAAAAAATGAAATCATTTTTTTCAAAACATTTTGTTATAACGATTAGATATTTATTCATAGATAGTTTAGATTGCCATGGATATTTTTCTATCCATCTTTTTTCTCTTTTTTATCATTAAAAAAAAAATAATTCACCAACCAATTTTACTTCCTTCTTGGAATATATCGGTAGCAAAGTTGTCTGCAGCGGACGTTCTATCATCTCTTTATTTCGTTTACATGAGATAACATTTCGAAGACTGCAAAAATCATTAAATGAACTGTGCATTTTAATTTACTTTTGTAAATATTGAAAAAGTAGTAAACAGACGAATTAATTCGTTAAATACATTTCTTATATAGCACAGACGAATTAATTCGTTAAATACATTTCTTATACAGCAATTGGCGATATTTTCTTTATTATAAAACGAGGAGGAGTAAATTATATCAAATATTTCCGTTTTAAATACAATAAGCTGAGTCACAAAACGAAATGATTAGGTTCTATATTAAAGTTGTCTCCAGTTAATCTAGTATACGAATTTTAATTTGTTCATTAGTGATATTAAGCCAGCTTTTAGACTTTTAATTGGGAATTGTCGTAAACTTTCCTTTTATGATTTTAATTTCAAAAGCAAGAAACTGAATATACACCAATAGACTTTCGTCTCAGCTTTTCTTCATTCTTCTCTTTTACATCCCAGTGGACTCTATCCTACTATTCTCATTTTAAATCCAATTTTGAATCGAAGAGAAAAGAGTCTGCACACAAGTTTTTTTTTTTTGAAATTTTTTAATAATAGTCATATAACAGTGCTGAAAATTAACTCAAAAATGTGAGGAATTGATAAGTTGAAATTTTTCAAAGGAAAAGAACTGCTAATGACTTTTAAAGAAAATTCCCGAAAAATTCAAGCGAAATCACAAAATATTACGAAGAAATAACGATTTAAAAGATGCCTTGACATCAGATTTCTTAAATAAATAACAGTTATTTACATGAACAAATTTCGCAGATCTTAAAGTTACTAATGGATTATACCAAATAAAGAAAGCCTTGGTACTTTGAGCGAACGACTTGAGATGCTATCACGATGTAAAAAGTAATCACTTATGCATGTGCTCCCCCTATTTTCATAAAAAACCTAATAGATGTACTTTTCGGGAATATAGTTGCGTTGCGTATGGGTACGTCTTAGGATGACTGATTCGGTATGATTGTTAGTAGCAACGCCTTGATGGCTGATAATTGTTGGTTGTTGTTTGAGAAGAGTTGTAGTGCGGATATAAGTAACTGCCATAATAAGAAATGGTATCAAAAATGCAAATATTGATCCATAAATCATGTAGTAACGGTTGGTAATGCGACATGTATTATCGTTAAATATATTGCTCGAATCAATAAGGGCCATGATAGCAATTGGGCAGGAGATCAGTGTCGTTATTATCCAGACAGAAGCTAACTTTACCGCTATCGATGTTTCTGATTTATCTCGAGCTCTTAAAGGTTTCGAAATTCCTAAAATTATAATTTATACATGCAACGACTTTGTTCTTCGAATTTTCCATTATCATCAGTTAAAATTTTCCAATTAGGATTATTGGTTTATTAAAATCTAGCGCAATATCAACGCTCAGTGCAGATATGTATATAATGATGTAAAGAAATACCGAAGTATCGATCTAATGAAATAACAGACATGTGAACAATACTGGCGGTGCACAAAAACACGTCGGCATATACATAAAGCAAGCACATCAAAAAACTCCATATCCACATTCCTGCAAATCCATATTTTCCTATTTTGATATATACCTATTTTGATTTTCAGATTGAATAAAAATTTAAATTTGTGAAATAATAGTAAAAGATATAAAAAAGTTCGAAAAAAAGAATTTCTTTTTTATAAAATATTTACAATCTTTACATCTAAACTACTTTTTTCTACAGTCTGCATTCGCTTTTTTCAAATTCTTGTCCATTTTACATTAATTTATTTTTTGATTTATTTTTCATTTGACTTTCCGAATAAATCAATTCTTTTTTAGGCATTTATCCTCTAGCATTATTTTGCTTTTACTATATATTGTCTCTGTTTTCATTCTTCCTATGTACGCCTTTGCATGCAATCCCTATTGTAATAAATGCAACAAGCATGCTGCTTATGAGGAGAAAAATGAAGTAAACACTTTTTTATTTCCGAGAATTTTTGAGTTTTTTCCTTTCTTTTCTTTTATTTTTGAAAACTTCTTGAGCCATCAGTCTTCTATTATTGACTTCATAAGTTGCATAATGTTTTAAACTTACACAAAATCATAAATGGAAACGAGTTTTTTTGCAGATTTTGCATATTTTTCATTTTTCTACAAAAAATGTGTTTTTGCTCGCACATTTAAATCCTTCATCTACATTTAGAGCCAAATTTTAATGAAAAATTTTTATATAACTATTGGTAGAGTTACACTCTCGTTTGATCGGAAGTCTGTTTTTTACAACTTCATTTTTTGCATTTTTTGAACTTTTTAATTATGTTCTCACCTTGATGTACTTCCACAACGATGGTAATCGGCATCACCAGGCTGCATACCAACAAATCAGTTAACGTCAGTGAGAATAGGAAATAATTGGGAGTATTATGTAGCCTCCTATTGAACTTAATTGCCAAACACACAAGTAAATTACCTAGTAAACCAGTAGCACACAACAGTAATAAGAGCGAAATAGTAAAGATATTTGACACTTCACTTGCTAGTGAAGGTACGTGAAGTTCTTGTACTGCTTCTTGATCCCAAGTAACAGACATGTAATACTGATAGTGATAATATAAATACATACAGGAACACTATCAAATACATATAGTTCCACTTTTCGCGATTTAAAGCTAGCTGATGACAGTGTCGTTAATGTTAGCAATAATGCTTAGAGAAGTTTAAAAAGCAGCAGCCGCAGAAATATAATATTTTCCGCAATTTTCTTTGATATACTGCGTGAAATGTTTATAAAATCTGAAACAGCCCAGCAGTCACGAACAGGACAGCGATGAGGTAAAGCCCAGCCTTCTGCAATGTAAACTTGCTACTCATCTCTTTCTCTCTCTCCCTCCATATACATATGCATCGCTTCAGATACTTCCATTAACTTCCTAATCTGAGGGCGGTGCCAATCCAATGATGCTAACTGGTGGGATTTCACGTAACCGTTCACCGCAAGGGTCAGCGTGCAACAGAACAACAGCGAACCTTTCGCAGATGCGATAATAATTAATCTTCTTAATGCTTAACATTTCACCTGTTTCAATCCTCAATATTTGCACTACTACCAAATATGTAAGTAAATTCGAGAATACGATTAACTGTGATCAAATGCAGAAACAAATTGGAGAGTACTGTTAAGTATGATTACATCGGAAATAAATCGGAAGATAGAACATTAATTTTCTTCACGATGATTTTGATTGATGCTCTCAAGTTTTAAGAAATGTATGTTACACTTTCATTGACATCAACAATAGCGTTATAGGCAGCAACAGGAGTGACGTTATCATAAATTAAATAGAATATTTTTATGTCATGCTGTTTGGATTCCAGAATGCTAGGCTACAATTATTTCAAGTGTTTTCCAGTAAGAATACATTTATTGGCTTTTTATTGGATTGATTTCTTACTTCAAAACAGTTTCATATTTGGATCTTTTTTTTGATAAACGATAATTTTTTGAGTTTGAATAATAAATCCTTTTTCTTCTAGGATTTTCTTAAACGAAATGCTTTCGAAGAGAGAAGTTTATTGTCATAGCTATTTATCATTTTCAGAATAGTTCCGTAAGTTCTTATTGCTAGATCTATTGCGACATATGCTTTGAAGTTTGAAAAGTTTAAATATCAGCAACATGCACATATGCCAGGCTTTGCTGGAAGGAACCTTAGTCCTATTCAATCTATAAGTCATTTCTTTCCTAAAAATAAAATTAGTGAGCTTTCCGAGCGCAAAAGCAGTAAATTTTTGAAAACATCGAACTTTTTTTTAAAAAAGTTGTAAAATCTTCAAAACGGTGTTGCATTTAGTTGTATGATGAACAGAATCAACTGAGTGACAAACTGATTGAGATGCAATGACAATTTGGTAACTTCGCTGAATAAATATAGGTATGAAAAATTTATGGGAAGCATTGCTAATGAATAGGTGCTGTTATGTCCGATAACGGTTCCTTAATTGTGGCTGTCTATTGATCTGAAGTTTAAATAGAATTTTCATCTTGTATTTATGAATGTTTTATCTTTCTACAAATGATAGAGAAGTAGAAAAACGCACAAATTTTTGTGTGTTTTTTGTGTAAAAGCAATATGTATAGAAGAAAACTGTGTGTTTTTTCCACATAAAAAAAAAGTGGGCGCTTCAGATACTATGTAATGAATTTTTTCAGTGTACTTATTGAATAATTCTAGCAAGTCTTAGAGAACTAGCAATTAGAAGTAAAGAGTACTTGCCACAATTGTCACAGTTGGAAGTAAAAATGATAACTATTGATTGATGAATGAATGAGAGAATGAGGATAATGAAAATTTTGAACGTTACTTTGAATTCCTTCATAACTTGTACCGGAGTTGTACTTATTCATAATCTTGCAAAGTTAGGCTCTATCGTTCATTAAGTAGAAAAAATAATATTAACGGAAAAAAGATGGATATAATTAGGAAGTTATATAAGGAATTCAAAAGTGGAGAGTATTGTGAAAAATGCCGCTGTGCATAAATATTTCAATGAAATTCATTTGCTGTTTCCATTATTTTTTCATTCTTTTTTTTTTCAAATACCTGGAAAAAATTGCCAAAATTTAAGTGATGCGGAGCAGTGTCTTAGTTATACGGGCATGTTAGCGGAACATTTCAATCCACATGTACGATATGGTGCTGCTATGGCGCTAGGTATTTCTTGTGCTGGATCCGGTTATAAGGTATGTTTTTGAATCAATCCTAATGTATATCATTATTCGAATAATATTTATATTTGTGCTAAATAAAATAAAACGACTAGTATTTGTTATAGCATTTCAAAGAATGTTTTTAGCCATACAGAAAGGGCACAAGGAAAGTAAGATTTTATTGTGATCTGATAAGAACATTGTAGACGGCGATCTTATTTGTTTGAATTTTTAATTAAAGTGAAACTTATTAAAATTTTCGGGAAAAATAAAAAGTCCGGAGAGGATGGAGATTGGCTTAATTCAGAAGAACTTAAGAATTAGAAACTTGTAATCTTTGAATTTTCAAAAAGTTAAATAATCGTGATACATTCCCATATCTTTAATGACAGGAGAATTAAGCTTCTAAAAAAAAGTACATTTCTGCTTTTTTATTATCTTTAAAATTATCTGTTTAGAAATAAACAGAAAGAAGCCTCATGAAATTAGGATCGATTCAGTGTTTATATATGGAAGTTACTTCTTTTTTAATGTTCTCTGCTCTAGAAGCAAATTGAAAAAAGTTTCTTAGTCAGTTTTTGGTTTAAAAATGCTCGGATTTAAGCTCACAGGCTAGAGAAGTTAATGGTGGAGAAGGACAAGAACGTTCCTAGCCGTTTACATGTCTTTTCACGTCACCCATCAGATAATTTAATGATAGTTTTTCAGCATTTGTGTCTTTTTGAACTTTAAAAGAATTAACATGATATGAATAAGCAAAAAGCTGAATAAATAAAACCAGAGGTTTATGATAACGGATTGCGTGAATTAGACATTTAAATTCAACAGTCTTATTTAAAATGCTATTTGAGCAAATCAGAGAAAGTTAATCTCATGATGATAACAAAAGGTAGAGATTTTTTTCTATATAGGTTAAAAACCACTGCAATAAATTTTATATTTCCAATGCATCCTTCATAATTGTAAATTTCATTCCTGATTTTTTCTTGAACAGTTATTGAATTAGCTATTAAAAATAGTTCATTTCTACTTGCACATAAATGAACTGAAATATTTCAAACGTGTTATAGTTTTTAGTCTGACAGTTTCGCTGCAATTTTAGGAAGCAATCGCATTGCTTGATCCTTTGTTGAGCGCCAAGGAAAACTTTGTTCGGCAGGGTGCTGTTATTGCTTTGTCGTTCATTCTGATTCAGCAAACAGATTTAATTTGTCCGAAAGTAAATGAATTTCGAAGAACATTGACGAAGGTAATGATTATATTTTAAAGGATCTATTTTCCACTGAAATTTGATAAGATTTCTCTCCTCCATATCAAATTCATAGCAGAATGGGAATTTTATCTGTGGAAGGGTGCATAATAACAATGATAGCATAACTTTGATCTTTAATCATTTAAGTATGCTTTATCATCTGTTGTTTTTAATGTTATATTCAGTTATTATTACTTTGGTTTAGATGATAACCGAAAAAGGCGAAGATTCAATCACAAAACTGGGTGCAATCCTTGCTCAAGGTATTATCGATGCTGGCGGTCGTAACGTCACAATATCACTTCACAATCGTAACGGTCATCCTGACATGCCAAGTGTTGTTGGAACATTCGTATTCCTTCAGTATTGGTATTGGCATTCCTTGACACATTTTTCGTCATTAGCATTCAAACCAACTTGTGTGATTGGTCTTAATCTTAATCTTGAAGTTCGTTCATCAAAATTTTCTAATTCATGACTTTGGCAAATATTGAACGTTTTTCGTAGTAATGTTCAATTAAGATTATTTTGAACTCATCATCCATGCAAAATTGGAAGAAATCGGATGTAGGTAGGATCAAATAATCTACATTGTACAGTAACACTATTGCAATAGATAGAATTTTTTTTTATTTTTAAAAGAACTGTTAGATTCGAAAAACTTCCCAGCATATCCTCAGTCAGGTTCATGGTTTATTCTTCATTTATTTCATTCAGATGCCAAAAACGGAATTTCGGTGCAATGCAAAACCTTCAACCTTTGCTTATCCACCTCCTTTGGAAGAGAAAAAAAAAGAAGAAACTGAGAAGGTATTTTAATAGTTTTGATATGTGAAGCAAAAGACGAAATACTTGTAACACATATATCTAAGATTTTAATTCAGCCAAGATTAGAAAGCTTGAATGAATATTTACCATCTTATGTTTTTTGTTTTCGTTTGTTAAAAATTTAGTGCAAAAGTTTTATGCTAGCATTGTAAGCGCTGTAAATAAAAAGCTATGTTTATTCTGAACTTTTCAAATTTGAGTTAGATTTTAATAAATTCAGCTTTATGAAAACGAATCAATTATTTTCAGGTGGAAACCGCGGTTCTCTCCGTGACTCACAAGAAGAAATCTTCAGTTATTGATCGGTCAAGTACTAGTGTAATCAAAGAAGAAGCCAAAGCTAGGGAGGAAAAAACAGAAAAAGAGAAGGAGGAGGAAATGGAGATTGACAATATACATACTACAGCAGTAGTAGCCGATTCTAGTGCAACCAGTGCAAATTCGGAACATAAGTTAGCTGAACCAAAGAGGTACATGTGTGATATGCGAATTCAAGAGACATTCCGAAAATTGTTAACAATCCTGCCAAGGAATGTTTACCTTTTTAATATAGCCATGAAATAATTTCAGTTTATCGGAGGCTAGATCACAGTAATGATTTTTTTTTTGATGGCACTTTCTTTTTAATACATCAGACGAAAGATTAACCCGAGAGAGATTATTAAGCAAATTTGAGATTCGGAGGTTGTCGAAAGTGGTTTTTGTAATTTTCTCTTTTTCAAGTTTTTCTGAGCCAATAATCTTGCTGAAATTTGGTAACATTTATGATTACAAATTCCGCTTAATCAGAGTTTTTTCAGCAAAGAACCGGAACCAACCAACTATGCTCTCCAAAATCCAGCTCGTATTGTTCGCTTACAGTTGAAAACTTTACAAATGACTGAAAATAATCGCTACAAACCATTGAAAGCACTTTCCCAGGGTGGAATAATTATGCTTCGTGACAGGAAAGCTGGACAGGAGAAGGTTTCTAGTTGATTTAAATATTTTGCAGTTGAAAAGAGCTACATTTTTTAGCATTCGGTATTATGTGTAAGACTGGTGCATACGCAAATATAAATTCATCAGAACTGTCTATCGTCCAATGAAACATTTCTTCTAATAATGTCAGGAGTCGCACATGACTTATATAGGGTTTCTATAAAAACTCATGTCGTTCTTTTACCACTGGCTGAAATACGGTAATGCGCAATTTGTTTTGTGAAATATGTTTTTTGTACATTGGTTACCTTGACATTACTTAGTCGTTGTCTTTTCTATGCGGCACGATATTGACAGTCAAGCAATGTTATCCTATCTTGCATTTGGCTTTAATTATTCCTTAAGAATACACTGTGTGAAACGGCTGAAAGATTTCCTTTTTTGCTTAGTTTTGATAGTTTTCAGGAAGAAATTGTAGCATTAGCGGCAGCTGGAGGAACGCGCGTGGAAGGCAAAGATAGTTCAGAAGAGGCGAAACCACATACTCCTTTTGAAATTAACATCACCTCATATTAAATGATTTGTTATAATTTTTTGAATTTTCGTATTTCTGTTTATATCCAGTTTATATATATGAGAGAAAAATGCATGGGTTATTCACAGAGTAATTTGTCTGAGTAATTTATTGATTCACTTCTCATACATCTTTTCGAAGTGCATATGAAAAATTATTTTGACACGTTTCGTGTACTTCGGGATTATTTTTCCCTCTCTACTTTTTCTATTGACCCAATACAATCATTTATATCTTATGGAAATTGTCGATTTTATTAGTTCCGATGATAAAGTTTGCACATAGTTCATTTTGCTAGCAGATAATTGAATAAAAGCGTGAATAGTATCCACTCGTTCTCCTTTACTACTGAATAGACGGATTTCGACGTGTGAAGTTTGGTTTCACGAAAGTTCTTTTGAGGGTTGGGATTTCATTTTTCATGGGTTCGTGGTGAAGCTTGGTAATATGCTTAACGCTGAGACGATTAGAACGGATAGCATTCAGTCATCGAGCGATACCTGTTTTGCAACTTTTATGCTTGAAGAATGTAACATTCGCGGGAAAGTGAGCGATATAGATAAACGACGAATTGTTGAGGAATCTGAGGTGACAGGGAATTCCGTAGGATGATAGCAAGTAAAGAAAAAACTAATAATTTTTTAAGGATAATTGTTCTGACCACGAGATACTTTTCAGATTCTTGGCTATACACATCAGGTTATTCTTTCTGTCATTCTCCGTTGAATTTTTAATAGTTCCTTTATATGTCTAATGCAGCAGCTGGCTTGAAAGCAAGCAGAGAACGGTGCTATCAGTCAAGGGACGAATATTTCAAATGTTGCGAAGAACATAAAACTTATGAGGGATCCAAGTGTAAGAAGCTGAAGGAGAAATTTGAGAGGGATTGTCCTGCATCATGGGTATGTATTTGGTTATTGATATGACAATATAATGATGTGGACAAGATGGCTAACGAGTCAGATTTTGTATCCTAGCATGTGATGTATGATTCAGTTAATTGTAATTATCATTTCCATTCTTATTACTTTCACCATTCTTTTGGCTTAATCAAAAAATCAAATCCGCGATATGATCGTAACCTGACCTCTTATAAAAAAAGATTTTTTTCTCGATATTTCTGATAAAATATGTTGCAAAGCGAAGTCGCACGATTGGAAGTACTTTAGTGTTTTCTTCAGGTCCCACATTTCATTCGTAAGCACAACTACGAAAAGTACAAACAAAAGTTAGTGGACGAGGGGGTTTTACTGACAGAAGTGAATGATGCTGATAAGGTGCAGAATTCTTTCTCATCTTCCTAAACTGGTAAGTTAAATTCTCTCAGATTCCTAAGTTCTTGAATTTTTTTTTTTTTGTTTTGACTGAGTACTCCAAAGATTTTGCTGCTGATGAAATAATAAGGTGTCAGTAACATCGACAATGATTTTGTGTTTTTCACCAGACTTTGAAGTTTTTAGCGTACGTAATAATAAATAAAAGCAGTTATTAATAATCGAATAACTTTGCTATCATTAATACCCGTATCAGGAAATTATTACAGGTGAATGGTGGTGGGGATCGTTTACTTCATGTAACCTGTAATGTACTGGCTAGTTCTACTGTGCACGGTGATACCAACGTTTGTTCAAAGCAGAATTCACCATCAAAAGTTTAATTTTCTCTTTGTCCTAACTTAAATTTTTGATGAAAATTTTTTGATATTTTAAAATGTTGAATAAAATTTCTCATTTTTAAAAAACTAGACAATATATGCCGAAATACATAAGAAAAATTGATTACTTTTTGCTTGAGAATTATGCTGTTTAATTTGCGAAGCCTCATTTCACTTTTCGACATCTGCAGTGCATATTTCCGAGTAATAAAAACTTTTCTATATTCATATCGATGGACTTTCGCATTATTTGCGAAGTCACCGCAAAATAAGCTAAACTCTTAGTAGTTGGAATGTAAATAACATGTAATATCACTGACCAAATGCAGTCTTTTACAGAGACTTTCTTACCAAATTTCAATTGCCTATCAGTACTGAACTTCATTTTCCTTCTTAGAAAAAAATTAATTTAAGATAAAAGATAGTTTTATTTTTGCTGCAGTTCCCGAGAACAAATAGTGAAAAATTAGCTTATTGCGGTTGTGTAAACGATGTGCTGCATGGCGTTAGTGTTGAGCAGTTTTGTGAACGCATGAAAATATTTGGTAATATGAAATACCTGGATGCATTGCGGATTTTGAAGGAAGTTCGTTACCTGAAAACAGGTCGTTTACTTTTGAGACAGTAAGTTTTTTTTTCGACTTTTTTTCTTAGTAGCTTTCTTAGTAGTATTTTATCTCATACAAAAAGTAAGGAGAATTTGGCGACTTTCAGCTATCTTCAAATTGTAATTTTACTCAAGCAGTTTATGATTTTCTTCGTAGAAGATAATTCGGTAATAATCTCTGCTATGAGCTGCTTATTACTGCTAGCTTTTCACGAACTGAGAAAAGCATATCTCTTAGTTGAATTGCAAAGTTGAATTCTTACATCTGTATATCCTGGTTCTAATCTTAAAAAAAGTTTTTGTTACATTATTTCACTATATGCTGTATTCTTAAATTAAATTTTTAGCATTCTGTCAAAATAAATTTTGATGAGCTTCCAGCTTATGCTCTTCTTCATCTTCACTGCCACCATATGTAGTACTTGAAATGGTTGAAATGCTTGCTTGTATTCACATGGAAAATGCAGCTGAAAGAAGCGATGAAGAGCTTTGGCGAGAGTTGTTACTCCTGACGAATAAAGTGCCATATTTTTTAAAACCGACTGTTTCGCTGCTCCTGAAATCATGTTGTCCCGTGAATATTATGCCAAAATTGCCGTCAAACTTGATGTTACGTCCTGTAGTTATCACTGCTTTATTAGGTAATATATTTTGTCGTTAATTTTCCCAAAATTACTTCATTTCTAACTATTCATATCATCATAAGTTTTTACACTATATACTTTTCCAATTGACTGATCAGTTTTTACAGCTAATTATATCCGTTTTGGGAAAATAAACCTCTTTCAAACATTGCTTGCAAAAGAAACGGACTACGATTTGTTTAAAAACGATCAGTTACTGCGAGTTCTTGCTTTGCATGCTAATTCTCACCCAGCTGTATCATCTACGTATTTGCGATATCTCTCACAACGCCGTGTTATCTTGTTAGGTGACAATATGTGGCATTTCAATTCTATCATCTGGTAAGTACAAATTAAGCAGTAATTCATGGACTGTCATATTTTTTTAGCATTCTTAGAGTGACTATACACGATGATTGCAGTTATTAGCTTTTGACTAAAAATTAGAAAGTTTCAAAAAGTGTTTGAATTTTTTTCCAACATGTAAGTTACCCAAATAGTTAAGTACACATAGATTAGTAAGACATCAACAGCATTAAATGCGATAATTGTGGTCTAAAAGATTTTTAAATCTTGTACCTAGACAGAACGAAAATAACAAATCGATGTTCTCACTGTAATATTATAATGAATTATTTTCAAGAAACATTTATTACTTTAAGCAACTTAAGTAACTAAATGTTTCTTGAAAATAATGTTCTTTATAACTGATTAGCAATTCATTAATTGTGTTAATTTTGATCAAATTGCTCATTCGAGACTGGTTTATTGCCGATACATACATTGTCATCGTAATTTGGTTTGCATAACAGTTCTCGATGTTTTACAGCTAGTTTAATGCAGGATATAAATGTTTCTTGAAAACATAATGGATTTTCGTTTTAATGCCTTTTTACTTTTGTAGCCAATCAAAATATTGGGATATCAAGAACACAACTATATCAGATAATGGGGATTGCTGTATATGTGGTGGAAAATTTAAGAAAAATGAAGATTTGTCAGAAATGGAATTCAACTTACTTAAAAAAGAAATAATGTAAGTGTTCTGAGATACGGTTTTATAAAATTTTACCAATTTCATTCTGAAATCAAAATCCTAAATGTATATTATTGTCATGACCATACGGAGTATGTTGCAATTTAATTAGTTCAGTACGATATTTTCAAAGTCTTTTTTTGTTAATCAAACTAATGAGTAAGTAGTAATATGAGAGAAACCATTTTTTCAGGAAAGATATTGGAATTGTGTTGAAATAATTTTGTTTTAGGAAATATTTATCTGATGATATGCAAGTGTTCTCCAGTGCCACAGATCAAGAGATTTTCAATTTAAAGAAACATATAAAGCAAGAAATAAAGTCTCCTGAAGTTTGCTTTTATCTCATGTTTAAATTATTGTTAAGATTCTTTCTTAGACTCTTCAAATGTTCACCTTTTCTGGTCATTTTTATTGTTTGTTTTTCTTTTCATAAGAAATGCTTAACATTTGCTTTGTTATATTTGCTGTTTTTTAGAAAGATAAGAGTGAAAATACTGCTGAGTAAACAAAAATCCGACGTTAAAAGCTGGTTGTACGAATAGTTAGTCTGTACATGTCATGCAAGAAAGATAATTAGTTACTAACTGTAACTTATAAGTTACAATATACTGTTAGGCACTTTTTCCAGGTAGCAAATTTTTCAGGACCGGCAGTCACTGGTTGTTGATGCTCTCAATGTTTTATACACAGGTATCAATAATATGAGATCAAAGTATGGAATTGACAAAGTGTTACAAACGTCGTTGAATATATTTCCTAATGTATTGCTTATTGTGCGAAAAGGCGGTGACACGAATCGTGTGTGGAATGAACATGATAAATTCAGCAACTCTCGCTTGTCAGCATTCTTCTGCGACAGAATGTATGTTTTTTTTCTTGTAAGGGAAAATCCAGATGGGTAATATTTCTATCTGGATGAGACTTTCTCTTTGCTTAATATTATAGTAACCGTATAATGGAACAAAGTTCTGTTTTAAAAAAAATACGTTTAAGGATACTGCTGTTCTGATGTATTTATTTTTATTTAGTCGCTTGGTACAGTTGATGCTTGGAGTCATCGATAGTGAATTTTCCTCCTTGAGATTATGTCAGTAGTTTTAAGATACTTTCATCACTTTTTCCAGGAGTAATGATGATTTATTTCTATTGCTAGCAGTTATGGAACTTGGAATAAATGCTTACTTCTTGACAAACGATTCCTTTATAAATCATCGTAATATGTTAACTTCGTCGGGTCAAACATTATTCGATAAATGGGTAGAGAAAAGAGCTGTGCGCTTGGATAACAGAGATATAATTGTAAGTTTGCAGTTATTTGAACGAGCTTTTCTTTTCAAAATGTTCAAACAAGGTGGTATTATCTTTGTCATTGAGTGATATGTATCTCGTCTATCCTATCTCTCATTGGATGCGCTCGATTTATACTGATTTTATTATGAGATGAAGAGATTAGTAACACAGAACGTGGAATTTATATTTCCATTTTTCTGCTCTTAAATTTGAATGCAATTTATTCCAGATGCCCTCGGAATTTGCTGCATATGTGCATGAGACAGAGAATGGTTATCATATTCCCATTAAAACAGTTAACAAATCAGTTGCCTTATATTCTTATCTTTGCGTCCGAAGAAAACATGTCCAATAGCACACTGTTGAATTGTTTGTGCAAATTATTGTGGTTTATGATGAGAGATGAACTGTAAAGAGTTTCAGTGTTATTTTTTAATTTTATATCGCTGATCAGTTTGATAAATTAAGTGATGTGACATTTTTCTATCTTTTTATATTTTTATAAGCATTTAGAATATGTCACGTGAGTTTCAGGAACCAAATAAAGATTCTCTTTTGTTGGTTATGGATTTATGATTTACTATCGTGATACGCCTCATCTAGCAAAATTATTGATAGTTCTTTATTTTGAATTTATTTTGATTGTAGATAAAGTTTATTTGCTACATCCTTCGACATTATTCCATCTTCAAGTGTTGTCTTGTTCTAATATCATAATTTAGACTGAACAATGATTGATTATAAGCGTCCAGTCACAAAAAATATTGACAGCAGAAAACTTGGAGTTAACTAAATGTTTTATAATCCCAATATCTTGCCACTGGTACTTTAAAATAGTATGGTTTAAACTGATTTGCGATAAACTGCATTTACGATTTATTGAAAAAACTCTTAGCATCTATTTGTGGCTTGCATCATTTTTACCGTGTATATATTTTAAATACAACGATGGATCTCTTCTTAAGATTTTCTAGACAAAATTTGAATTTCATTGGTTTACATTTTTTAGAATTAAATGGCAGATCTTTCTTTTCAGAAATATTAGAGAAAAAGATGAAAATTTGCGAAGGCAGAAAATAGAAGAAAGGAAAATATAATGAATATTATCACAGCTGCCCAACAGTACATATCGGAGATGATCAGATTGGCTGGTCCGGGCATGAAAGTGATGATGATGGATAAATACACGGTAACGTGTACAATTTCAATCATAAATTCTTTATTGAAAATAATGCGAAATAAAAGAAATATAGTAACGTACTTGTAATGCTCGCTTATTTTATGTAAAATAGTAATCTTACTAGAAATTTCAACAAAAAATTATTCAATTTATGAAATAAAAGATGGAGGCTTGCTTTTTTGCGAATTCATTGGAGGTAAAATATTGGAGAAAAGTGATGTCTACACTTACACCGAGAAAGTTATAGTATAAAATAGGAATCGAAGAAATAAGGATATGATATTTAAGATGAAAAATAAATATCAATGAATTACATGGATTACTTATGAAAAGTAAAGCTTTTTTAACTGGATTCATTATTCGAAACAGCTGTATTTAGACTAGTGCTGTATCCTGTGTTTATGCACAGAGCGATATGATGCAGAAAGAAGTATATTTATTCGAACGCATCGATTCTGTTGTTTTAAGGTATGCCGCCCTGGATATTGTGCCACTTTTTTTCTCGTTTTGAACTTTTAAATTTTCAAAGAAAATTCTAGAGAACCGATCAAGCATCTCAAGTGTATAACATTTATACGACCTACGGCGGAAAATATTCATTTATTAGCTGAAGAATTACGGTTCCCAAAATATGGACAGTATTATATATGTAAGTTCACCTCTTGGAATTTTTCCTTCATAAATTGAACGATCATGGAAAAATCCTTGTAAGCATCTTGATCAGCAATACGTTCTTCTTGAGTTGGAAAAATTGTAGAAAATTCGTTTAATCATTCCGGTTAAGAATTCATTCTAGATTTTTGCAATATCATCAGTAAAACTGACGTCAAAACATTGGCTGAGGCAGATGACCAGGAAATGGTATGACATTTTATAAATTTTATGCAGTTTAACATCTGACTCAACTTTAATGGTGCATTCTAAATTTGCCAACTTATTTTTCAAAACATTTTTATTCGGTAACTTTTGTTGCGACAGTAATATGTATATGGTTTTCAGGGTTGATAATTAACTTTTTCATAATTTTACAAGTGTTTGTTCTTCCTTCTCTTATGTGACGCATGATCAATAAATTCCACATGATATGGCATTTTTAGGTCCGTGAAATGCACGAATTTTTCATGGATGGCATTCCCTTATGTCCTCATCTTCTGTCATTAAATATTCTTCATAGCTATAATTCATCTTTCTCTGTTTTGACACCAGTTTTTATGCGATCTTTAAATTCAATAATTGCTACTCTACTTGCATTGAAGAAGAAACCCCAAATACGGTATAGCTAAAATTTTTTCTACATTTTATTTGAGAATATTTTACTATGTAAAACAGCCATACGAATTATGTAGTATAAAATCGCGTGAATAAAGAAAAGGATATATACATAAAATCACAATCAATTTAGATGGCTTAAATTTGCTTAAAATTATAATATTATAAATGACTAAGGCAAATCCCATTTTCATATTTTAAATTTTCATACAAAAATTTAAATTATACTATTTAAGGTACCAAAAGTCAAACAAAGATAGTAAAACATTGGCAGAAGAAGTTGCCAAGGCAATCGCTCGTGAAGAAAGTTTATTTGAAAATGCCAAAACTGATACAGTTTTGTTAATAATCGATCGAAGTGAGGATGCAGTAACTCCTTTGCTGAACCAATGGACATATGAAGCTATGGTATTGTTAAATTCATTGATTTTTTGTTACAATTTACGTTAAAAGTTTTTGTGGCATTATGTGCAGAAGAAAGAAACTTGCATTTCGCTACCGTTGTATTAATGTTTTAGGTCCATGAACTTGTGGGTATCAACAATCATCGCGTTAATATAAATACGGCTTCAAATACCGGTGCTTTAATACTCTCTCCTCTTCATGATCCTTTTTACTCAAAGGTAAAGAAGTTTGCACGACAAATTAACTTGTACTCTAAAAACCTTATGCAACATTACCCACTTTTTAAGAAGTACCAGTCCGTTATGTTACCGATTAAACAAATGAAGCTCGGATGTTTAATGCAGTTTTTCATAATCTTAAAAAAATTGGATTTGATCGGTGCAATAATTTGTTTAGCCATGGATAGCTATATAGTGAATACATGATTGTGAATCAAATACAGTGTGTTAATTTAATATAAAATTTGATGACATTTTGCAGGTTTACAATTGTTTCGTTTTTTCCAGAACATGTATGCTAATTTTGGTGAAATTGGTCAAAATATCAAGGAGCTGATAACAGAATTTCAACGAAAATCACAGACCAATCAAAAGCTTGAATCAGTTGCTGATATGAAAAACTTTGTTGAACAGTATCCGCAGTTCAAAAAGATTTCTGGTAAACGAAATGTGTTTTAATAGTATTTTGGTTTTTTTTGTTTTCATTTTTTGGAGAAAACTTTTTCTGAAGAGACAACTTAGACACTAAATACATCTATTTCTTGTGCCGATTGAAGGTGCGAGATATCATATTCTTTGCTTAGAAACTTTGATGTTGAAATTCATAATGAGTTACATACAATTCCGTAACAAACAACTGTTTATGGTTTTGTCGCAGACACTGGAGAGACTTCATACAGTGCGGTAAGCAGAGTAGTAGAAGAGTTATGTTCCGAAAAATGAAAGATATATAAGTCAAATAAATTTGATTACTGATTGAAATTGAAAAGATTAAAAATGTTTTCATGTTGAAAAATATTAGAATAAATCAATTTTCAGGTACGGTTACCAAACATTTAACGGTACTTGGTGAGTTGTCAAAATTAGTAGCTAATCGGAATTTGCTTGAAATTTCTGAAGTAGAACAGCAACTCGTAAGCGGTGGTGAGCATTCACATTGTTTGGCTACTGTTCGACGTCTTCTGCAGCATGAACAAACGACGGATCTTGTAATTTTTCCTTTTGCGAAAAAAACTGGCATTATTTAAATTTTTTTGAACATTTCTATGTGATTTACCTTTATCTTGTGTCAAAGCAACATTTAAAAATTTTTAGAAAGTCCAAAAAATATAATTAGCTGTTTGCTAAGTTCAAATATGATCGTAAGCCAACGCTGTTAAAAACTTTGGAATTCAAGGAAACTGTATGGTTGGGTTTATATTTAATATTTTCAATATATGTAAGGATGGAGAATATATACAATGCGTAATGGAAAAGAGGAAGATTAGTGGAAAGGTTAGGAAATTCTAAGAATGATTGTACATATTTATACTCTTCAGTGTATATTGCCATTCAGGATGCAACAAGACTAGTGATGTTATATGCTCTACGATTCGAGAATCATGCTAATAGCGATATTCCTGGCTTAGTGCAATTGTTAAGACGAAAAGGTGTGAGCAATCAAAATATTAAGGTATACATTCATGATGATAGTTTCTTCACCTCCTTTTCTCCTTTCGCTTTTATTGACCTTAGAAAATTGTACTTTTCATATGTATATATAACCCTGATCACTGGGAATAGACGCAAAATGGAATTTATGCTTTTTACAACGAATCTTTTTTCACTTCTTCATTAAAGATAATAAAATGTCGATGAAACTCAATGACATGTATGCAGGTAATAAGAGCCGTTCTCGACTTCGGCGGTTCAGCTCGCCGAGAAAATGATCTCTTTGGGGGCACAGCAATAGCAATGACGAAACGTTTCATTAAAGGTTTGAAAGGAGTTGAAAATATTTATACGCAGCATGAACCGTATATTACTGAATTAATTGATTCACTATCCAAGGGTCGCCTCTCCGATACAGCTTATCCATACATATTGCCACCCCTGCCGTTAGTTCTTTCTATTTTTTTAATATTCCTGAATTAGTTCATTAAATGTGACAGTGATATTAGTATCTTTATTGTTTTGCATTCGAAATTTGCAGGAATGAATCATTCATTCTAGATTTCTAAAATTATTGGAATTCAAATGATCCTTTGCTGAAGCAATTATTCTGAGGATGTAACTCAATTAAGAATAAAGCTTTAGTCAATCCAACTAATAGATCGTGAAACTTTGCTAATTTTTCTTAAAATGAAAACATTTTTCAAATCAGTGATATACAATTTTGGTGAGACAGCAAAAAATGTTATAAATGAAGTTAAAAATGGAATGCACGTTTGAAATCCTACAGGAATCGTACAGATAATATAATTCTATTCATTATTGGTGGTGCTACTTACGAGGAATCACGAGCTGTGTACATAGGAAATCAACGTGGACGAACTTCGTCTGGTCCGTCAAATACCATTCTTCTTTCTACAGCAATGCTTAATTCTACTAGGTGATTTTTCCAAAAATTTGAGTGAGAAAGTTCAACTGCGCAGACTGCTCATATTCTTCCAGTACCTATTCCTTTCTCTTTCTTTTGGTGTATTAGATTAAAATTAAGTGAATCAAATGTGTTTAGCATGAAATGTTGCTTAAAATTTATAATAGTGCAAGTTAGAAAAATTTTTGCTTCGTGTTAGAATCGTACATATTATAGTTATTACCCTATTATGTTATTCTTTTGAATTTTTTAATTTTTGGGATTTTTTTGAAAAATATCCATTTTCGTGTTTTCACATGATGTTTTCAGTTTTATTGAAGAACTTCTGGTGGCTACAACAGTTGGATGAATGGCCTAATTTAGTGTAACAAAATCTGTGATTAAAATGATGCTTATTGAATGTAATTGTCTGCGTATAAGAAATGAAGATATCCCTGTTTCAGTCGTCCTTATATTCACTACGAATTCACATAAAGGTCATAGTTTACCGACTATTTACAACTTGAAACCTGAAACAAGTAGATCATCCGGAATCACTTGTATAACAAATTATGCTGAATACGTTCAAATCCTTCAAATCGCGTAGCATTAAGATAATTTCTTAAAAAGCGCTTCATCGACAGACAATTCAAAATCTACAGAAAGTGAAGTGAAATGTGAATGGGACGGAAAGATCATCATAAATCTTGTCAGAGTGACATAAATGTATCATCGGCATTTACCGATATTGGTGCACAAGTGTGGGTTCGTGGTATTTTTGGAACTTTAAGGTGTTTATCTTGTGAAGCTTTTGAACTGTGGTGGGAGGTGATGAGGTACACTGAAATATTGGTTTTGGCAGATTAGCTTAGGTGATCAGGCTTGACAGATCAGTTTATGGAGGAGACTGTTGAAATATTACAGGTAGTAATGTCAGGCGTTATATATTCCTTAGTTCCATGGGTTTTCATACTCCGAAACATTTAGCTGTTGGCTTGCTTGTATTTCAGAAAGAGATAAACATTCGTATCGAAGAGAAATAATTAACACTTCATTAGCGGACCATTAGTCTAACATAGTGCTTTGGTCTTATCTCATAAAATCACACCTAACTTGTTGCTCTGTAGAATCAGGATCGCTTTCTCTTGAGAAGCGTACATCTAATAATATTGAGTAACAATTTAATATTAGAATATAAAACATTTCTGTAGTCGGTGCAAATATGGTCATTAAGAAGGTGAAGCTATTCCGTATTTGATTGTTCCTCAGCTAGATCTAATTTCAGGTGAAGCTGACTGTTATATGAAGTTCTATAAAAGATTTTTGAGTTGATGCGGACGTTTTGGCTCAAGATATCCATACAGTTTTTGTGTAAAATTTCGCAATTACAAAAAATTAACTTCCGCTTTTTCGGAATAAAAACAAATAGAGCAACATATGTTTAGATATATTTACAAGCTATGTGTAAATACCTAAACATATGTTGCTTATTTCGGAGTTAAGTTGATATCTGCATATGTACCAGTACTTCATTAACTCAGAAATATTGTAAATTAGCCAATCGATATCTTCAGTTAATGCACCTATCCAATGGAAATCTGTTTACATACTGGAGAGAGAAACTGCATAAATTGATTCAATCTGTTTGGTGTATTGTTTGTTGTCTGTCTTTTGCGTTGATGTATTGCAAGAAAAAAAATTATATTACAAAAAAGAGTCTAGGATACCAAAACCAGTCACTTAAGTTGTACAATACTTTATCAATGCCAATAATGTGGTTTGTTTATCAGCAATGAACGCTACAATCGATCTGTTTCATTGTGAAGTTAGAAGTTGTCATTTTTTGTCGATCTCGTGGACAATTTCAGGCTCTGATAACGAGAGTCAAATCCCTTAGAAAGGAATAACGAAATAATCATTGATAAGAAACGGATATACTTCGGACTCATATTCAACTCACATATAAGGTTGATTCTATTTTACATTATGAAAATTAATATGAGAAAAGGTTTGTAAAAAGTAAATGGATGAAGTCAAAAAAAGCAATTATGCGTGCGATCGTTTCATAATGTTTCAACTTGATTTTTTTTTATAACTTTCTGGAATGCGTATGTATGGGTATTAATGGCAATTGGATTTTCTTGTGTGCCTTGATTGTAAGCCTTGTTTTGGAGACTTTCATCCGACATGCAATGACACTATCGGTTGAACACCTTGCACTGATGGTGTATAATTGCAGAGCAAAAGGTACTTCGAGTTAGGATAAATTATGAGGGCTAACAAGCGATTGATTCGACTCAGTGATAGATGACAGTGAATACAGTTTTTGTGGTAGGGGTTAGGTTGGCATGAACAGGTGTAAGGGATGACAGAGACCGGATGAATACTAAATGGGAGGTCACCTAGTGATATCGTCTTCATCTGATTTTCCTTTATTTTAAAGTAGAGCGTGCCTTTCCCGAAGGTTAACACGTTCAAATGATGTATCTTTGCTTATGAATCCCCAAATCGGATCAGTTTGAAAGAGCCTTAGCGATATTGCGAATTGTTATGCCGGTGGTTGTCGTTTAGTATCGAATGGCAGGCTGACTCGATGATTTGTTATGTGTGATGGGTGTATGAATGTGTGTGTGTGTGTGTGTGTGTGTGTGTATATGTGAGTGTGTGTTGATATATCTGGCATAAGCGAAAGGAGAGGGCAGTAAGGAGAGGAAGAATGGTAGGAAGTGTACGGCATGTCACATAGTTAAAGAAAGAGTAGGCGACGCAGCTTCAAGATGCATCGTTTCTGCCTGACGTGTTGTATCTGGTGATCGCTTATTCCTCTCCTATATGGTCGTCCTTCTGAACATTCTCTTTCATTCCCACAAGGAAAGTAGGTTAGGCGAACAATAATAAGACAGGCGAGATGCGAGAGGCAGTGGAAAGGTCGAGTATGGCAGCTGGTGTCCATAGTGGGGGGAGAAGGGGGTTGAAAGGTCGAATAGACAAGAGTGACTGATGTCCACGAAGGGAGGGGCACTACTTAGTGGCCGATATTTCTCATCAATTTAGAAGTGCACCGGCTGGTGTGTGTGTGTGTGTGTGTGTGTGTATGTGTGTGTGGCTTAGAAGAGAAAGGAATCGAGAGCATCTGTTCGTGCTTTATGCAGTACGCTCAGCTCATCACTACACTCCCCTTCACTCCACCCCGTTCCCCGCTCCTGTCAGATCCATTTCCCGTTCATAGAGCGCCATCTTTAAATCGATCCCTCCCAGCTCAGTTACCCGCGTGTTAGGTGTTGAAGTGGCTGTTGCATGTGTCTTTATATCCGTCGATCTGCTGTTGATTGATTACTGTGCTGTTCAGGTTCTTCTCTGCTAAGGGTAACACTTATTGGTTGGGGACTTTGCAAAACTGATTGTGAAAACTTTGGACATGATTGAAGATTAGAAAATTTGGTTACAAAAATAACTACTCCTTGTGGGTTGTTTATTTAATTCTGAAATGAACATTACAGTATCATTTAAATATTGTGTGCTATGCAACCATTAGACTGTTTCACTTTCATTAATGCCTTTATCGAATATATTTCGTGTTCATTTTTGAAGTGCCGAAACTGTGATTGATCTTGAAGCAGCTTGTAATAGTCTCTGCTTGATGGGTTCAATAGATGGTGCACATGCATGATAAATCAATTTACAGAGAAAATAAGAGGCTAATAAGCTGGACATGTGTCGAGAGGTGGCTTTGCTGATTAGTTTTGCAATCAAAAAAAAGTAGATGGTGCAATGGATGATGGGTCGATCTTTCATTTTGGTGTTTCCTGACATTTGTCTTGTGCTTCTAAGCAAACTTAGTTTTGTCTAGCTACAGTTTTTTATTTGTCGTTATTAATAAATCCCACTAATTTTACTGAAGTAAACAGGAGAGCAATGTTTTCCATACATGAAAGCTTTTGTTCTAAGTCCAGTCGAGCAGAAGAGCATGGAAAAAATCAGGAATAAAACCGAATGAACTATGTTTGCTCTAACCTTGAACTATTGCTTATGGACTTTATGATGTATGGTTTGCTGTGCGGTCAAAAAATATATTGGAAATTGCCATGATTTTTTTTTGCAGATTGGAGAAAAAGCTATAATCCGGTGGTGGTACTTCCTATTTTATTTGTGTTCTGTTATATTTGGTCTTTGAAGTTAATTGGTATCGGTACATAAGCATTCGTCAAATCTATACGTACTGCGCGTACGTCATCCTGGTTTTTTTTTTTTGGAGTGAGTTATTTTATTTGCTTTATAAAAATTTTTCAAAAAGTACATTGTGTAGTACCAATGTTTTGTAGCTGGTAGAAGAATTGTATCGATTATCTTTATGAATTCGCTTTCATCGTTATTATGTACACTCTAAAAGTGTCATTAAAGTGCTAGAAGTTATTAGATTTTCTGTTTGAAATTACTTTTCAAGTTAGTAAACTGCATTGAATTTTGGGATAGGATTTCTGATTTCTGATTTAAAGATTTTTGGTTCAACACATAGGAAATCAAATTCGCAGTTTCGAAGACTCTTCCCTAAGTTCTGCTTTGAAAATTTTGAATTTTTTTGCAACTGATATATCTCAGTTTTTCATTTAGTTCTCAAGGTGATGACCTTTTTTCACTATTTTTATAGCTTAACTTATATTCTTTTTCAGGTTGTCAAGTTTCCCGCAATCACGATTCTTCCCTTTACGCATTCCGTTGTTTTTGATTGTATCCTATTACATTTATATAATTCTGGATGTCTTCCGCGCGGGGCGCTGCGGGCGCCGTTAAACCTAAACTCCACAACGTAAATAGTATCTACGCGGGCAAAAATCAAAACGCCGTGAAGGCGCCCGGTACGTATATTCCAGTTTACTTCTCGTATTTAATTTTTTTACAGGTGATTTTCTGATCCTAAATATCGGTAAATTAATTGGGGCAGCAGTTAAGCACATGAATGATTTTTGCCATTTTATGCAATTTAAATATACTATCAGCAATTTCGTTGTTCAGAAATTTGGCAATAATACTTTATCAACATTTATGATATTAAGAACCGTTTACGTCGGACAGTTCTTATGCATCAACTCACATTTCAGGTGCGGGCAAGCATGGCGGACTTCAAAGTCTTGGTAAAACAACAGCGGTGGTACGTCGTATGCCACCACCTGCTACGTTACCTTCGTTGAGAGCGGAAAGTCAAGGACAAGACCCTAACATTGCACTCGTGCCACATGGTGGCACTGGTTGGGCCAAAGGGGATGCAAGCGCAGCAAATGGTCAAACAGATTTTCAATCGGTATGAGGAAATTGTTGAATCAATCAGTACTAATTCATGCGAAATCTCTAATCAATTCCCCCTTCTGAAAGTTACTCAAGATTTTGAAAAACACAAGGCAATCAAAAACTACAACATTTCAATTGTTTTATGAAAGGGCATGACACATTTATAGAACTGAAATATCATGCAGTGAAGTTTCCTAAAAATTAACATGGACTTCGAAAAGTTTTTGCAGGTAGTAAAATCATCAGCCAGTTTAACGGGATCCACATCAACAACAACAGCTACATTAAGTACATTAAGCGGGATAAACAGCGGCAACGGACCGCATACAACCGATTTACGACCAAAATGGGCGAAACAACCAAATGTTGCAGAAGCGCAGGCAGCAGCACTGCAGAATGCGAGTGCAGTAACGGCCTCATCAAGGGATTTTCCATCGCTTGCAGCTGCCACCGCAGCCATCGCAAAACAGTCCAGCAATGCTTTAACCGAAAGTCTCAAGCCACAGAGTTTGTCTTACTGTTTTCTTCAGGGATTAACTTTATAATTTCTTCGCAGCATTTGCGAAAATTTTTGATGGAGTAAAAAGATAGTAAAATGTGACAAACGGCTGGTTCCGTGCATTTCGTTTTTTATAGTCCTACACTTAATAGTCATACAAGTGTCTGGAGTCGTCTTTCGTGTAATTTGTGCCATTTGATAATTAGAAAAAGAGGTAATACCCAACTGTATGTGCAAATTGTCTGGGAAAGTAGTTTGGTATTCGGAGTGCATATTGCCTAAATGAATTAGAGATTTAGTACTTATTCGATTCCAGAGTCTGGAAGTTGGCGTGCCGGAGGCAGTTCGGCAGTATCACGAAACGAAGGAGATATGCCGCAGGTGACGCTACATTCGCACTCAGGACCATCTTACTTATCTACTACTGTAACTGCACGTATTGCAGACAGACAGGTATTTTGTATAGTGTTGTTAGTAATGTAACGTTTTTTTCTTTAGAAGCGTTTTTTCGCACTGTTTGGTTGTAATTCGCTTTTAATCTATATTCCAGCTTTCACTGATAGGAAACTTTGTTTTAAAATTTCACATTTGCAGTTGCCTTCTCGGTACTACGATACAACAGCAGTGCCGCCACCACCACCTCCAAATGGTACTTTCCAAGTGCCGAAACTGCAGTCAGCCATATCCGTTTCCAACTCAGGTCCTTTGGAAACCTTGAGCAGCCAACCATTATCAGCAGGTTGTTACAGTTCAACTTTTGTGCTCAGTGGATGTACAGTTATGTGTAGAAGAATTCAGTTTGTTGATTTTGAACAATACGAAAGTTTTGATTGCAAAATTGAATTTGATAGATATTTAAAATTTAATACTCAATCTTTTCTTAGTAATTCAAAATATACAAAATTTTTCTGAGTGGCAGTTGTCCAGGTTTCACCCCTTAGGTGTTAGAAGCGTCTTTCCATTTGTGTTATAGAAAACGCACCGACACGAAAAACGAGTTGTCCAAGCACGACAAGTGTTTCTTCAGTAACTTCTCAGTATCCAGCAAATGTAGCAGTTCCACCACCAAATTACTCTCGTCCACCACCAAATTATGTTCCAGCGCAGGTGTGATGCATATTTTTGATCTTTTTCATGAATAATTTGTATTAGAACCACCAAAATTAATTTTAGCCTTCGAAAAAATGAATATTTCTATTTAATTCTGTGATGAAATTTGTGGTGTATCTAGCTGTCAACAACTATCGCATGCTTTAATAATCTCCTTTTACTGTTTCTAACAAGAATTTTAATTATATCACAACTGTTGTGCATTTCAGACAGATTCTGCGCGAAGCGGGTTAAATTATGGTGCACACTTGCAGCCATCCGAAGACGGAACAGATGGAAAGCAAGTACAGCCGAAAAGTGGACTTGGCGACGAAGGTTGCAACAATCGGCGATATTTGGAGAAAGTGAAAGGTGTGTTAATAATTATGGTACGAACTAAAAAGTGGAAGGCGTACTGAGATTCAGTTATATAGTAAAGAGTAGCGGATCCATCAGCTGTCCATAAAGATTTTCTTTTTTCATCTGAGATTTTCTTTTTTGAATTTAATTGACTTTCCTTATAAAAAATCAAAAAAATGTTTAAATAATATTTAACATCGATTTGTTTCACACGGAAATCAATATAATTCCGTCGAGGTTTTTTAGACTGTGTTATGCTCGAACCTGCGCAGATAACGGTATCGAGTGATATCCAGTCGAATTATACTCGCAGGGTGATGTGTGATAGTCGGTAAATTTGTTAATTAGTACTGAATATTACTTAGTGGATTTGAAATTTCAAAACCTCGTTCTTAATTGTCAATACTTCAGTCAAGAATTTATTATATAGTGGTAAGGCACAAATGATATCATACATATGTATTCTGTGCTATTTGATGTGTGAAGAATTGAAATGATTGCAGAGGTGATTTTGACGAATTCACTTCTAGAGGTAAAAGTGAATGGCATGATGAAGAAACGCATAGATGGCTTAGCGCAATTGGCTGTCCTGCTCAGGAGTCGCAACAGTGTGCTGAATTTTCACAAGTATATTTTCAAAGGTCATTCACTTTAGGTAGTATTAGAAGTGGCAAGGTTTAATAAAACATTTCATAGAAAAATTTCTTCCTGAATTTAACTTGGAGAAATTTATGTTAAGAATGGTTATACTCGAGATCGCGATGAGGAGTTAGGTCGCAGGCAGAATATTGAACGTGAAGCGGCTATCGAACGTTCACGTCAAAAAAGGCGCATGGCGAGTCAAGTATGTCCATTCAAATATTGTTCATTACGATGTAATTTTGATGTTTTTTATGATGGTTGATTTGTGATTGATTCCATAGTGGTACTTCTTGAATTCTAGAAAAAATTTGGGAATTTTCCATGGCCCTTTTGGGTTTTACCCGGAAAATTATTGGAGGCTTTGACGTACTGAAAGACGTGGCTGATCAGCACAAATAACTTTGCTCACTAGCAAGCGGTATTTGTACTCACCGACAAATTTAAACCTGATGGCGGATTGTAAAATTCGCTTCTTGAAATTTGTGAACCATCAGAAATGAAATATTTAGAGCTCAGCACTATCAGAGAGTGAAGGTGGAAGTGCACCATCCGGTTATGGATCTGTCAGGATGATGAACGCATATGAAAATGACTCATATCCTGATTGGGATCAATCTTCTCGTGGCAGCTTTGTATTGCAAAAGGTTAATATTCGTATAACTTGAAATATCTATAGGCCAACTGAAGCGATGTAGATGGCTGTATCAACTTTTTGCATTTTAGAACAATGATGACTCAGGAGTTAGGGAATGTTGGGGCGTTATGGGTGGATACGATGTATCTACTCGACGGGATGAGCAGGAAACAACACAGCGAATTGAATTTCGAATGCTGAAACGCCCAGAAGGTAAAGGAGATGTTGCACAGCAACTATCGCAAATGGGTGTTCAAGACAGTGAAACACACGATGAAGATGAAGGTAGGTGTTGATAGTGGTTCCATGTTTTCCTAAGAAAGCGATATATATATAAATATGGAACAAAAGGAGAAAAGCTGCATACTTCTACATTTTTAGAATTTTTAACATTGGGAATTCGGAGGAGGCCTCCATCTGCAGAAAAGGTTGCATAATCGAAGATTTGTAACAGGAAAAGTAATATTTAGGATTCATGCTAAATTAAAACATTTTGTAGAGCTACAACTCACAAAACTTTCACGACCAGCAGCGAAAATCGTAAAAAGAATGGCTCCTGGGAGCATTCCACCGGTTGAAGAAGCAAATAATCAGTCTTCTGAAACAACTAACTCACAAACGCAGCGCAAACCGATACAGCAGCAAAAGAATACTGATAAAAGGGCTAATGATTCACGCATTCAGTCTTCTTTACAAGGACATCAACAAAAGGTCATAAATCTAAATTTTATTGTAGTTGGGCGAAATGATGTGGATTATATTTAGTAATTGTCTAGATGCTGTATTGATGATAAAAATCAAGAACGTTGAGTAATCTTTTTTACATTACATGGTAAGTCGTTTATGTTCATTGATCTGTTTAGGACAGGAGCCGGAGAAGAGCGGGAGAGCTTTTTCTCTTGTCCGTTACTCTACGTGATCACTGTGAATAAAAAATGTGTAATTTTCAGACACTGTTTCATCGTGAGATTGATGGCACTCCATCGAATGAATGGGCGGCTCAGAAACAAAAAACTTCGTAAGTTAATATGTAATAATGAACTTGATAGGTGATAAATATTTTTGTTTACCAATAATAGCATAGAGTCTTGGTATATTTTGGTTTTGTTCAATAGGCTGGGTAACACGTCACAACAGTCACACACACCAACAAAAACACGAGAAGATGGAGTCGAGGGTGCACATGTTACAAGCGTACCATCAATGTTGATGGCACCACCACCGGCAGATAACGTTTGGGAGAAACGAGCAGAGGAACGTGAAAGTGCGGAAAGGGAACGTGCAGCTCAACAGGATGCCTTAAATCAGATGCATTTGCAGCAGCAGTTTCCTACAGTTGGTGAACAATCAGGTGAGCTCCTCTGAAGCGGTGGAGAATGGGTGCTTGCTGCTTTGTTTCTATTGAGATGGTAGTTATTGCATTGTTGCTGCTAATTGACGGTACAACCTACCAGTAATAAATTATATTCTTTTCGTTTAGGTATAAGTACGAACGAACCGCTTGATGATTTGTCGATAGGACGTTCCGAAAATTCTTATTCAAAAAATGAACATCAACATGGCCGAAGAAGTGGTAATAGAAGTCGAAATCGAGATTCGCATAAATGGACAGAAAAAAAATGTAACTATAGTCAGCAACACGATGAAGTTTGCGTCCAAGATTATTATGTAGCCGAAGAAGAGGAAGATGGAAATGGGGGAACAGAGGGAAGTGGTGGACTTTTCCACGGTCAGCGTGAATTTGTGAATTCGAGAGTTCATCGTTCCGGGCGTGGTTCGTCATCAGTAAGTTCTCGTGGTAGCAGAACTTATGGTTGCGGTAGTTTCTTGGGAATACGTCGTGGTGGCAGTATGCCACACCAACATCTTGGTACTGGACAAGCACATCGCACCCAGAATAGATGTGATCGAAATCAGCGTCGTGGGAAATGTCAGGAACTTCAGGTTAATCCCTTTTTCTATCATTACTTTTTTCTTCCGAGGTCGGGTGGCTAAGAGTAAAATTTAGCAGTGTTAATCCTATTTTTCAAACTCAGTAAAATTTAGTTACTAACCATTGTATAGGACGGATTATAACCAATAGCATATGAGAGGTGTGATACATTTTGAGTTAAAAAGTTTTTTCTTAAAAGTCATGAATATATTTCGTAGTTACCAACATTTCTCTTTATCTTTCTTTAGTACTTCCTCGAGCTAATTTTAATGTTTTTTAGAAAGATAATTTTTCAAATATGGGAGAATTTCGCGTCGAGGATACTTATGTGAATGCACCGGTTGTTAAAGAACCATTAGCAGAAGAAAAAACAGAAGATAAGGTTTCTGGTGATCCGGTTACAGTGCAAGATCATGAACGTCATGTTCAGAGTAGAAATATCAGTCGTCAGGGTGGTTCTCATCGTAGCGCACAGCAGTTGTATGAGCCAAAAAAGCGTCAAGAATATAGTCGTACGGGGAGAAGAGGTAACTTCGAATGTCTAAAAATTTTTTTTGTGGATTACCGTTCTGATTTCCTTATTAAATCATTATGATTGATTTATTTGAAATGCCACATGACACTTTATCTAGGGTAAATATCCATGAAAAATACAAAATAGGCGACGGTTTTTGGTATGAAACTAACAAAGAGATTTTTTATCAAGAAAGTTGAATTTGAAGGTACGCGCGCTGGTCCAACAAAAATTAACTCCCAACGTAATGGGGATGTCCGAACAACAGGTGCTTATCAGAATCCACCTGAAAGGGGGAAACGAAAAAAGACTAACGAAGAGCGTAAAGTGGTAGATGATGAAAGTTCATCTCGAACTCATGGCGATGGATCTTACAGACGGGGTGGAATTCGAGGAACACATAGCGTATGTTTCTTCATTTTTATGAATAACTGAGATGGGCGCAATTCGAAAAGCATATCTTTCTTTACATTCCTTATTAAAGTAGATCTGGAATGTGCCATTAATGTTTAATTTGCTCTTGTTTATGTTTTAGGAGTAGATAATGAATTCTGTGGTTTTAAACTTTATTTCGGCCTATACCTACATCAGATTTGTTTCACACATAAAAATGTCCCACTTTTATTAGCTAAAATTTCACGATTATTGTGAAGATAATTTTTAATAAATCCTCATATGAAGCTGTCTTTGCCATGGGAGTATTAAGATGGTTCATTTCGGCAATTTATAGATACGTAGACGCAGGCATTCTGGTGTGCGCCAAGGTAATGCTCGTGGTAATAATCAGTCATATTGTAGCGGCACTGAACGTACAGCCCAGTTGAAATCACCGGTTACTTCAGAAGGGCATGAAGAATGGGAAACAGCTTCCGAGAGTAGCGACTTCGCAGATCGACAAAAGTAAAACATTTCCTTTGCTTGATGACGGACTTTAATCGGTTAATTGTTAGTGGTAGGGTTCTCTCTTCCAGTTTCTTGATTTGTTTTAGACAAACAAATACCTCTTTCAAATTAGACTTAAGTACTTGAAATTCTAATCTACTGCTTTAAAACTACTGTATTCTTGAATCATTTCGAAAGTGAATTTACAGACAAGTACGGCGTCAGAATGCTTCATCGAAATATGGTAACTCACGCAGAACTATTCGCTCCAGCAATGGTGGGACATTTCTGTGAAACTTTTACATGCATACTTAAGCTTCGACTGCAATACTTTCTACTTATTCCTTTTCGACATAGATATGGGAATGATAAGTTGTAATTGCTCAAGAGAGAAGTTATAAATTGCGTGCATCAAGATGTGTTCGTGTTATCTGGTAATTTCTTACAGGACGTCGTGAAAGCGGTATCGGAGCTGTGCCTAATCGCACTTCAAGTAATTCAAAAAACGTGAAACCCGCCAGCACTACGTCGCACGTGGCCACCCGCGGTGCCCAGTTAGCAAAGGAGGTGAGTTTTTCAAGGATACCACGATTATTTTGTAATGTAGATATTATATAGGAATTTAAATGTAACCTAATTCAATGTGAAGCAGGAAACAGCGCCGATAACACAGGGTGAAGCAGCACGAAGACCCGATACCTGCAAAGACGGGCTGGCGGGAGTGGATATCAACAATGCAGGTGTAATAGTGATTGATGATCGTCCAGATGGACAAGTGGATGATGCTACAGAAAATAATGATGATTTCGAAGAAGTGTTGTCTAAGAAAAGCAGAAAACTTCGACAGCAGCAAATAAATGAACAGTTGGAAGCAGTATGTTTTACAGTTGACAAATGTATTATAGTTTAGTTTGGTAATATCCATGTGTCTTGCTAACAGAATAGAATATATATGTTTTATTTTGGCATGATTTTTAAATTCAGATTTCTCTTTTTTATTTTCAGAATTTTTAACGACAATTTTTATAAAAAAAAAAATAACAAAATTTTTTAATAACAAAATGAATAGATAGAGAAGTAACAAACTATTTTAATTTATCATAATTTTTATAAGATTTTATGCTAGAAGTAAAGAAAGTGAAGAGAGTTAACTCAATTATTTTAATTTGATTTAAAAAAATATTCAAATTTTCTTGATGATTTCATCGGTTTCGTTGTAGGAAGAACGTCGAAAAAGTAAGGAAAAGGAGAAAATTGAGCGCCGTAAAGCGCGTGTGCAGGCAAAGCGAATAGGAAAGAGATCAGCCGCGAAAAATGACCGTATTGGTCCAAACGGTGCTAATTTAGCTAATGAAGTTGCTCCGAAAACGACTGCTTTGAACACGAATAATCATGGAGTAAGAGATGCTGGTGGTGGTATGAATCGTCCAATTTTGACAAATGCACAAAATACTCTCAATACTACTGTTTGGAATAGTTCTATTGTTCGTGAACAAACAACACATCCATCTCCACCAGTTGAAAAGTATAAATTTCTTGTAAAGCTTTCAATTATTTAGCATTCGGAGTCAGAAAATTTCCACTTTGTTTTTTTTTTCTTGTAAAACAGTATAAATTCTTGATTTATTGAAACTGAATGATCAAAATATATCTGTCACTTGGAACTGTTATTTTTAAAACTATATATATAAATTCTTTGCTTCTAGTCATCCGGTAATACCGTCACCCATAGCTCGTCCTACACCGAAAGCGCGCATTTCTTCTGCTTCAGTAGTGAACACTGCGGTGAAAAAAGAGGTTGACCTATGGACAGAATCAGATGGAGAGCAGCGGCTTCATGCTGCACGAAAGGTTTTCTTCGATTTTTTGTTGAAATTAGAGCGTTTTCAAATATCTGAGGCTATTTTGGTTTATAAATTTTAGTCTAGTATGATTATTTGACGATTTTTTGCAATCGATGCATTAAGTTAGTAAAATTTCAGCTCTCAGATGGTACAGTGAAAAAGAATGCAGAATTTACGACGAATTTCAACGCTGCTAATACAACTCATGGGGAAAATGGACAGTACCAATTTACGTTTGATTCTTCCTTGCAAGATAACACGCAGAGCTTGGTAATTTATTCCGAATTCCGGAACTCATACACTGATAAAATGTCAATTGGAAATACAAACCTGTAATCGACAAATGTTTGCAAGTGTTCCTCTAAAGATGTTCAGTTCTAATCGTAACATAATGACAGTTTCCCGAGATTATGGCTATAACACTTGCAAACAATATTCATTTTAGTCATTCACATTTTGCATTTTTCCTCATTTGGCCCGTAGTCTCGTATTAGGAATTTTGAAAGACTAAAAGTGTAATATTTTAATTGGTTCATCATTTAACCTCAAACTGCTTTTTATATTCATTATTAGATTTCTCGTGTTTTGCAGAAAAGATCATCAAAGGAAGCTCTGGTAACGAAAGGTGATGGTGCTTCACCTTTGACAAACATCGCACTTGAAGCAAATGATGATGAGTGTCTAAAGCAAAGATTAGATAAAGTATCATTTATGAATTATCCTTTTCCAGTTAATAGCAATGATCCATTTTTCTGAATTTAATTCTTTTATATCTTTTATTTAATTGTTCTGAGAACTGAATCTTATGTTATCATTTCATTTTCAACATTTTTCAGGTAAAAGACTTCTGGCCCGGTCAACAACAATTTGCAAATAATTTACTTGGAAGTGGTAATGAAAGTACCACAATTGCGCCGTTGGTTAATGATAAAAGCGGATCTACTAATGTTGGAGTTTCTTCAGTGGCACATGGTCCAAATGTTGCTAAAGTAAATGTTTTATTATATTTTAAATTATTTACATATTTGGAAATCTAATTAAAATTGTATGGAAAAACTCTTGTAATCTTCTAGGTCAGACCGCAGCCTCAAGCAAGTGAACAAATAGCGAACAGTGCTACCGTAAATTTGAAAGAAGCGAATTCGTCGACTCCGTTTGTTCCACTTCTTCCACCACCTTCTCCTATTGCGTGTTTGCCGCCAGGTAAGTTAAATTCTTGAAAAACTAGTTTTTTAGGTGAGTTGATTCTAGAAGAATGGGAAATCGACGTTCCTGAGATTATGGCTGATTTGTTTAAAAGTGAAGCAGAAATATGGTTTACTTAGATGTCATGCAGCAGAGAATTGTGTAATGACTTTTTGGCGCTCGTCTAAATTTTATCATGTATTACAGGAGCTTACCTGCAATCTCTTACGCAAGTTCCACCACCGGCGCCATTTCCACATTATTCGATGGTGTTCAGCGAATCGTATAACCCGAATTCATCGACTACTTCTCCTGCTCAAGTGAGTAATTCTTTCCAAAATATGATAATTTTGAGATTTTTGAGAATAATTTTTTCTATTGTTGCATCGACATCGCCTTCAATATTTATTGCAGACTTTAATTGGAAATGCTATACCAGCAAGTCAAACTCAGACAACGCGTTCGCGACCTGGTTCATTTGTCGAGCAATCACAACTCTTCATTCATCCACCTCCTAGTGGTGCAACAGGAAATAGTATGACTTGGTCGAATGCTAATCCACAAATTGAATTACTGGCAGGGATCAACGCCACACCTCCACTTGCATCACAGCCTGTCAGTTCCGTGCAGCGTTTCCAAGTTAGCTCGGTATTTCGGTTATATCATTTTTTAGTTCTATCAATTATTCGATCCTTGGTATTGTATAGATTTTGTTCAATTTTGAATTTGAAGTGTTCTTAACATTTTGTTAGTGTTTCAGACGTCTTTTAATTACCTGTTTTCTTTATGAAGTTTGAAGCGGGTGTGAAGCATAATGCTTTCAGCCTCGATCCGCTTCAGCATTTGGTCCGGTGCCGTCAGTTTTGAGCAGTAATGCTAAGATCCCTCATATGGGGCGACCTCCACCTCATCCGCATCAAGTTCCTCCACCATTACATCCACCACATAATTTTATGGCTCCTCCGCCAGATTTTGTTTCTCTGCAAGGCACTAGTTTAGGTGCTGTCGGTAGTCAACGCAGCGGCGAAACGCACCCTACAACGAATAATCCTTTATCCAGAAATACAAACGGTACTATAGGACAAATTCCACATTTACAGCAGGTAAAAATATCTTAGGTCTTATTGGAATGATGCTTGGGGCTAATTTCGGTATGAAAATACAAAAAAAATCATTGATGGAATTAACGTAGTGTTTTAATTCCTCAGCACACAATATTTGCTTCATGATAGGTTAATATTTAAGTACAAAATTGAAAATGAAGTATTGAAGTGAAGAAAAATTTAGGGTATATCACGAAGGATCTCATTTTAGTGTTCAAGTTTTTGCTTTTCAATGATAATTTTCAGTGCATTATTTTAATAATGCTTATTTTTCAGTCATTAAATTTTTCGCAGGCGTCACAAACTGGATACTCTGTGTCCGCTGCTGCCACCTTCAATCAGGCACCGCAACTTCATGCATTCACAGCTCCACCACCACCAATACGTTATCCGGCACTTCCACAACTTGCCAGCAATGATGCGAATGGTGTTGTGACTGCTGGCTGGACAAGGGCCCCTGCTCTTTCCTTCAAATATACGAATAGTACGTTTTTCTAAGATTTATTGTTTTAAATTTTAAATAAAGAGGTTTTATTTTATACAAGTTTTGTTGGAGAAAGCGCCATTACATGTCCTAATTTTTATGATGAAATTTTCTATTTAGGTGCTGTTCTTCCAGCAAGTCGTCCTCCCTTATCACGTTACCAGTCATCGGATCGTTGGACTGTTCCAGTAAGCCTTCCAGTGCAGTATCTCAGCACACAAAATTACCAGGTTTCTTCTTGCTTTATGGAATACTATGATTTTGCTTTTGAGATAGCAGATTATAATCGGTAGATTTTAAGCTTTTACAAAAAACTTAATCAGATGATTCCTTCATCAAATTTGGCATTTCTTTGGCTTTCAAAAATTATGCGACTTCTTTTAATGCAAAATAGTTCGCTGTTTTGTAAGTCGAAAAAAATTTTTAAGTAAACTTAAAGATAAAAACATTTTAATTTTAGCATCAAAATGCTAATAAAGACAGTAGTGATACTGTTATTCACGGAAATATTGATCGCTTCCAAGGAACTCATGTGAACAGCACTCGTGGCGCGACACCTGAAGAAAACAGCGTTCGTGCAAGTTCGGTGTCTAGCATTTCTGCTTCCGGCACTACGGCTGAATCACTGGATAGTTCAAATCGACAAAAAAAAGCAGCCAAAGTTTAAGTGTTTCCTTTTAAATAGAAGTTGAAAACGGAGAATTTTGAGCATGATAGGTAACAGTTCATGTGCTGGCCGTTATCAATATCTTCTTTCTTTATAGTCCATTGCTTTTTTCATTATTACAAAAGAAAACCCGGGAATTGAGGTTTTAATTTCTTACAAGGTCCGCGAAAACAAGCAAATGGCTTTCCTACTTGGTTACTTTGCATTTATATATTCATCCTTGTCTCGTTCCCATTAAAAATTTCGCCATCTTATTCACAAAAGTGTGTTCTCTTGTTTTGTTCCTATCATAAAACGTTAATGTAGATCCACTTGTTCACTGGGAAAGGAATTTCTTGTGTTCTTTTCGAAGTCATTATCTCAAGATGAAGTAATCTTGTTGGTGAAATGCGCCTCCCATTTCGCTTTTTGATATTTGAGATTTATACATTTGAAACAAAAAGAGTATTGGCAGAAGTTGTTACTATTGACGTGATAATGCAGTTCTGTCAATGAAATTATTAAAGGTTGAATGACTTTCTCAGTTTGTGATTTTGTAGTAGTTTTCACTCTTTTTTTTTCATTTAGTATCAAATGTGGTGTATCGTTAACTGTGCTGTTACATTGTAAGATTATCTTATGTTAATCTTCATAATTCTGAGATATGTTTTTAAGTAATTTACAATTATTATTTGTTCATAATGCTTTCTTACAAATTTTCTTTCACACAAAATATTTTACATCATTGCTATAAATAGCAGCACCAACAGCAGTAGTAGGAGATATTTTATGATTTTCTGCTCTATTTGCTGTGTATTTTTTTTACAGATTTTGAGGCTTCTATTTTTTTGCAGATTTTGAGGCTTCTATTTTTTTTGCAGATTTTATAGCCGTTTATGCGCCTCTAATAGTTTTAGAAAAGTTATGATATGTTATCGAATTCTTAAAATCTTAAAATCTTTGACACCCGACAATACCGGAAGGTTATGGTTATTTGTGTTTGAAGGTGTGTAAGATTTATTTGTTTAGATTCTATCGAAATGATATGTTATGAAACTGGATACATGTATTGCAAACACTTGCATAGTTCGATCTTATTTATTCGTTTACGCACCGGAAATAGCACAAATGATCAGAGATTGTACGTTTTGAATATATTGAACAGTTAACATAGTTGACAGTTGATTATGACAAATGCAGAAGTGGAATATTATTAGTAGGTCAAATATTGGACATTAATCATAATTATTTGTAATAGGTATTTTCCAGATAAAATGTATTTCGTTTGACTTGTGGGTTTTTTATTCGTTTTTTACCTGATTATATTTTGATTCTTTCCGTTTTTCTGTTTAAAAGTTCCTGTCAAATATTTGTATGATTTCCTTTTCATTATTTTCCCTTCAGTTTATCCTTATTTACGGAGTTGTATTTCTCTTTGATAATTTCCGGAAGAAAAAATTGTTTTTTGCAGATAAGGTGTTGCACAATGCTGCCATTGCCATTCTAATGCTTTTAAATCGGTTTGACCCGTCAACTTATTCCTAAGAATTTATTTGAATTAAAATATTTTTGCCATTCTCGAATGTAAACGATTCAGTGGAACAGAAAGGAAATGAAATTCATGTCCATGCAAAATTATTCAAGTTTTGCCTGATTATGTTCTCTCATAACTAAATGCAGAGTTTGTTTACGCGTGTCGTTCCATGTTGCGAAATTGTATAGTTTTACTGCGGTTGGAATCTACTGACAGAATCTTCCGTTGGTCCTTCAACCGTTTCTGCAGACTGTTGCTAACTAAATTGTGTTGAGCTAAGATAGTAAACTGTGTCATTTGTTAAGAAGCTTCTCTTAAAATGTTTTCTTGAAAATAGTGCGGTGGCGGATTGTTTGATATAGCGACTTAGATAGGTTAGCGAGGAAAATAGTGCGTATAATTTAATGACATATTTAACATTTAGTAACTTGTTGTCCATATTGCATTCTTAAAGTTTCCTACTACGAATCCTACGTCAGAAGGTTTTGAAATATTTTAGGATAGGGATCGGGAAAAAGTGTCCTCTTTGTGTTAACTACAGTGATGTCGGCCATGGAAGCGACGTGTTCAAAGAAACTTTGGCAAATTGTTTCCGTGTTGAGGTGCCGCAATTCTAGTATCAGCCATCTACATGTGTATGGGACGACTGCTGGTCCAAGAGATGAAGTGATGCACAAAGTTATTGAAGAAGTGAAAGAGAATGATGAAGTTTGTTTTTTAAGTTGATGCTGCATTTCATGTGAAAAGAGAAACTTTAAGTTGTGTCAGAAAGGTGGTTATTGTGCTCGATTTTCCCGGGAGGTTGTAAATCACTTGCATGTAAATAATTGATATGTTAATTCTTAGCAAGATGCACTGGTAAAGCATGATGAAAAGAGAAAAAAGAAGTGTAAGCGGTCTTGTTCTAATATTATACTGATATTAGTGCTAAAAAAATTGCTAGAAAGCAATGTTGAAAAAAAGCCTGATGGTATATTACCTGAAGTTTGCAAAAAGTTAGGCGAACCTAAGCTTTGCTATCAAGCTGTGTTAACTTTTCTCTACTTCATGCGACGCAATTATTCAGGTTATGGTTCTACGTATAAATTGTTACGTGAATCACAGATCTCACAAATTGTTTTGTCAAGGCCTATATAATTTGCTGCCACATTCAAAATCTGGAAAAAAGGTGGAAAATCTGGAAAGTGTATTTGAAGAGTGCAAAGCAGAATTGGAATATGTGAAGTCGGTTGTTATGGTTGTCATTCTGAATAATGCCGAAATGTTGCTTAACTTTCCACCGAGCTTTTTGCAAGCACTCTTTTCCATCCCTAAAAAGGTACTTCTTCATTTATTCATGGAGCATTATGACGAGCTGAAAAAATACTGCGTCACAGTATTCGAAAATCAAACTTAAGAGGGAGAATCAACAGTAATATTTTCAAAAATTTCCAATTTTGTAGAATTGGTTTTTTTAATCTTGGTACTTTAAAGTATGTTTTTTAAAAACCTGTAAAATCTTCAGTGTGAGATTTTTCCTGGTTTTTCCATTGTTATTACTCACCAGATTACTAAAGTCATGTTCTCTTAATTTTTTGTTTCATGCACATTTGCTTAATGCACTTCTATATATTCCAGTATGGTGGCACGATCAAATTAGTGTCAGTTGCTCGATTACCGTGGACACGGTTTGAAATTACTGAACATATATCATCACCTGTGCAATTTGCTTTTGAAGCGTTGTCGAAAGGTATGTTGTACGATTTGACTAATTTCTACATATAAGATGATATTGGTGTAACTTAATGTTATAATTAAAAGTTTTTTTTTTTCGAAAAATGACACTTAACATATTACAAATTCTTTCACGTTTAGTGGAATAGGGACTTGCAAAATAAATGTGCTGTACTATATATTTGGAATAGAGATGATCGAGAGAGAAGATTGTTTTACATATATGGGAGTCATTTTGAATAACTCGTTTTAGTATATTAAAATAGTAAGATTCTGTAGCTGGTATGCATTCGTTGTTAAATTATTCCATTAAAGGTGAGGTTCAGGAGGCGCTATCCACACGGCTCAATTTTGATAACAATTTTGTTCGATGTATGCTGGATATGGTTTATTCTGTGTGTCGGGACCTGAACCAATTGTCTTACATCGTATGTATTGATTTTTTTTTTCAAATT